TCATATTGTAAATTGAAAGGACTCTGTGAATAGTTTCTCTGCCGTCTTCACCACCAAATTGAGCTAATGATAATCTTCCCTTTAACACTTCCTTCAATCTTTTGGTGATTAATTTAGTAGCTATTTTAAGTCCTGAGTCCATAAGGGCAATAGGTCTATAGTTAGCAGGGTTTGAGTGGTCCTTATTCTTTTTGTGAATTGGGAGAATGCTGACACTTTGCATAGATTCAGGAGTAAATCCAGTTGTAATGATATTTTCAATAATTTGAAAAATTTCCTCCTGTAATTCCTTACACATGTATTTGATAGTTTTTTGTCTTAAACCTAGTTCATTGGGTGCTGTGGATTTCAAATTCTGAATTATCCATTCTTTCTCTTCCGTGGTAATTCTACCGAGTATTTTGTCATTGCAATTATCAATTAATGGATGTTTGTACTTGAAAAACTTGGTAATGTCAATTTGATGATTTCTTCCTCTAAAGTTGAGGTTTTGTTGATATTTGTCCTTGATCACATTGGCAACTTCATTGGGGTCACTAATTTCAGTTCCTTCGATAGATAATTTGTATGGTGGTGATGACGTTTTGTAAATTTTCTTTCTCAGATGTTTAGAGTTGGTTGCATAGTTTTGTTCCCACCATTTCATCTTTCTGTTCAAAGCCTTATCATGGCTCCATTTGATATGGTTCTTGATTTTCTCTTTGACACTTGCAAGACATTTTGGAACCTGTTCTAAAGTTTTACCAATAGTGGTCAAAAGTTTGTCACAAGGATATCCGTGCTCATTTCTATCAAGTATTAACATGAGCTTCTTATATTGCTTATTATATTTGTAGATTTTAGGATCAAGTTTAGGTGGATTGACCTCCACAAATTTGTCGCCTAGTTTATCACAAATGAAAAGCCATTTGTCGTTATCAGATTCTAAATTCTTAACTTGAGATACACATTCTTTGCTAATGGCCAGCACTTCTTTCTTATTTTTGGGATCTTGAAAGTTACGCTTCTTCCGAATTAACAAAGGTGTTCGTTGACATGAGAGGTCAAGTAGAATTTTAACCATTTTGTGATCTGATATGAAGTTGGCATTCAGTACTTCTCCAGATGCAATTGGAAAATCTGTGGATATGTAGTCTATTATAGACTTGGATTGTTTGTTAATAGTATAATGAAGGTGCCATGATAAATGAGGGAAAGGATAGTAATTAAGATTTCTCTTGTTAATAAGATCTAGTATGTTTTGATCAGTTCTTCTAGATTCGTTTGAGGAGTGATTCTCGGATAAAATCGCATTGTAATCACCTCCAATAATGATTTTGTAGTTAGGATATTTTTCAATTAGGTTGTCAAGAATATATGTGAATTCACATCTGTCAGCTGGTTGATTTGGAAAGTACGCAGAAATTACTAGAGTATTAATTGAATTGATTTTACATTTCACGCCAATAATTCGCGCGTTATTCTTAATGATCGGATCTAAGATGATTTCTTCAATATCTTTGAAAGTGCTTTTGTTGAGGCAAAGAGATACACCACAGGAATCTCTTGGATTGTGATAATATGTAAATGAAGAATAATATATAGAGGGAAAATCTGGACCAATGTAGACGCTTTTAACTTCCTGGAGCATGATTATATCAGGAGTGATTGAGTTGAGGCAGCCTCTTAGGGCTGATAATGGTTCTGCTCTGATATCATTAATGTTGAGGGTTAGAATAGATAATTCTGGAGCTACTGAAGTGAATCAAGTAGTTTTAGCTTTTTGTGACACTCATCAATTTCCTCTTGATATATCTTCCTCTTGGTATTATCTTTTGTACAACCAGACAGAAATGTTAGAGTAGCAATTCTATTGGTAATCATTAATTCTTCATTATTTGCTCTGATAATATTAGCCATTTCCTTAAATCCCATAGCCAATTTCTGATTCTGTCTTGCCTCAAGTTCTGCAATTCTTTTATCCATAGAAGCTTCAATTCTCTTGATTTCTTTTAGGTGAACTTGTTGCACTTTTTCAAGAGTAAAGGAAACGTCTTTCGCTGCAATTTTAGAAGATCTGCCTAAATTTTGTGAAATTTTGTGAACTGTATCAGGTTTCTTTTCCAGGAAATCTTCTAGCATTGGATAATTGAGAGCAAAATCCAATGTCCATTCATTCATTCCATATGCAGCATGGTTTACCAATCTGATGGCATTAGATAGATTGTTGAGTCTAATCAAACATATTCTCTTCTCTTGATTGATGATAAGTATGGATACAGGTTGGTCATTATTGTATTTTCTGGCAAGAGAGGATTCCGTTTGTATTCTAGCTCTAATCAAATCATTTCTTTCAGGCCATCTACCAATAATGTCAGAGTATTGCACATCCATTGCATAGTTGAATGGTATGTCGATTTTCATAGTGACTGTTTCCTCTGTTCTAGGAATAGTGATATCATATGTTTTTGCCTTACATAGATTATTTCTGGCTTTCATACTTTTGACAGTGATCACTGCTGCCATTTCTTTACCAATTCTAGCTCTAGCAATTTCAACAATGGGTTCACCAGTATCGCTTTCAATAGCATTCCTCCAATCTGCCTTGACTGTAGTTTTCCATAGTTCTCCTATTGGAATATTATGGACACGTATAATTTTGTTGGTGTCGTTTTCACATGATGAAGTGATATTGGCTTCTTTAAATTTTGTACGTAATGTTTCAACTGCCTGTTCTACTTGAGCGCAATCTTCAATAGTGACAATTATGGTATTATTGAGCTTAATGATCGGATTGATGGTGACATATTTGCCACTAAGTTTGTCCTTAATTAATTCAATTACCTCATTCTCTTCAAATATTTTGCTATATCTAACAGCAATATATCTGGGAGGAGTGATTTCCTTCACTGCTATGTCATTGATGTTGAATTCTTCATTGTCTTGTTGGACATTACTATTTTTCTTGTTCTCAGATAATAGTTTGTTAATATTCTTCATTCTTTCCTTCCATAACTCCCAAACATGTTTTCTGTCCTTATGGTTTTTAAAAGCCTTTCTTTCTGTGGTGATTTCGTATTTAATGTCATCAGAGAGTATTCTGAGAGTGGCTTTTACAACATGTTGGAAATTTAAGGTCATAGGGTTGTGTGGGCTAGCAATAACAGATACAATTTCTAAAATCTGATCAGTGTCAAGAAGAGTTCTGTTTGTATTTAGTTTAGCATTATTGTGTTTGAGAAAAGTTTTACCAACAATTTCATCAACTGACATGTCTTGTATGTTGAGGTTATTGGTCAGCTCATTATCCAACAATTCAATGTTGTCTTGGTTACTCATGCTCATACTATTAGTTTTAGCGGCCAATTCTTCATCAGCTATTGGATCAATAGTTGGGTACAATCTAGTGTCAACACTAGTAGAGCAATTGTGAGTAGGGTTGAGATTATTTGTCAAATTGGGCTCATTATCTACAGATGAACTAGCAGAAGCAATGTAGTCGCTTAATGATTGAAGTGAGCTAGAGTGCTTGGGTCCATGGTTGGGTCTTGTTTTACCGATCTTGCTGGGCATCCTAATTGAATTATTCTTCTTTTTTTTTAATTTGTATAACGAATCTGATCTTGTTGGTCTGATTAAATACCATTCAGTCAATAGCGCTTTGATCTTAATAACTGCCATCGTAATAGGGTCTTGATTACAGTTTGATCACAACGGTAACAATCTCAGTATTTATAACCGGTGGTAGTTGTACGGTACCAAATCAGTACAGTACTTCGTAGAGAGGGAGAGATAAGTTTTAAATTTAAGTTTAATGATTCGGAGATGGTTCTTTGGGTGGTGATAAAGGGTGCTCAAGGTGAACACCTAGCGGAGGTGTTGTGTTATTTTTTTTCCCTCGAGTTGAGATGATCATTAAAACCAAATTTTTATTGAAGTTCAAAAAAAAATGCCAAAAGAAAAATCGAGACATTCGTCGTCATCATCATCGAACGGCATCGGAGGTGGTGTTTCATCACATTCCGGAGTGAGCAAGGAACAAAAAACACTTCAAGCAAAAAAATATGTGGAAAAGGAAAGCAAAAGAAGATTGATTGTTGTGTTAGAAGGATGCCCTCTTGAAGTTGCAAAAATCGGAGACAAGTATAAATTATTAAACAGTGATGACCATCGTTCGTATTTGAGTAAACATGGAAAGAATCCAGATGATTACAGACCTGACGTTGTGCATCAAAGTTTACTCGCACTTTTTGACTCTCCTCTCAATAAGGCTGGACTTTTGCAAGTGTATATGCACACAGTTGATAATACACTCATTGAGGTCAATCCTCATACTCGTGTTCCTCGTACTTATAAACGCTTTGCAGGATTGATGGTGCAATTACTTTTCAAACACAAAATCAAGGCAGCTGAAACTGAGGCTGTTTTGTTTAAAATTATTAAGAATCCTGTGACGGACCATCTACCATCAACGGCGAGAAAAATTGCAGCAGAATTGTAAGTCCTTTTTTCAAATATTCATAATAGTGAGATTTACACGTTTTTTTAAGTAATGTGGAACAAGTAATTCGATTGGAAGAATATGTGCCAGTTTTGTGTAAAAAACAACGAGAAATGGTCAACAAAAAACCATCTAACGATGTTACTGATGTGTCAGAGGATGGACCAATGGTATTTATAATCGGAGCCTTTGCTCGTGGAGATTTGAAAGTTGATTATGCTGACGAATATGTGTCAATATCGAGTTATCCACTTTCAGCTGCCATGGTTTGCATGAAAGTGTGCAACGCATTTGAGGAACATTGGCAAGTTATTTAAAACATGCTACTGTTGTTCATGTAGGATTTTTCTAGCTTGGTATTTTGCTCTTTTTCTGCTTCTTTTTCATAAACTTGCCTACTTAAGGAATTTCTAGTTGCATTTTGACTTTCTGAATGTCGTAAATTATTACTAATGATCGATTGTAACAGTTTTGCTTGTTGTCGTGCTTCTTCTCTGCTTCTCTCTAAACCAAGTTCTCGTAACCGTTTAATTTCATTTTCTTTTGAAGCAATGAATTGTTTGAATTCTTCTCTTGCCTTGTTTCGATATTCTTCTTGCCTTTTCTTAAAATCATCATCTGAGCCGTTGATGATAACTTGATTAGTGTTTCTAACACTATCCAACTGAGCTTTCTTCTCCAATTCTTTTTTTTCAAGGACTTGGTTTTGGAGAGAATTATAAAATTCCTTTTGTTTTTCTCGTCGTTGTTGCCAGTAGGAAGGATCGGTTTTATGGTCGTATGAGTTCCTCATAAAGATAGAGTTATCGAAATCTGGTAGAGCTGTGTCGCTCATCTTAATACTTGAGTCTAATGCTTGTCGATGTTGTTGTTGAGCTAATTCTCTTGCATATGCATCCTTTTTGTTTCTGTCATTTTTAAATGTTTCTACCAGAGATGCATGCAATGCATGTACGTTATCCAGGTGAGTGGACTTTGTTTCTGCTTGTTGTGCCTCCTTCTCTGCTTTCTTCTTCTCTCTAGCTACATTTAAATTATAGTTATGGACTGCATTTGTGTTGTTCAGTGCGTCCTGTTTGAACGATTCGTCCACTTCTTTTTCTCTTTGAGATACCCATTCATTGTAAAATCTCTCCTTTTCGTGGTTGAAGTGAGTAATTTCCTTTTTGTTGTGCTTATCAATAAGTAGGTTTTTTAAGCCTATCCTAACGTCCTCTTCTTTGTCCTTGTCCAGTTCGAAGGGTGTTGATGGTCTTGGTTTAACAAGGGACCGATTGGGATCTGGGACATAAATTTGATCGATCGATTGTCCCACCTTATTCGATAGCGTATCTTTTCCAAACTTCTTTCTAGTCTGTAATTCTTTAGCGCTATGAGTAGGGCTTACATGCTTGAAATCCTCCGAGGAGACACTTGTGATCTTATCAACATCGTGGGGTGGGCCTAGAGATATGGCTGAAAAGTTGGATTTTGTGGATAGGTTTGCACTACAGGGTGAAGAAGCACAATGATCCAATATCGGAGTTGGTGCTCGAATGCTGAGCCCAAGTTCTTCGATCAATTTCTTCGTTCTTCGAGCGCTTTCATATTGCCCTCTTGGAGGAGCTGATGCATCTGTGGTAAGCAAAGTTTTGGTCAAGTTCTTTTCAATATTTTGCAAAAATGTTGCATCCCATTTTGGATGGCAGTTTTTTCCTTTGAATAATAGCTTGCATACATTTAAATTTACAGAATAGTCTTTCTTTGTTGCTTCGCTTGCTCTTTGTCCAATATTTTTGACAATTGACTCAATGACGGCTTTAACAACGTTTTTAGAGGCATGCACATTTGTTGCAATGTGTGACAGGTTCATCTTTTTCTTTCCATCGTTAAGAGGTACCTTGAGTGTTGATATACCGTATCGTTTCTGAAAATGTTCTGAAAGAATAAAAACTGGAGTTTGATGCTTGCGAGTGTATGAGCCGCAATCTTGAGTCTCTGTGTTGAAAGTTAACAGTCCTAAATTTGGAATTTCCACTGGATTTCCTGAAATTAGCTCATTTTCGATATATTTTAGGGTACTGTCCCAAATTTTCTAATTTTCAATGCTTGTGAGCAAGTTCAAGAAACAAATCACTTCACCTACCTTTACCAAAGAGTTGGTAATACCTAGTTGTTTTAAACCAGAGTCGTCACTTCCGATTTGAGGCTTCACCGCATTGAATCCTATACTATCCTTGAGTGGATTATTAATCTTGGAATGATAAGGGGGATTACTATTTACAGAGACTGGTATTTTTGTCGTCTCTATCATGGTCGAATTCGATTCTCGTTCTACCTTATTTTTCTTCTGCTTTCTTTTTGCTTGTTCCATCGATTGTCTGGTACTCGTCGGAACACTCAAACCAAACTGAGGAGTTTCAGATCTCATCAAAGGAGGCGAATCTTCTCTCATCCCACAACTACTATGCACCAATCGTCTTGTATTCTTCATGGCCGTGTTCTTTGTATCGTAGCAAGCGAGAATGAGATGATTCAACCGCTCCTGTTGATGTTGTTGTTGTTGATTCATTTTTCTTTTGAGATGTTCCTGGGTTTGGAGGCTATCGCGGTTACCCTCGAAAAACTACAGTAAGTTCAAACTCGAGTCAAAGAATGCTGGGATCGAGTGGTGTCTCGAGTGGTGTTTGAGTCTTCTTGAGAATATTTTCCATCATGAAACTCATCGCATCCCAACACACCTGCATAAGGCCATGGATGACGTTGTATGTCTGTTATCGCAGAGGAGGAGGAGCCAGAACGGACTGACTCGACCCTATAGTTACAAAAAAACTACAAGCATGATGAAAGGTGGAAATGGCGGCAAACAATTCGCACCGTAAAAAAATGATTTCAACAACCGGTCAAGCAACTGCTGCTGCTTCTTCGGCTCGGGAACGCTTCAATGTGTCGCCCTATATGATTACGGACAATGAGGAGGATGGGACAAGTTCGAACGTGGCATTATCATTTGATGAGGAGGATGGTGAAAATTTCGGTCAAGGACAAATTGAAATTGATTACAAATTAATTTGTACGGTATCAGGGCAATTTGATCTTGGAAGTGTTGTAAATTTGGATTTGAACTCAATAGGGATTGATAAAATCAAAAACCTCAGTCGGTGTCTTCGGCTTGAATATCTTGATTTGAGCAATAATGAAATTGAGCTTATTGAGGGCTTAGAGAATTTGTCACGCCTCAAAAGGTTGAGTTTGTCGAACAATAAGATCAAAAAACTAGAAGGTGTTGCTAACTTGAAGAACTTGCAAACTCTCATTTTGGAAAATAATCTAATCGAAAATTTGTCCGATATACAGGAGTTGCAACATTTAACAAACCTCAGATCAATTAATCTCAAAGGAAATTCTGTTTGTGAAAAGGAAGGGTTTGATGAAACATTGAAGTCCTACTGTAAAAAACTGCAATTCATTAATGGAGAGCATATCGCATTAAGATTTCCAACGTTAATCTTCGATGAAAAAGAAGATTCCTTTGAAATTCCATTATCCAAATCATGGACAGTAGACAACAACCAAAATTCCATATTTACATTTGAGGGATTTCCAGAGATTAACCCGAACGAATCTTTCAAAACTTTAAATGAATTCAAGAAGGAGGAAATTGATTGCAAAAAAACAGTTGCAAGAGCAGACACCATTATACAAGAAGTTCTCAAAGCATTGAGATAGCCGTTAGTCATTTGGGTTTTGTAGCTGCTCAATCTCCCACTTCTTCTCATGAATTTTCTTTAGGATCATTCCAAACTCCTCTACAAGCTTTTCAAACTCGTCACCAAGAGAAGAATACTTTTTAATTTCTGCATCCATATGATTACTTTGGGTTTGGAGTTGCTCAAACGTAGAATCAAGAGCCTTATACATTTGATGTAGAATGGGTACTGTTTGCTTATTGTAGGTGGACACTAGATATTCATACTTGATAGACCTATTAGAACAAAAAGTTATATGACAGCAGTTCAACGTGAGAAATAATCTTATCAAACACTTACGTTAATTTCAACTTCATGGCCTCGGTTCTCTCTACAAGCCATGAGATTGTTGACTCGTCGTACTGTCTGAAGCTGCCAAATTTGTAGTTGTCGAGCAATGTGCACAGAATATGAAGGTATTGGTTCATTTTGCTGAAATACGCAAAAATGTACTGGTGTAATTTTTGCTTGTCGGCTAGTATGTTTTCCTTTTCCTGTGCAATTTCGTTTAGATGACATTTCACAAGATGTGTGAGAGTCTTCTCTTGATTTGTTTGGCTGTTCGTTGTGTCTGACACAAAAATACTTGTGTGTTGATTTGGAAAAGGTTGGTAAAACTGTACAAGATCCTCATACATCATTTCCAATCGTCTTTCAAGCTCTGGAATGACTAGTTGCTGAATATCATTTGCGAAATTTGAATGGTCTGATTTGTTGCTGTTGGAGGATTGAGGATCAATTCCATAAATATTGACTGGTTCTTCAAGATGATGGGGTGTATCTGAAATATTCAAAGATTGCTCCACTTCGGACTGTAATAATTTAGCATCAAGTTGGCACAGACAATTGTAAAGCTTTGGATGGTCATATCTATACTCAATTTCATCTTCGATCATATCCTTCACTGTGTCCAGAATAATTAAATTCTGAAAATATTTTTGTTTTTCTCTTTCCAACAAGGATTCTAATCGTTTTAATTCCTTCTCCTCTTCTGTTCGGATACCAGTTTCTGGAGAAATATGCTCCGAGATTATAGATAATAATTTACAAAATTGAGGGTTTTCATTCATCACCTCTTGTGGTATGTGAAATAGCCCTAAAATATTATTATTTGCTGCTGAAATTTCTTCCTCCGAAATAATGTTTGCATGATGTGATTGAAAATTTTGAATATCGTCATTCTCATCATCATCCTTCATGTACAAATGATGCGTGTCATCATCGCAATCATTGGCTTGTTGCTCCGATGTTTCTATATCAATTCCAGACATGTTGTGAACAAGACTCTCTTTGGTGGGTGATTTCAAATAATTTGTTGTCCATGTTGATTCATCTTCCATGTCGTTAGGTGGTTGAATGGCCGGATTCTCTTCTGTGTACATTTTTTGATTTAAATTTGGCGCCAACCTCTACTAGCCGTTACACTTTAATTAATTTAAAAAAATCAAACAATCACCCATTCGATAAATCATCAAATTAACACACAAACACCGGGTTTTACACATCATATAATCTCTACCTCATAAATAATTATTTCATCCACTATTATTTTTATTATCATCATGTCTGCCACTGCACAAGCCAATTGCATTACCTTGAAAGGATCCACTGAAATTGTTGCCGAATTCTTCGGATACAGTGTCAATAGTTTACTCTATCAGAGAGGTATTTATCCTCCAGAGTCTTTCACCAAAGTATCTAAATATGGATTACCCATGATGGTCACTACAGATGAAACTTTGAAGAAGTATTTGAGTCAAGTATTGAATCAACTCTCCGCATGGCTCCTCCAAAAACAAGTTCAACAATTGGTTCTCGTAATCTCAAGTGTCAATACCTCTGAAGTATTGGAACGATGGCAATTTGTGATTGAGACTGATTCCGAAGTAACAGCCACGGAGGGACACAAAATTAAAGATCCAAAAGAGATTACCAGTGAAATTCAAGCAGTGATTCGACAAATTACTGCGAGTGTTACTTTCCTTCCACTTTTGAATGGACCTTGTACTTTTGATTTGTTAGTTTATACCTCGAAAGATACCTGTGTACCCATTGCATGGGAAGAATCAGATCCAAAATATATTGTCCATTCTTCAGAGGTTCGTTTGAGGTCATTCACGACCAAAGTTCACAAAGTCGATACTTTGGTTTCCTATAAGGACTTGTGAATGTCATGAGGGAAGCGTGTGGCATAAGAGCTGTATCACCTCTCTCTTTGTAATAAATTCACAAACAGCAACAACAATATAAAGATGATATTAGTTGTAAATTGAATGAAATGTTAACATATTAAATTAAATATTGCATCTTTGCAAAATAAAAAATGCGAGAGGATTCACACAAGAATTTTCTGAGACCTCGTCGAAGGTACATGACAGTTGTGGATTCCAATACTCGTGAGGAAGAATTTGTGGGATTTAATGATCGACCCGTGATTGATTTATTTGCACCTACGACGTCAATGAGAGAGTCACTGTTTGTAACCGAGCAAATGAAACAACAACAACAAATGAAAAAATCAATCGGAAAATCATCACCATTTGGAATAACCAACGATCGGAACATTTTATGTTTTGGTCTTTTATTATTGTTCTTCTTTTTCATTTCGACATGTGTATTTATTTTTTGGGTCGAACCAATAATATTAGGAAGGATTCATAGAGACGGAAACAGATTTTTATTTACCCTATCTGCACCTCTCACACCCAAGAAGTAGAAGAGAAAAATATTCTTTCAACCCGCTGTTCAAAGTGACGTTGTGAAATTCCTATATTATAATTATTTGGAGCTATTTCTCTAAAAAATATTATTTTATAATTTATATTGAATTAATTATACAGGCTCTCGATGTAGTCATCAGTATCAACATTTAACATGTCATCTTCATTCTCAACTCTCTTGTCATTGACATTCAGATCAGTATCAGAATCAAAAGAGGCCTGTTTGTTCACCGATTTACTGGAAGGAGATTTGTTGGCTGCAATGACCATGTCAATAGTTTTTTCATGGTTCTTCAGCTCTTGTTGTAACCTATCATTTTCTTCCTTTTTCTCCTCCTTCACTTCTTGCTCCTGCTTTTCTTGCTCCTCTTGCTTTTCCTTCATTCTATTTTTCAGTTTGGCCTTCTTTTCAGCGTATATTCGTTCCTCCTTTCTAAGATTGAGATCTCTACAAATTTGCTCCAAGTACTGTACACATTCATAATTTTCAGGATCTTTGTTATGGATTCTCTCATAGCACTTTTTAGCTTGCTGTAAATTGCCCACTCTTCGGTGACAACTTGCAACCATCAATTGCCAATCAATTTTGTTTGGTTGAATTTCTGAAGCTCTTTCGAAATATGCAAGAGCCTTCTCATAAATGTCATTTTTGACAAAGTAGAATCCAAGCCAAGATATCACATCAAGATTGATAGGATAGTTTTTGTAGGACTCTAGATAATAGTTGAAGGATTGACTTTCGTCGTTTTCTTTAGCATATATTGTTCCCAAGTCATAGAGAACCCCCGGATCAGTAGGAACCAGAGTAATTAGAACGTTAAACCATTCAATAGCAGTAATGTTATCACCCATCTTGGCATGAACACTTGCAAGTTGATAGATCACCTCAATATTTTCCGGTATCATTGAGTGTACTCGTCTAAAACAGACCAATGCTTCTTCGTACTCTCTCAACTCTCTTGTTACAAGACCGAGATTGTAAATTGCTTGGACACAGTCTGATTCGCACTCGAGAGCTCTTTGATACATTTCTTTAGCCTCTCTGTATTCCTTATTAAGATAGTGGCAATTACCTCTATTCACTAGGGCGTTCGCATTATACTTGTCTGATTCTACTGCAATATTTGCATATTTTTCAGCATTTTTCATATCACCCTCCAAGAGATACAGGAATGAAAGATTGGTTGCAGAGCGGGCTTGAAGTTTTCTATCCTTCTTTTCAAATTGTTTGAGAGCCTCAATTGCTTTTTGGAATTGCTTATGTTTCATGTAAGTTAATGCTTTGGTCATTTCCACTTCGCTCACAATATTACATTTTTCTCTCTTCAATTCATAAGATTTCAATTGTTCAATCACAAAGTCATAACCCTTCTCCCAATCATCTTCAATGAGTTCTGCGATGAGTTTAGCACTCTTCAAAATGAAATCATATTGTTTTCGTTGATAATCCTTTAAATAGTCTCTCAAACCATCATTCATAAGAGAATTGTGTTCATCATCCAAATCTTCATCAGCTGGTAGACCGGGAATATTTACGTTCAACAACCTTAGGAATGCCTTTCTCATTTCTTTTTTGTTACCTGTACTATAATGACACACTACCAGATTGAACGCTGCGTCTATGTCATTATTATTATTCTCAATCACTTCTTCAAAATTGGCAATGGCATCTGAATATTGGCCAATTTTAATAAGGGCCACCCCAATATTTTTCCTGATTTTGTTTCGAATTGTTTTGTATTCGTTGGTAATTTGGTCCAGAGCCATTCTATACATTTTAATTGCAAGTGGATAGTCTCCCTTCTCGAAAAATATGTTCCCAATATTCACTCGAAGTCTTCCAGCATGCTCAAATTCCTTATTCCGCACAATGGCATCATAGGTATCAAGAGCTTCCGTATACATGCCATTCAATTGATAGGCTCTTGCCAAGTTAAATTGTACTGCATATGACAGCTCATGGTTTGGATCCTGATTTAATTGCTTCTCTTGCTTGAAACGCAGCAAGGCCTTTTCTCTCTTTTCAGCCTCTTTTGCTTTGTCCAATGCCATGGCAAAGTCTTTGGTGTGACACAACATTGCACTTTCCTCGATTGCTTTATGTACGTTTAACTCCATTTCAGCAGCCATGTATGCATCACTATTTTCACTCTTCTTTTGAAGAGGAGGAGCTCGTCCTCTGCCTCCAACAAAGTTTTCCGAGAGAGGGTCTTTCTTCTTCGATGAGAATCCAGCCGCATTAATTGAAGTCATTGGTCTTTGTTGTATTTCTTCTCCAGCAAGCATTGCCGAGGCAGTCCCAACAAAAGGACCTCTCGAAGCAGTACCTGGAATACCTCCCCAAGGATTTCCCGATTGCAATGGTCTCATGGGTCCACCTCTCGTCGCTGGATATCCTGGAGCGGTACTCATGGAGTCTCCGAAATCATTGAGCAACGTCTCTGTAGAATTATATCCATAATTTGAAAAGGCATTACCAAACGCTCCTTGTATATCCTCATCCATGCCATCTCCAAAGCTATACAAATCTTCCTCTTGTCCGTATTGATTCATCCTGATCATTATTTTTTTATACGTGTTCGATTTTGTTTCGTAAATTTAGGCGGGAAGGTTGCAGGATGCTTTCAAACCCGAAAAATTTGCGTAACCTTCCAAATCCATGCTCGAGGCGTGTGCTCCTTCCCTTGAGTTGCCTCATTCACAACAACAACATCATCATCGGAAAGAGAGTCCTTTCCTCAAGACTTCAACAACACGAGAGAAATCAGATGATCCTATGAAAAGACATGAGGGTAAAATTTTCTTTTATTGGGGATGGAAGAAAGATGATTCGTTTTGCCAGGTCCTCTCCTTACTATTCTCAATAATTTTGTTATACCTATTGTTAGGATTACCCATATTTCCCAACCTCACTATTGGGTTCGTTGAAGGTTTTGATTACGATGGCATGGAAGAATCCGTGAGGAAAGTTTGCAGAGCTGTTGAAAACTTTGTTGATCAATTTCCATATTATGACTCCTCCGAATGTGTTTCCTATGATGCGTGCGATCCAAATCTCAACACAAAGATTCCAGATTTCAAATGTGAAAAAGGTTTTGGTATGGATGTGGAATGCAATTGCACGGGTGAGATGCTTTCTTTGCACTTCCCAGTGGTAGGTTGTTTTTGAGAAACTCAATGCAATTTCCATATCGACACCAAGTTCCAAGTTGCTTCATGCACCCTTCGTAAAACTGGGTTCAGATGAGGTCTTTGAGTGTCTAACGAAAAGAATTGGAGAAATTTATTATGAAAATCGCATGCAAAATGAACACATATTTCGGCAAGTGGTAGGTTCTCCCCGAGGAATTGGTCAGTTATATCCTGGTATTAAATGGAGAACAACAGATAAGGAGATATGCAAGAGTGGAGCACCTGCTTTTGATTGCCCCAATTTTGATTTCAGAACTCGGCCATGGTATGTGAATGCTGCTTCAGGCTCAAAGTCAATTGTGTTCGTTCTTGACGTATCTTCTTCGATGAGTATGAATCACAGAATTGAAATTGCTGTTTTTGCTGTAGAAAATGTGATCGATGGTCTTACGGAGAGAGATCGTGTTGGAATTGTTTTTTTCAGCTCATCCGCATTCTTTTGTTCGCTACATGGAAAAACTCTACTTCTTGCCACTCCCGAAAACAAAAAGCTCCTGAAAGCTTGTTTGGAAGATATGATGCCATTTGGAGAAACAAACTTTGAAAATGCATTCGAATTGGCATTTGATTTATTTGAAGCAGAGGCCTCTAATAGCTCATTTAATCTCATGCCAACGTGTGAAAAAGTGATTCTTTTCCTTACTGACGGCGAAATTACTGACGGAGAAGATCCAACACCACTCATTGAACGAGAAAATGAAAAATTCGATGCTAAAATATTTAGTTTCAGTTTGGGGTCAGATGCTGACTTGGAAATACCAAAACGTATTGCATGCAAAAATCGAGGTTTGTGGAACAAAATTTCGGACCATAATCTTCTCGATTTAAGAACTCAAATGTCATCATACTATGAGTATTTGAGCTTTCGTTTGACAGACCAGCACGTCACGTGGTCAGATCCTTTCATGGATGTTACTGGACTTGGTGAAATAGTTTCTGTCTCTAGTCCATGTATTAGTCAACGAGGCAGATTTCTAGGAGTGGCTGTATCTGCTTGCAATTCCTCACTTGTGAAAAATGATCCAGAATACACAAAAAGAAAGGCAAATAATTTTAAAAAGTGTCCTGATGACATTCCTGAAGATTTTCTCATCTACTTGAGAAGTGGAGAAAGCTGTGATTATTGTGGAAACTGTGATTTTCAACGATGGTATTTTGTGCTTGCTTGGTCAACTTTGAGCGTGTTGCTGGTTGCCTTACTAGCCACATTGTTAACTTGTTTGTACATTTTTATTCGAAAGATCATTCGAAAAAAGAAGTGGCAACGTTTAAAAGACGAAGTATACACAGAATCGCTGACTCACAGGCCTTCATTTTATAAGAAACGTGGAAAATTGGAAAAAATTGTTCTTCCTTTAAAGATTGAAGACGAAGAACTGGTGGTGACACACAGATAGGGTTTTTTGATTTGAATTTGATGAAGCGTTGTTGAGAAAAAGCAGTATTCTTCCTTAAAGGGATCCTCATTAAGCACGAGAAACCTGTGAATGGGAGAAATGGAACATTGATGTCAAATTTGACTCAAAGAGAACATCTAGCATTAAGATCACAGTAAATGACTTCAAGTAAACATCAACAAGGAAACAGGTGTCATTCGTCATCCAAAAAAATGCAAAAATTTGCGAGGTCAAGCGTCAACAACAATTTAGCCTCACAACTTGGCAGACTTGTATTCGGACGTTCTTTCATATTTGCCTGTCTTGTTTTTCTAACAGTCTTTTTAGTTTATTTATTTGTTTCTCATCTCTCTAATTCCTCTCTATCGAAACAACAACAACAACAAGATTCATCACTTCTAGTGAATGATGTCCATTTTACACTCACCAAAGATGGAAAGAAGAAATCTCTTGTTCCGAATGACGATGAAGATAAAACACCAGTAGATCCTCGACTTCCAAAGAGACAACAAGTCGATTTTCAAAAACATGAAATGATTGAAAGAATGGATGATTTGGAATATGATGCCAGAGTTTCTAAACATGAATTTTTGAAGAGTGACAAAATTGATATCGAGTACTTTGCAAAGGGTATCATTTTGTCGAACAAATTGGAACCTTTTTATGTCAACGAAGAATTAGAACAACAAGTTTCAATTCGTAGTAATCCAAATCGATTGAAAGAGTACTTTTTCACACCCGAGTTGCGACAAAAGATTAAGAGTAGCTCCTTGACAGATAGAAGAAAGAAGGAAATTTATAAAATTGGAGAGTTGAATGGAGACAGATATCGTGTCACGAGTGATGTTCCTGGTTTTAAGGTCCATGTGAAATTCAACCAACTCGCTTATCGAGATGATTTTGTTCATTATCCCTTTGTAAAGCCAAGAACAAAAAAGGCATACTGTGAGGATGATAACTTGTGCCAAACTGAACACGGAAATAACATGTGCTCCATTTGCGACATTGGAAAAGACAAGATTCAAAGCAAATTCTTTTACAAGAGTTGGTGCTACAAACCAAATATTGATTTTGCAATTGTCTCAATTGAAGATGGTATTTTAGACTATGGTACGGACCATCCCGAAGTGAGACACTCAATTTTTGACAAGAGTGGAAATTTATATTCCATGCCTGTTTGGCATCCAATCAAACTTCAAGAAGAACACAAATGGAGTGTTGCTTACAATCCTCAAATTGCTGTGGTAGGAAATGTTTGGTTCCCAAGTGGTAAGTGTTGTATGTGACTTGAAATATTTTTAATGTCATTCTTGTTGGTGTGATTGAACGCACATTGATGCGTAACGTTACGGAATTCAAAAACCATGACACATTCACAACAGCTGTGGGACACTTTCCAATTGAAATTTTACCAAGAATTATTCTTCTCTCGACCTATCTTCCATATAATATTCCAATTCTTGTCTACGGTGGAGAATATGTGGAAAAAACAATCAAACTTTTAACCGATGCTGGAGTTTTTCCAAAAGAGAGAGTTTTCATTTATGCGGAACCAAACATTTATTACACAGCCAAAAGATTATACTTTTTGCATTCCAACGAAGATGTCTATACTCCACTCACGACCGATATTGCATTGAGAGTTGCCTCAAGTGCTCTTCAACAACCTCTTAAGAGAAATTTAATTTCAAATCCAATTCGAAAGGACACAAAGAGAGATTATATTCTAGTTGTGGATCGATCGGATTCCAATATGAGAAGAATTAATAACAATGATCAAATGGTGAAACAAATCTCTGAATTGGTCAAGGACTCGATGGATGTCGTTTCTGTGAAATTATCCAAATTAAGTTCCTTCTTGGAAATTGGAAAAGTTTTCTACGATGCCAAAGCAATTATTGCACCACATGGTGCAGGACTTGCAAATTTGAGTTTCGCAAAAAGATCTACCAAATTTGTCATTGAAATTGGATGGCCAGGAAGACCAAAAGATTTCCATTGGCCTGGAGATTATTATTGTCAATCGAGAGGTTCAGGACTCAAGTATTATGCAGTCACTGCTGTAGAAGGACATTACAGTTCCTCTTCTGGAATGAAAGTGGATGTGGATGAAATTGTGAGCATTGTAAAGGATGAGTTTAAACTGTAAAAAATTTAAACAGTGAATCATCGATCAAATAGTAATAACTAAAAGTGTTTGAAATTTTTTGCAAGACCATGTAAGAAGATTCATAAATTTGAATTCTTAAAAGATAGAGATCTCTTCGCACAAAGTGTTTTCCACCCATTCGAAATGTTCATGTATCTATATTGGTCCATTCATCTCTTAAGATTTGGACTTTAGAAGTAGCAAGTTGTTTAGATCATCATTGTTTGGCCAAGAGGTTCAAAAGATTCACATCGTTTGACAATGATTCTTGTCCTTCTTGTTCCATTCCAACTTTAACTTGTTATTGATCAAATCCATAAATAATTGATTCGTGTCCAATTGATGCAGTCGATAACGTCCCAAGGCATGGATCATGGTTCTCTCCACTTGATCATGTTCATATAAATTACATTGTGTCACATCCACACGACATTCTCCAAAATATTTCTTTTCATGCACCATTTTGTAAAGTATTTTGAAAATTGTATCTCGTTGTTCATGTTGTGTATGTAATCCAATGGTAACGAGTGGTGATTTGAACTCTTGTTTCATGAGAATTTTAAGTGTTGGCAATTCAGACTCAATGATACGAGTTTCATTCAGCATCACTTCCTTTGGTAGGTTTCGAATAAAAATCATTCCACTCAATTTTTGAATCATCGATTGATAATATTCTTGAAATTCTTCTTGAAATGAAAGAGCATAAATACGAAAACGAATCATTTCACCAGAATTCAATGAGATCCTGATATCATGATCTTCATCAGACATATGGAATGGCTCATGCACAAACACTCGTCTCTCGCCAATATAATCTCCCATTCCACACGGATCATAATCAATCTCATGGAAGTATCGAGAAAATAATTGAGTGTTGAATCCTTCAGCTATGTTGTATCCGTGATTGGAGAAAGTAGCAAAACAAGGTAATTTCTCTTCCTCTACGTTTTGAGAATCAAGAGGAGATTTCAATAGACTCGGAGAAGATTTCTTTTGTGAACTGTCAGTTGTCAATTTATGTTTGATGAAAGAACGTAAAGTGAAATAGACAGACATGAGAGAGGGACGAGATTTGATACGATGATCGTGGTGTTGTTGTTGATTATCTTCATGACATGGATCATACACTTCTTTAATCACATTTCGATCCACATACAAGTGTTTCACTAACAATTGACTCCATAAATTCATATCATTTGCGATCGAACGATAAAACCATGAACGAAGTCAAGGATAAATTTTCGAAGAGTTTTTGGTGAACTCGAAATGCAGGGCAATAGGTGGTTTGGAAGAACGTCCCTGAAAGCGTGTTCATGATTTGCAGACGTCGAATCTTGAGGTTTGGACATTTTTTCTCAAACCACTTGGGTTTGAAAGTTCAGAACGAGTTCCAAGTTCAAAATAAAAGAACAAAATAAAATGTTTCTCCAACACAATGGAATCATTGATCCCTCCGATGAGTTTCTTCTCTCTCAAATTTTCTCCTATTTGAAACATGAAACCATTTATCAAAGAATGAGTCTTGTATGTCGGGATTGGTATCAAGTAATTTCTAAAGGTTACTTCATGGGAGAGGAATTTTATTTGGATGAACATGTCATCTTTGAATATTCCTGTACGAATATTGAAGAATTGTTATCAATGAAAACAAATACATCCAATACAATAGTATTGAATCCAAATGATAATAATTATTCCCATTTGATAGAATTTGCATTGGAATTTCAACGATTTTATTCAACGCTTGTGTTTGATCCTTATTATCCAGAAAGGAGATCAAGTGATGAATTTCGTTTAATGAGACGTTTTCAATCATTCATGTCGAAGAGATTCATTCATTATCTTAGATTTTTGCAAAACAAACATGGAACCATCCAAGGTGTGAAAATAGTGAACATGTACGAAATATTGTTATTGGATGACTCGATGAAAATGATTGGCTTGATGAGCTCGCTGTTTCCCTCTGTGACCATTGTGCGAAGTGCACTGTCATTCCCGTATGGTCGATCGCTTGATTACTTGTTAGAAATTGCAACAGGGTTTGACAAGTTACAAAAAGTGTATTTACTTTCGTTTTCTGTTGATCAAGCACACGTACTTGCTTCAAGTTTTGAAGAGAGCTCTTCAACCATTCCACCCAAAAACCCTTTTGTACAGCAAACAATTCAAGACACTACAAGAAACTATCCACATGTTCATTTTGTGAATACTGATTTTACAATTTATGCCTATTTAGAGTCAAGTCAGGTGGTTGAGCAATTAATAACAACATTGAACCGTCTGAAACGTAATGATCATCCACCACGATCACATCATATTGAAAAAGAAACTGCATCTCCATCGTCACAGAACGAGTTGTACAGTCCCAATGAAATATTTACATCCGATTTAGAGTTATTGTCCACTCTCAAGGCTGAACCTTGGATGTTGCATTTTCATGTGGCGAATGAGAATATTTTGACAATGGCAATACGTTTAAAGTTTAGAGAGAGTGTCAAGTATATCCTTTCAAAGAATTCTGCATTGTTAACCAAATCCACAAATCATCTACGGCGTAACTTCAAGCATCAAAGTCCTCTCTCAGTGGCCTTAACTTGCACAAGCCCTGAGGATGGAATTTTGGATGACATTATTTTAGCATTACAAAAACTTTCCAAAAAGAGTGATGAATACATTCATGATGCTGTTACCAAGATTCTTCCCTTAAATGACAAGCGTATACTTCATGCAGAGCCGCATTCGACCTTATTGGATTTCTTCATTTTACCACTCACACCACAAGTAGAGAAATATGTACATGAAAAATATGGTTTTGACAACTCTTTAGCCAATTTATTGAACTATCAAACAGGATATTCATTCACACATTATATTTTACAACATTTTCCGTTGCAGTGGACAAAACTAAAGACCTTACACCCTGAAAAAGTATTTCGAGATTTCGAGTCATTTCAAGATTCACTTCTTGGATCGAATCCATTACATGCACTATGCAGCTCTCATTGTCCTTTATCAATCTTTAAAGATGTCATGAATAGCTATTACAATAGTCATCCAGAAATTTTGGAACAACATTTGAGAGGTACCACGATTGGAAATCAATCTCCCTTACACACTCTCTTTTTCTTGAATGTGAATCATTTTAAAGAGATGCCTGAGAAGTTTTGGATCCTTTGGGAGAAATGTGGCTCAATTTTGAGGAAATACCTCCTATTACCAAATGCAAATGGAGAAACACCGCTCGAATTGTTACTGTCTTGCATTCGTCAAGGCAATATTTCACAAATTGAAGATTTCATACGACATGTAGTTTCACAAATGGCACTTGAAAACGAGAAGAATGCGCTTCAAATATTTCGAAAATTGTGCCTTCAAAGAAAGTCTTTCACTCTATTGTATATTATTTGTCGAGCTTTGGATGGTCGACTCTTTCCGTTACAGCCAGACGATGAAGGATATGATTTTCTAACATGGACTACAAATCTATTAGATTCGACTACTATTAAGAACCAATATTATTATGTGTTGAAGAATGGAAATTTGAACTTTCAGTATCGATTTCCCAAGATCAATCGAACATTGTTACATTTTGTGGTGGAATCAAAATGCAAAAATAGTGCCATATTGATACCTTTTTTGATACATTTTGGAGTTGGAGTGAATGAAGTGGATACAAGAGGAAATACATGTCTCCATCTCATTGATGATGTTTGTAGTCGATGGAGTGGAGAGTATCATATTGCCAAGTTGTTGAGAAATATGGGCGCAAAAGTCAATATTTACAACCATGATGGACGAGAACCATGTTCAAGAATGCGACCTCGACGCACCATATGGAAGAGCAAACAAGTGGTTTCAGTGTTTATATGTGAACATTGTTTAAAATATTTTACGTCACAGAAAGCAATGCATAAACATGAAGAAGCAAAACATGCACCACATGTTTCGAAAGAGTAAACAATAAAATTTGTTTGTTAATTAAAGGAAGGACTAATGGGTTTGTAGTCTCTCCAAACACCCAACCTTGATAAAGGTCCGGTGTTTGTGGGATTTTCTGCATATTTTGTCAATTGACTGGTGATGGTGTTCATCAGCGAAGGAAAAGAGAACAGCTCTTTTGAAGCAGCGGATGACTTTATCTCAAGTTGTGTGTCCGCTGATAACTTTTTGGATTTGACTGCCAAAGAAAGAGCAGAAAGAGAGTTCAACAAAAACATCAAGATGTTATTAAGAATATGAACCAATTTATGAATAGATCATCCAGACGTCGTGGCGGATATGACAGAAATCGTGGATATTATCAGAGATACCAACCATACAACAGTCCACAACCAGCATCAAGTGGGAATTTAGATCTACGAACGATCAACGGAGGTATAGAGGTAGCATCATTCAAAATGGACACTTTACTCAAATGCATCAAGTTTTTCAAGAAAGGAATGTGGGCTGCAAAGATAGATCTGAAGAAAGGTTATTTCCACATTCCAATACACCCAGAATCCCAACACTTACTAGGATTCCAATTCGAAGGGATGGTATTCGAATTCTGTTGTCTTCCATTCGGTCTTGCCCCAGCTCCAATTATATTCACCAAGATTTTCAAAGAAATTATTATTGTTTGGAGAAGCAATGGTATAATGGTTTACATTTACATAGACGACACGTTAATCCCTGCCTTCTCATTAGAAGAACTATGGGATCATATAATGACCATCGTCCTCGATTTATTATTCCTAGGTTGGTGGCTGTTGCAATTAGAAAAATGTGTATTGGTCCCAACTCAATCAATCGACTTCCTTGGAGTTTCTCTAGACTTTGTATCAGGCCGCATTCTTATTCCATCAGAGAAGATAAGTACAACATTAGAAATCTCAAACGAGCTTACTCAAGCAGAAAAATCAAGAAAGTTTATCAGATGCCGACACGTGGCCAAGTTCATAGGCAAATTGGAATTCCTTTCAGTAGCCAATCATTACATTCCCCCCTTTCTCCACAGACTAAGGAGAGACATGTTAATTGTGGTTCAAAAGAAAGGTTGGAATTCAAGCATGTTGATCAACAGAGGAGCAAAGAAAGATCTATTAATCCTTCAGCACATAGTTCAGGAGAACATTGGTGTACCTTTCGAGCTAGAATGGCCAACTCCGATCACAGTCAACTCAGAAGCTTCCCCACAGGGTACGGCATCCATGCTTGTTCAAATATTCTGGTGGGCAAATTCGACTCGATGGAGGATTTACATATCAATCAGAAAGAACTCCTGGCAATCCTCTACTTTTTTCGTCAAGCAGACCAACTCAACAGCTATCCTCCTCACACCAATTTCGAAATTCGGGAAGACAATACCACAGCCCTCAGTTATCTAAGGAAAGGTTATGGAACGTACGATCATCTCGCATCGATCTCAAAGGACATTTGGTCGATTCTGCTAAAACGAAAATGGTGGATTTCAAAGGTGGGTATTCATTCCATCCCATCAAAACATGATCGCAGATCGGTTAAGTCGATTATGAGATTGGCGTTCTTCCGAAGATCTACTCGACCTTATTCACAGAGAATTCGGTTACCATACTGTCGACAGGTTCGCGACATCAAATTCAGCAGTCCACGTTCAATTCAACTCTTGGCACGACAACGACGCTTTTCAGTCTCTTTGGGAAACAGACTCAATCAATTATTGCGTTCCTCCTCTTGGTCTAATTCCTCAAACAATCGTCCACATCATCAAATCGAGGGCTCGAGGGACATTAGTAGTTCCTAATTGGCCCTCCTCTCCCTGGTTCTCAGTACTGCTGAAAATATCAGAAAGCAGTATAAGTGTTCCAAGAAGTTTGATCATTATCGAGCCATACACAGAATTGTTCAACAAATTCGAGAATCTGGAAATGATTGCCTTCAAAGTGAATGGCACTCTATTTCACAACTAACTGATTTTAGTATAATTGTGTCCCTCTCTCCATCTACTCTAAAAGAATATGCGAAAATCTATGGTCTTTTCTCTTGGTTTATTACTGGTTTCGATTTTCACAAAGAGTCTGAGAGAGCAATGGATAATTTCTGTGGTTACCTTTCCAACCACAAAGAAGGATACCTCATCCAGAAAGCAAAGAATGCTATCCAGTTTTTCGCCGACCTCGAAGGTTGGGAGTTAAAAACTACCCCGTAGATATGGTAGAGTGGTTAAAGGTTCAAAAAGAATTTGGTCTTTGATCGACAGGAAAAAGATCGTAAGAGATCCCATTCGGCCCTCTCACATCGCTGCTTATATTTCAATGTGCAATCCTCAATCACCGGACGAATGTTTGTATTTGCCTTTACGGCTGCAATCCTAGTAATAGGTTTTAGATTGTTCGCTCGCCCTGGTGAATTATGTGAGTTGAAATGGTCAGATGTTGAGATTGATAAACCGAAGAAAAATTGGATCCATATCAATCTATCTGGTCACAAAACTGACTTTTTCTTCAATGATCGACCTCATCCAATCGATCCAGTGATCAGTGTAAATAGTTTTTGTCTTGTTCAAATTCTTAAGACCTATATGAACCTTGTTAAGGAATTTAAATCTCCTGATTCACCTCTACTCTCATTTCGAGATAATCAATTCCTTACAACCACACCAATTTCAGAATTAATATGAAATGCAATTAGATTAATGGATAGCAAAACAAAAGTCTCCGGACATAGCTTACGTATAGGTGCTTCTATCAAAATTTCCTCGAAAGGATGATATGTTCTGAACGAAATGAAGGGCATGAATGTTTCGATTTTAAACATTAAAAGAGTTTGGTTGAGCAACGAAAAATATTTTCATGCTCAAATTTTTTCTCCATATTCGTGCGTTTTGATTTGCTTAGTAACATTGAGACAGTGCAGGTCCATCTTGATCGAATCTTTTCGACAAGGATTTTACTGAGCTCACCATATATTTTAATATTTTAATTTCATGTATTTAATTCATCATGTTATCTTATTTTCATGGATTTATCAAGAAATTGCTTAATGTGACTTCTTGCGCTTCACATCTTAGAATCATTGTCTCTGCCTTCCTCCTTCATACACTTCCTTGCGTTTCTTTGGTTTTCTCCTTTTTTCCGATGGGCGGTTTTTGGAGTTTTTTTACCTTCTCAAATCTTAATTAATACTCGGGACTCTGCTGAATAAAGTCAATTGCAGAAAATCCCTTTACTCTCATGGAAATAAATTCTATGCGTTCAAAAAAGAAATAGGACATAAATCGTCTCGGGATTGTGATAGGAATAATGTTGAGTGTGATGAGAACAATCTTGTTTGTGATCATGATCATACCAACACAGCAAGAAAAGCAAGTTCGAGAAAAATTGTTGTGGAATTTCTCTGCAAGATTATGAACAATATTTGTTCAACGACAAAATTTATGATTGCACAAACCAAGTGATAGGAATACCGATCAATAACCGAATTTACTCAACCGAACAACGGTTTAGAATTGATTTTCAGTTTGATACAACACAAATGTAATAATTTTTGCATTTATGATTTGTGTAGCATCCTTTTTAAGTCACATCGAATTGTTGTAATTGAACATTTAACAGATACACAACGCCTATTTTCCCTACCTAAAAAAGTTGCTCAAAGCATTACAATAGGTTGAATATTAAGTACAATGGTCTTCCTCCAATGCCGGACAACAAACTACCAACTCAAGAAACGATTAACAGAGAAAAAGTGACACAAAAAATTCAGTCACTGAAATCTCACTTCCATCAATTGAAGAAGCCTTATCAGCACTCGATAATGCTGAACTTTCAAACGAAGAAATTGCAAAATTGAAAAAGAACACAAAAAAAACAAGGATACCAACTCAATGTTCAGAATGTAAAAATTTAAAAGGACGCAAAGAATGTGGTTTATGCAAAGTATGCTGTTTAAACAAAGGAGGTTGCAATCATCATTTCCGATATTACAAAGTCATTGACTCACTTCAAGACTATTCAGTTATAATTGCAGATTATGAAACTACAGATTTCAAAGTCAGAAGTTTTACTGACTTTTATGCAGACAATCTTAGCAACAACAGCACTATTGAGTTTCCACAATTTATTCGTCCTAGAAGAAAAATAGAAAAATCAGTCGTAGAATTGACTAATATTTCAAATGAAATGGTGCTTAATGGAGTGCGTGAAGATCAAGCAATTTCTAGATTGGTTGCAGAGCTTCCGAAAAAAGCAATAATTATTGCTCACAATTCTCCATTTGACAAAGATGCAATATTTAAAGCATACATGTATTGGAGGCAGAAAAAACTCTTGCAATCTAATTTCAAGGAAAATCGGTTGATATTTGGGAATTATCAAACAAAAATTATTAGAAAAATTAGAAAATTACAAGCTCGGAACAATATTCAAAACCTTATTTGATCGTGATATTGTAGATCAACATCGAGCAAAAAGTGATGTTATTGCATTGAAGCAAATATTGCAACATCCTAGAATATTCGGAAATGATGTAATTAATTCTGTGAAACGGTACTTGTCGGAGATCACAATCAAAGCCAGAGATTGTATTGTATTTGATGCTAATGGTAACAAACTATGTAATGATGATTTAATAGAGACTAGAGTATTAGGATTGATTGAAAACAAACGATAAACCTTCTCTGCTTGTTTCCGCTTTGATTGGCCCAATAAATTGCTATTGGCTCGACTTTAAATTTTTTTTAAAAAAATCTGTACCACCAGTTACCTATCACTTTCCCCCAAACCCTGGAAAATCATATTTGCTCCACATGATTCCTCATTTCAATGTTCCACAAATTACTCCGTCAGAAGCCCTAAATAATTCAATTAATTTCATTCAGAAGAAATATCCTCAACATCAATTACATCGTCAAACAAATAGAACGCTCGTTGATCTTCTGCAACATATTGGCTCAAATATGAAACAATATCGCCTGATTGCTCCAATTTCGAAATTATGTCACGAGAAAAAATGTCACTATTCAATGATAAAAATAGTGGAAGCAAATACTTATTGGCACCAGGAATGTTATCTATAATGTAATTGTTCTGTTAGTGTCGACTTCAATGGCAGATGGATTTTTAAAGTTAAAAACCACATCTTCATGATCACCCAACATTCCTGTCAATTTGAATTGATTACTGAATGGCACTTGATTACTTCCGATCATTTTGACCAAATTGGAATGAATGGAACGAGATTTCAAGGAATTGTGAAAAGTCTTGTGAATATCACACATCTTGACTTGACATTCCGAACATTCGTAATGAGCTTGTATTTCTTCATTCCATTCTATGAAATCACAGAGTTTGGAATTTAAAGATTTCACTTGTGCCCAAATTAAGAAATGATGATCAATTCTGACATGTCTTAAAAATCATGATATTACTACTTTTACAGTTTTAAAGTTTTTCAGACAATAGACCACTATAAAAAACTGTAAATATTGGAACGTTTGTCTTTGTTCATTAAAATGTCAACTGTCAAAGATCTTCAACAAAACAAAAAAAACAAAATTGGATCATCATCATCATTCCTTTACTCGATTACCCGAATTAAAGGAACAAACCGTTGCAACCAACAAATTTATTATGGATTGTATTCAACACGTACGTACTCCCATATTCGGAATCATCAATCGATTCATTACGGAATTAACCAATGTAAATCCAGATCTAGTTCAACCATTTATTTCTACTTTCTCATCCATTGATAATATTGATGCTCTATTCACATTATTTGACAAATTTAAAACCATTCAAGTGAATAAGACTTCTATTTTCGGAATATTTCTTCGTAAAATTATTTTAATATTTAATAATTTATTATTTGATGGAGTCAAGACATTATTTGATAATTTGATGAAATACAAATCCAATCAGCCAATGTTACTTTTAAATCAGGATACTATTGAATGTACTTTTCAGTTATTCCCTTTTACTACGGCTACTACTCCTGTTATTGCAAATAGTCGTACAACCACTACTACTACCACCGCTACTACTTGTTCAACAACTCCTCCTCAGAATTCCTTTGGTTCTGATTCTGTTCACTCTGTGAGCAAAATATTTCCAAAATTGTATTATCATAATTATATTCAAAGTTGTAAAGAAATGGATTTTGTGAATGCCAATTTCTTTCTTCATATTTATTATGATTATTTTCAAAATAGATCCTATTCTTCATTGAACAAATCTCTACTCTATTATCATTTTAAATATTACAAACAAGCAACCATTTCCTTAAAAGAGAGTATTAAAATTGCTCAACAAAATAATGAACATGAATCTCTATTATTATCCTTAATCATTTTATACAAAATCAAAATGATTGAATATTTTCATAATGAATCAAAGAATGTGGAATTATTTATTTTACAAGCATTGAAATTTGCACAAACTCAACCCAATCAATCACTCTCTTTTATTTCCTTTTTTATTACTCTCGATTATATTCAATTCAAATTATTAACTGGATTTCATGATGAAGAAATTCGTTTACAATTATATTTATTATTGAAAAAGTGTGAACAGGTATCCTTTCAAGAATTGCAAGAATTCAATCAATTCAATTCTAAAATACCATTATTTCCCAAGTCTCTATTGAATCATGTAAAATTACATTTTTATCGATTCATTGGTGATCGATTGTTGTATCAATGTCATTTGAGATTGTGTGGAAGTAGTAGTATGACAATGACGACGACGACGAGTGGACACTTGAGATCTCCATTCACTGGTCGATTGAAATCACCTCTAAGGTCACCTCTCATTCTGAAATCACCATCCATTCAATCACCTCTAAGGTCACCATCCATCTCATCAAATACCACAAATACCAACACCTCCTCCTCTTTACAATCACCCTCCTCCTCGAAATCTTGTTCATCATCTCTTCAATTAGGATTCACAAGAGATTTTTTAGACTTGTATTCAGATTATGAATTATTATCTTCAAAATCAATTCCAAATTCAGATCATACATGTTATAGAATCATCATTGCGCATTTCATTCAATTACAAGATCGTGAAAATGTGAATCTTCTAATGAATCAATTTAGAAATATGATTGATCCATCATTGACTATTGATCAATGTGATTTATTATATTTAGAGTCACTCATAGCCTATTACATGGATGAAAATATTCATCAAGCTATCTCTAAATTCATTTCATGTTTCAAATTGGCTGAGAAATTTAATTTTATTCAATTACTGAGTGTATATTTAGAAAATTGTGAATTATTGAAAAATAAGGAAACTTCAACTCTGTTAATGTCTTATCTATTCAAAGCAATTGATTATTGTGAAAAGAATCATTTAGAAACATATAAGAGTCGATGTTTATTATATTTGAATCATCATCCCATGTCCTTCATGTGGTCATGTGATGGGAATGGTCGGCATGGATTGTCTTGTCCAACAACAACGATCATGTCAATGACACCTCCTCCTCCTCCTCCTCCTCCAACAACAACAACAACAACCACTGTCATGACGAGTAGTAGTATTGGTAGTACTACTGCTACAACCACTGCCATGACGAGTACCAATACTACTACTACTCTACCACTTTCAACAGCTAATAGTATTCCAACTAGTGTTGCCATGACTAGTACTACTACAACTACTACTACTGCAACCATATCACCATTATTATCACCACCACTACCAAACAATACAATGAATACTTTACTCACTCATGGTAGTCAAACAGATATTGCCTATTATTATGAAATACTTGGCACAAGGTACAATCATGTGGAATATTTGAAGAAATCATTATCCCTCTATTTGAAATCATTTTGTTTAATTCAGAGTAGATTTTTGTGTTACAAATTGGCTCACTTGACCAAAGATGTCTACTATTGTAAATTGTATTGCAACATTCATAAGGAATTGAGAAAGAGTCATACAAGTGTATTATTGCAGAATGATACACCATTACCATTGGATACTATCATCGATCGATCTGTGGAATACTTCAAAATGACTCTGAAATCAATTCAACAGATTTGATCACCGAGTTGCAATCGAACAACTTGGCACCGAGTTGCTCAGTTGAAAGAGGCTCTCTCATCAGTAGGTGAACACGGAAACTCCCAAAATAAAAAACAACTCAAAAAAAATGTCCCACACCCATTCTTCATCTTCGACTCTAAGACTCGGAAGCAAACCCAAGATTGATCATGACTCGGTAGTAGTCAATCCTGTCATGTCTGCCACTTTGATGGACATGGGATTTTCTAAATTCAAGTCAGGAAGAGCTCTTCAAATGGTAAACAATATTTCCATTGATGCAGCCATTCAATACATTTACGATCATTTTAATGAATTGGATCAAGAAGAATTAATTGCAGGAGCCTCTGATCAGACATCTTCCACCAGTGCTCCTACAACAACCACCACCACCACCACCACCACCACCTTCACCACTCCTTCATCAACCCTCCCCTCATCCACACCCAGCAACACAGAAACACCAACTTCATCATCCCTTGCTGGTATCCCAGTGATACACCACAATCCAAACAAACTCAAAGGAGATACTCTCGAAAACAAGTTAGCCTTTGCAGAGAGAGAACGTTTGAAGGAACAAGAGCGATTGAAAAAAGAAAAATTGGAAGAAAAAAAAAGAATCAAGGCTTTGAAAGAACAAATGAAACGAGAGAAGGAAGAAAAGATGATGAAACAAACAGGAGTGAGTAGTAGTAGTGGTAGTAGTAGTGCTGCTTCGGCTTCTACAAGTGGAAGTAGTTGCAGTTCATCCTCCTCTTCCAATGTGGCTCTCATTCAAGTCCGATTATCTTCAGGCACTACTGAAAAGGTTCAATTGAATGCTGATGATCATTTGGATGCCTTATTTGCTGCAATTTCTAATCAATTAGATCCAAATGAAGCTTACAGTATTTTGACTACATTTCCACGTAAAGAATTCTTTGCAGAAGATTGGAATCAAACAACATTGCGTTCAGCTGGATTAGTACCAAAAGGTTCAGTCATTGTCCAATTGACTAAAAATAAGGGAATGGTAATCAAGGCAACAACTTCCACACCAACTGGATCATTAGCAACAACAGGAGGAGGTAATACTATGAACGACGACGATAGCAGTGATGATGACAATGGCAGTACAACAACAACAACCTCTTCTTATACTTCAAGCAGTCGAGTACTTGGTTCTTCTTCGAACCCAATTCCAGAAGAAAATGCTATCAAAACCATTCTTAATTCAGTTGTGAATTTCAATAAGGATAGTTATACTTTATTGCTATGTGAAAAGCAATGGATTCTTTCCAAGTTAGAATCAGGAACTAGTGATTCTCAACACGTTGTCTATCGACATTTGGGAGATTCTCATTTGGCTGGTTCTTCTCTCAATGAATGTGTCTTGTATTCTGCTCTTGGCCATGTGAGTATGTCATCCAATGGTGAGACCATGGTTGGTACTTGGAGATTTATACATCAACATGGTGGTGGAGTGTGTATTGAAATTACCAGTCAAAATATGGTTCAAGTCATGCACATTGAGTCACTCACGAACGAATGTTTAATTTTGAAGAGAATTGAAAAATAAATTTCTAGAGAAGAACAAAGTGTACTTTCATTGTTATTGCAACAATATGAACTTCAAAGTAAATCACTCAGATCGATCACATGCATCTGATCAAAAGGAACTGGATCAAATTGGAATTCTTCGAGAGCCTGAATGGTGGTGAATATTGAGGAGTCATTAGAAGATGGATTAAGAGTGTTTGTTGTTTTTCTTTTCAAATCAAACCTTTCAAATAATTCCTTAATTCTTTGATTCAAGACATGCTCAAATCCTGAATCTCCCATTTCTGCAACCTTCTCATGAAATTCAGAGTATATTTGAAAGATCAATGGAATCGCACATGGATAAGGATAAATATCACTCGCCATTAAATAAATACAAATTTTTGTGTGTGTTTGAATGTAGCAATAACAGATGGATTGCATAGAGGGAATGGTTACAGCAAATATCACATCATTTGGAGTAAGAGAGATTGTAAAAGGAGAGGTGTCATCGCTTGTATTCACACTCGCTTGTTCACAAAAGGTATCCACATTCATATTTTTGGTAATTAATTTCACATAATATTCACAGAGAAGGGCAAAATAATGATCATGTTCTCTCTTCCTATGAAAATAGGAATACATGGTTTGTATTTTCCAAGGTTTGCTATGACTCATTTTATGAATGTTCACAAATTTCAAATGAGTCATCTTTTTAAATAGAAATTCACAAATAAATGCAAATTTCAATTGTTTTTTTGGATGTAAAATCAATGAGAGTACATAACGACACTCTTCATCATGACATTGTAAATCATCATCATCATGACATTGTAAATCATACATGAATTTTTCATGATGATGATCAAGAACATGCTGAATCATGTTTCGAGAAATGTTTGCACTTTTCATTGCATTCGAATGAATCATCATCCTCGAATGACGAATATTCTTCTTGTTTGTTCTCAACATGATTCTTGCCAATAGCTTCTCCCATAGTGCATCACTATTGGCAATTCTTTTCCATTGTCGACACACCAAACATAGAGTGGTACAAATTTCATGAATATTTAAATATTCAAATATAGAATGATACAACAAGTGGTTGTTGTTAAAAAACAAAGTGGTGGTTTTACCAATAGGATCACGACGCATTGTTGTTGTCATTGAAAATGGTTGTATCATCATTTAATATATTCAAAGTGAGTCATCACTAGTCGTATTTAGACATCATTCGGAGAATTCATGATACAATTAAAAGTACAATGAGAACAGAGAATACATTTTTTTTAGAGGTGGAACTTTAAATTTGGAATCTGAAGAAGAAGGAATGAATGGATGACCTATTGATGATGACGATGAAGACAATGGATCGAGGAACTATTCGTCTCCAGTGTTCACTTTGAATCTCAATATTCTCTGCGTACTGAAAGATCACATTGATTAATAGGTGTAAGTGCATGGTTGTATTAAAGGTCACAAATTTCATTGTCATTTCCATTAAAAAAATTATCCTAATATGGTGTTTCAAAGGTCAGAAGGAAAAAGGACTGTATTGTTTTGCAGGAATGACTTTAGTGCAGCGTATGTATGGATCAGTACTGTTCCGTATCTGATAAACAATGGTCTTGAAATTAAGCTCATCAAACCGTTGCCAAAACTTTCTTGCTTCCTTTGCTTTGTCTAATTCATTTCTTGAAGAGGATTGAAATTTGTTGCAAGAAGCCCAATAACAAAATGTCTTCAATAACGCTTCACAATCATATTTTGTTTTGTAAGATTTGAAACTACGGGGATAAAAAATACATTCTAAATATTCATCTGCGCAAAATGAAACTGTTCCGGCAAACTGTGTCAATTCGTCAGCTTTACAAGCAAAACCCCAATCAATAAATATTAATTTTCCGTCATTTCCATTCTTATAATTTTTGAGAGTATTCAAAGTTTGATATTCGTTTTCAAACATCTATAATCAAACGTTTTACATATTTTAGCAACCCTTCCATCAGGTACTTCAAAAACCAAAGAAGTATAACCTTCGGAAAGGAAGTTAAATTGATTGCTGTTGATGGATAAAACCCCAATACCATCCATCTTGTCAATGGAAGTGTTAAGTAATGAATAAAGTGTTTGAATACCAAGAGTTACCATATTATTGGTGGGTGCGAAATCTATCGGTTTTGAATGTTGAAAAGTAACAATATCATCATTGATCTCAGCTTTTAGGAATATAATTGATGTGTAATTTTTCAAGTAATACTGATCATATAATAATCACATTAAATATTTATTGCTATTCCTATTTAAGCTTGGGGTTAGTAATGCATTTTATTATTACAAATACTATGCGAGAGAAATATTGGAAATAACCAGCAAAATAAATTTTCAAAAAATTATGATTTTCCTTCGTGAGAAGGTTAGTATATTGAAATAATAGTTCAACTCATCCTCTATTTCACGATTTAGATAGTGTTATTAATTGGATTGAACATGGAATAGGAAACAAATATTGTCTCTATTGTTTTAATCCTAAAGGTATTCGGGTAAGAAAGGACTATTGTCAATGAGATGTGATATAGTGTTGAAAAGAAAGAAAATGACATAACAAGTTGTAAAAGATTCAATAGGTAGCAATATTTATCATATTAATGGGAGAATAATGATAGATATTGATTATCTCATGTTTGAAAATATCTTTTCTCTTGGTTTTGTTGCTGCTTGTCTTCGTAATTATCATGTGATTATGATACTTTGTGAAAGTTTACTGTTATGTTGTTTGTGAATATAGATTAGAGTTGATTTGTTGTCAAAGTTTTAATAATTTTCGAATGTGTGATATTATGGGAAATGTATGGATTTGTAATAGTTTCTATTTTGTCATTTACGATAACTTTGTTCAAAATTGCTTTGGATGGAATTAATATTTCCGTAATTAATAGGTTTATCTTTGTTAAATAAAGTGGGTATTGATGTCCTCAAGATCATAGAAAGGCAGTGATGTTTTCTTTTTCGGTGACTTCTTTTCATCTCTTTAACTTGATCATTAAACATGTCTGAAAGGTGAATGAAAATAATTGGCTAAGTCATTTCATCTTCAGTGATTCTATGAATACGTTGTGCAACAACAATAAATGATGGATGATGATTTAATTACAACTCAATCTAGTATTACTACTTGTCTGGAAATCAATCCATGAATGAACTTCAGAATCAGCAGTTTCTTGTTGTCAGATCATTGAACCTCAAATGGAGAGAAATTCCAAACAAATATTCATGACAGTTTTGGCGCTCAAAATTACAATTCAACTAAAAAATGTCTCTCCAACCTCCCCCATCAAAAGCGACTGCTCATCAAGTCACCTCGGAAACATCTTCTTTAAAGATTAAATCTTTGTCAGATGCTCTCATTAGGGAATATTTAAATAAGATGGGATTCAAAGAGACACTGAAAATGTTTGATAAGGAGAATGTAAGTAGTAGTACTTGAGATCTCATCATGAGCTGACACATGTTCATCGTGTATTGAGCCAAGAGATGAGCATAGTATTAGCAGTCGGAAAGTGTTATCATCTTCATTGAATTTACATCCCACAACAGTGATGATTTCTAATAGTAGTAGCAATAGTGGTAGTAATAATATTGAAATAAGTAGAACTAGTTCTTCTTCTTTCATTGAACAATTAATTATGGAGAGAGTACATTCAAGGAATCATCCCATTTGTAAAAGTAATATACATTCAACTCATGATGATGATGATCATGGTGCACCACAAGACATGATCTCATCTCGTCGACCTTGTTCCAACAAACGTAATGATGCATTCAATTTTGGTAATAATGGCAGAGGTGTTGATCATAAGGATGGAACTCTGAATTCCACCACTTTCAACACTACTACCAATTCACCACTACCCAAACAGCTGAATGACAAACAATTATCCACTACAGCAACATCAAATACAGTCAATCTTGACATTCAGCTTGAAGATGTGGATGACACTAGCATGATGGATTCAACAAGTGTTAAAACCATGAGTAATGGTGGTAATGGTAGTAATAGTAATGGTGGTAATAGTATTGCTGTTAAAACCACATCCAAGATCATTCAACCATCATCATCATCGACGACTTTGAATGATCCATCCAAGAAGAAACAACAACAACTCTCTAAATATTCCTATCAACACATTTCTAATGAGGATTTAAAAAAGTTGAAAAAGTTACTCATTGGTAGTTCTTCAAAATCCTCCTCACTTCCATCTTCATGGATTCAACAAGGAATCTATTTCTATCATCATGAGTCCTCTGATGATGATATATTCAAATATGGTATTGTTCAGAATGAAGGAGGTCCATGTGGAGTATTGGCAGTCATTCAATCATTCATTATTAGAAATTATTATTTCAAGAAGACTCAGAGTCATTCAGAACAATATTCAAAGTTCACTAATGACATGTTCATGATGAATCAATTACATCTATTGGTTGACTCTCTCTATGACTTGTTTGTCCATTGTGTGGTTCGGTCAAGAAGTCTTTCTACTGCCACCACCACCACCACCACTGCTACTACCACCAGTAACACTACCACCACTCGAACCACTCGAACCACTGCCACTCGAACCACTCAATCGATCAACGCCTCTACCACATCATGCTTCAAAATGGTTAAATTTCAAGTTCATGATCCTCTCCATGATTCCTTTGAAAAGTATTCCATTTCTTATTGTACTTTGAATGGTCTTGATCAAGTCTATGAATATTTAGAGAATCTTGTCATTCCTAATGTCAATCCATTCTCATCATTCTATTTAAATCCAAATGGTACTGGTCTAATTTCATATCTATGTTCCATTCTATTCTCAATAGGATTAGATGAATGCATTCAACAAATGTCCAATGCACTTAATTCTAGTTTCATTGTTGAATTTGGATATTGTTCACAAGAATTGGTGAATTTACTCCTCATCGGATATGCAACCAGTTATGTTCATGATGATGATGATTCGAGTGATCATTCATTGATTGAGATGAACAAGGAATTGATCAATTCTAAAACTTGTCCCATTGGTTTTTTAACGATATTGGAATATTATGATCATGTTCGAGTTGGAAATTGTTTAAAACATCCTACATTCCCAATATGGGTGGTAGATTTTGAGAGTCACTACAGTGTTCTATTTGAAAAAGAACCTAATGAATTATATTATTATGATCAATTCATGAAACAGGAAGGTGATATTCATTTAAGTTTGAAATTACATCAAAACAACAGTGCCATTGTCACCACCACTGATTCAACAAACAATGATATTCCTCTTGAAAATGTCATTCGTACAAGATGGAAGAATTGTTCAATCGATTGGAATGGAACAGAGCCATTATTGTAACTATGAAGTGTTGTTCGTTTTGAATGGAGGAATTGAGTGGTGCATGATCTATCCATAAAATCTTTTTGATTTTGTAATTTCTTTGGAACAAGATGGACAATTCACACAGTGATCACTCGAATCATTCAATAATGCATTTTCAATGCAATAATAACAGAATCGATGTTTACAGACACCATCATGACTCACATAGGGTATTAGAATAGGATTAGCATTACAAAATGGACATTCTTGATTCGAGTAGTAAGAATTATTGATTTGAGATTGGTCAGAATGGTCACTGTCGATTTGAGATTGATTCCTATTGGTAGTAGTAGTAGTAGTAGTATGGGTGGTAGTAGTAGGATGATGATGGAAGGACATCATGTGCTTCGAATAAACCATCTCTTTCATTCTCATCCAATCCCATACTCGATTCAAAAATGTCCATAATTTTTTAAAATTAATTAATGGAGCAATAAATAAGATGGTTTCTGCTAATCCATTCCATATCAATTCTGTATTCATGTAATCAAATGATAATTGTCTATTAGAATATGTGTGCATCATCGTATGGGAATTTGATAACATCATCATGTTGAATATAATGAAGTGATGAAAAATAATTTGAAAAAAAGTATCGCATGATGAATATAAAAAAAAGAGAAGTATCATTTGATAAAAATCATTTACATGATGTGATCACTATTACTATTCACACACCTACCTAATCATAAATCTTGTTGCATATACCTTTCTCCAATGAAATATTCGATCAATGAGAGATTTATATTTTCCTTGATAGAGAAATATGATAAAATTAATAAATTCTAATGTTTTGTAATAATATTCAAATTTCTTTAAATATTCAATATTTAAATATTGACTTTTGCCTATTCTTTCATACAAATATGGAATACCAATAGATGCAATACCATATAAATACTTGGAGAGAATATTTGGGTCTTTCATTTCAGTATTTGAATATTTTAAATTTTGAATTCGATCTCCAAATGTTTGATTATTATCATAAATAGAATATTTATAGATGAATATTCTAATGAATAACATAATTTCAGGTTCATAGTATTCACACATTCTAAAATGTTTAAATACTCTTTTCACATAATTTAATAAATAATTTTCAATTTCTAAATCTAATCGATCCGAATCTAATTGATTGACTTTGAGAATTTTAATGACAGATAAAGTAGAATTAGAGGAGGAAGAAGAGGAAGAATTTGATTCACTTGTTACATTGACTGTCATTGTATTTAAATAGTCGTGATCATCATGGTCATTGATTTGGTCATTGATGTAGTGATGATGATGATGAGGAGGAGAATTTTGATTTCGAATGTGAGTTGTAGTACTAGTAGTATTATTTGTACTAGTAGTATTATTTGTACTAGTAGTATTATTTGTACTAGTAGTATTATTTGTACTAGTAGTATTATTTGTACTAGTAGTATTATTTGTACTAGTAGTATTATTTGTACTAGTAGTATTATTTGTATTACTACTGTTCATCATGTCATTGGAAGAAGGAGTAGGTTCAGTATTACTACTGTTCATCATGATGATGCCATTGGGAAGAGATGTTTCCAAGTTATTGTCTTGGTGATGATGATGATGAGAATTTTCAAGAGTGTGATTGGATGGTGGTGGTTGTTGAAGGTTATCATCCTGGTGGTGGTGGTGGTGGTGGTGGTGAGGAAGCAAGGTTGAAGGGTGCGACATTTTTTGTGTACTAGGTAGTTCCGCTCTCTTTGGAATGGGTCTTGGGAATTCCAAAAAGGATGTTGTGGTGAGGTGAGGACGATAATTTTCAATAGAAATAGAGACTTTCATAAGATAATAAATGCTTCCTCTCTCTCTCTCTCTGAAATTTTGTCTGAATCGAAATACCACACTCTGAATTCACTTCGAACAATAATTTTAAAAAAAAATGCAACCCAACAACAACAACACCAATATTGGTGGAGGTACAAACACTACTACCAATCCCAACCATGCATTCGCTCAAATGATGCAACAAATACAAACCATGAATAGTCGAGGTGGTGGTGGTGTCTCGAGTGGTGGTGGTGGTGGTCCAACCACTCTTCTTCCGAATCCAAATATGGCACAATTAATTCAAGCGATGGGTACTTCGGGTGGTGGTGGTACAAGTGGTGGTGTCTCGAGTGGTGGTGGTATGGATCCCTCTATGGCAGCAGCTGCAATGGTCAATAATATGGCTGCATTGGCATCTGCTCGTGCCATCAATCCAGCAGTATTGGCAAGGAGTGGATTGATGGGAATACCACCCACCCATCATCCTATGGGGGTCATGCCCATCCATCCAACAACAACAACAACAACGAATACGACCAATCCAGCAAGTACAACTAATACTTTACATGTTCCGAATACAACCAACAATACCAACAATACAACAACCATCAACAACAACTCTACCCATCAAAACAACAACACTTCTTCACACTCCTCCTCTTCCAACACCACCACCACCACCAACACTACTACTACTACCACCACTACTAACACTCGAAACCAATGGCATGATTCAGTGAGTAAAGCCACTCGTCAAACACTGTTCAATAAGATTGCAGAATTTAAACATAATCGAGTGCATCCTACCATCGATGATAAATCCGAAGAACAACGATATATTCTCACTCATGTGAGTCGTGAATGGAAAGGTTCTTCCACGAAAGAACAATTTGCAAAAAGTATTGCTCTGTGGTTAAGCAAAGAAGGATCAAAAACAAGTATTGATCAAATGGAAAAGACTTTATTAGATATATTGAATAAGAATCAACCACACACAGCCATGTCCATCATGATGATGGATTCATCGAGTGGAAGCAGCGCAACAACTACTGGTCAAAGTGGTGGTGGTGGTGGTGGCAATACTACGATATTACCTCCCACTGGTACTGGTACTACTACAAAGGATAATTCTCTATTCAACATGATGGCCACAGCAGCTACTTCTATTGGAAATAATACTGGAAATATTCCCAATATGACTAATCCAGTACTTTCCAGTAGTAGCAGTAGTGGTGGTGGTGGTGGTGGTGTCAATAATGGAGGCGGTAAATCAAATCTTACGACTGCTGTGCCTCCAAACACAACAAGTGGTACGACTCAAACCTCTTCTTCTTCAACAACAACAACAACAACAACCAATAATCGATTATTCTCTGATCTTACTTCTGAACAAAAACAACAATACATGCAAATTGTTGAATATTTAAAACCACACATTCAAACCCTAACCAATATTGTTCAACCCTTACAAAAACAAATTGCAACACTTCGAAGAGCAGCAGAAGAACATAAACTTACTCCTGAAGTTAGAAAAGATTTTGAAAAGAAATCCATGTATTTGAGAGAATTACTTAATATTCTTTCAATGATTAAGGATGAACAAGGATCGAAAAAGAAATTGGATACTCTCAAAGAACAATCCTTAATCAGTGCAAGACAAATTCGAGATTTAATTGATGCAAAAGTACATGCCTCATCAGAGAGAGGTGCAGGAGGTATTGCTGTCGTACCACCACCACCTCCAACAACAACAAGTGCTGTTGGTACATTGAACACTACCACTAGTACGACCAACAACAACAACAACACGACTACATCTGCTGCTGCTGTGGTTGTAGGAGGTGTTACTGCTGGAACGAGTGGTTCAACCAGCACCACCACCAACACTTTGACCTCCTCTTCATCCATACCATCATCATCATCTCAACACAGCAATACAAGTACGACCATTGTCTTACCATCGAGTTCATCATCCACAACTGGAAGTACCAATACTACCAATACTACCAACACCACTCTTACCAACACTCACACTGGAAGTACTACCATCACCAACACTGCTACCTTCACTTCACATACTAAAAATCTTGATTTAATGTTGGTTCAATTTTTAAAAGAGAAAACAACAGAAGTATCGACCATTGATTGTTGTAAAAAGTTACATGAAGCAAGTATTAATCCTCTCAATGAAGATGCATTCTTCACAAGTATTAGTGACATGATGAAAAAGAATGAATTAACAACACTCAAGAAGAGAAAATTATCTTCACAAACCATTCCAATGACAAATTCGAACAAGAAGAGAATGCAACCTACTGACATTTTACAAAGATCATTACAATCTCTTAATTTGAAACAAATTAATGGAATTTCAGTCAAGTACAAATTGAATGTACAACATTTAGAGGATGCAAGATTTCAAATTAATTTTGTTGTGACACCTGAAGAGAAGGGAGTTCTAACTTTACCAAATTTATCAGTTTGTGTGATTGTTAATCATAATGACATTCTTCCATATTCTATTTCATTTAGAAATAATTATCCTAATGACAAGAATAATGTCTTTGTAAATATCAGAAAAGCATTTAACAGCTTATTAATTGAAAAGACTACAAGTTTTATCGATCAATCCACAACCATGAGTGTACAAAACAATACTTATTCTATTCAAAGATGTAATTTATCATTATCATTTATTCTCAATAGCTGGATTTTAGCCATCAATCAAGTGATTAATCAAGAATTAATGGAATAAAGATTGATTTTTGCAGGATGGTTAGTCCCACAGTATGCAGTGTTCTGTTGGTTGTTGTGGTGGTGGTGGTGGTGGCATGAGAGAGAGAGGCAGTAGTAGTGCATGCAGTGTTCTGTTTGAAAGTGAATTCAAACATTTCTTCTTCTTCTCCTATTGGAAATTCAACATGCGATTTTTTTACTTGATCATCATGAGTTGCATGAGAAATGGTCGTGTGAGAGTGAGTGAATTGGAGAGAGATAAAGCATTCAAGAATCGATACAAGGTATAGTGATTGTAAGTATATCGATTAGTGTTGGTGTTTGGCAAATTGGCATTTCCTTCTACACCAACAAATGCATTGGATGATTGATATCCAAACAAACAAACATTATTCATCACTGCATCAATGTCATGGTGTTTCTCAACCATTAATTCTTCAATAATTTCATACTCTCCTGAAATGGGTATGGTGTGAATAATTGAGATACTTGAAACCATGGGTGTCATGACAGTGGTAGTAGTTGTTGTACTTGCCATGATCATGTTGGATGAAGTCATCGTAGTAGTAGTTGCTGTTGCTACATTTGTTCCCAATGCAATTCCATTATTATTATTATTATTGGTGATACTATTTGTGCCACCATGACTACTACCACCACCACTCTGACTACTACTACCACCACCATTATCAATCGTAGTAGTAGTAGTGGTCACAACATTCATTGATCCATGTGAGGATCTTCCCAAAAATATTACAAAATCCACGGATTGGGATTTTCGATTAATTTGCAAATATTTCAATTCCAATTCATTGGCAGAGAATACTTGTTGAATACTCTGTGACATTTCACTTAATAATGAAATTGATTTGGTATAAATAATTAATTGTTCAATCATGTTATCAAATAAATAAGAAGATACTAATTTGGAAAGTAATGGTAAATCTGTTGTTGGATTGGTGTTATCAATAAGTGTTAATTTGGTTAATCTTCTTGAATATCTTTTAACACATTCAATGAGTGATGAAAGTGTATATCCATTTCTACTATATTTAAATATCACATGATTGACATAAATACCAATATTTCCTAAAATAGAATATCCTAAGGTTTCATTTCGATCATCAATATAGACAGTAGAGAGTTTGTTTAATTTCTCAAAAGATGATTTCAATAAATTAGTATCATTGAAATTATCAGAATATGGTCCATTTTGAGAATAGAAATCAATTCTCTTAATATTTAAATGATTATTTAAAAATAAATGTAAATGATCAATATTAGAGATGGTCAAGTGATAGAGTTTGCTTGAAGAATGGATGATCGAATTCTTGTAAATGATTCGATTTAAAATGTTATAATTATTCTTATCTAATAGAGTTAAATGATGAACAAGATGAGTGAATGAAATGGAAGGTGTTGATGTGGTGGTGATTGTCATTGGTTTGGTTGTTATCATTGATGATGTGGATGATGTGGATGATAGAATATAATCATCATGATGAACCAGATGAGATGTCGTGGTGGTGTTAGTGGTGGTGTTGAATGTGGTGGTGGGTAGTGTTGTTGTTGATGAAGTGATGGTCAGAGTGGTGGTAGTGTTGTTGTTGATGGTTGTTGATGGTGAAGTGGTGGTGGGTAGTGTTGATGATAGGATAGAGGATTCTTGTTGTTGAGATTCACAAGGTGCTATTGAAAGATTCAAAGAAGTAGTTGAAGAACTTGGAATGAACAATTCACTTTCCTTCTTCTCAGTATAGGTGGAAAGAATGACATGATTCCATGTTCCTTTGTTCTTTCCTCTTGAAATGGTCAATGAATGGTTCAATACTTGTAGATATTGACATAATTGTTCTTCACTTTCATAATAATTAATATCTAAATAGATTAATCGAGTAGAGGAATGATTTAAATGTGACAAGACACGTTTCAAATGATCTAATAATAATTTTTCATTCTTCACTCTTCTCAAATCAATCCAAAAATGGAATTCTCTGGAACAAGTTACATGTGTATCATCAGCACTGTCACTTTCACTCTTCCTTTCCTTTCTCTCGAGATTACCATCCTTCATAGATAAATTCCTATCCATATTCACATTCCTATCCTTCATAGACAAATTCCTATTCACATTCCTATTCATACCCTTCTTCTCTTCATCATCATTTGAATTCACATTACTCATATTCACAACATTACCCATATTCACAACATTACTCAAATGATCTTGTTTCAATGAAAATAAAACTCCATTTAAAAAATCTTCATCCATTAATTCATATTCTGTCACTCGAATGATATTCATCATCATTGAATAACCATAAGCAGCATGATAAAATCCATAAATATACTTGTTATTCTTATAAGATTCTAATTGTTTTAATATTCGATTGGATCGGATTGGAATATGATGTTCTTGAACGAGTTGTGAAATATTATAAGGTAACAATAAAGTTTCTTTCACTTTTTTCAAATATGGTAATGCTGTGAATAGACTCACATAGGGATCAATGAGTGCTTTTCTTTTAATATGAAAATGACACATTGTAAATCCAATGAATAGAGCCATTGAATCTAAATGTAATGTGAAATTTGATAAATCTACAAGTTGAATTCTTTTAAAGTGAATATAATCATTTCGTAATTTCTCAACCATTTCAATGAATAATTCACAAGATTCATATAAATTTTCAAAACGAGTTGTTGTGGAGTGACTCAACATCGAAGAAGGAGTAGTAATTGTTGTTGTTGTTGTGGAGTGACTCAACATCGAAGAAAAAGATGGAATGGAAGGTAAAGGTGGAATGGAATTTGAAGTAATGAGAGATTTCAAATATAATAATTGATCATAACAATAGAAAATGAGAGAGATTTCACTCAATTCCAAACACGTGTCATGAAATTTGTTGGATGAAGAAAAGTGATGATTCAATAATGAAGGCAACACTCGTTCACGACTATCACCACTACCACTACTACCACCACTACCACTACTACCACTACTACTTTCCATCAATAGATGGTTGTTGTTGGTGATGGTGATGGATGAGGCAATAGTAGTAGTAGTAGATCGATAGAGTATTGGAAATATTTGTTGTAACATGGGAGTGTACAGTGTACAACATGGGAGTGGTGAGAAGGATGAGGAGGAGGGTAGTGCTTGTGGTGTTTGCTCATTCGATCGGATGGAACTGTTGTGGTGTTGGTGATGGTGTTGGTGATGATGATTGGAACAAGATTCATGAATCATCATCATCATGGTCTTGTAGAATATGGAAGCATGAACCACATCGAGAAAGGATGAAATGTATCCACAAACTTCAACAGGAAGAGTGTTGAGAAGATTCATAATGATTGGTGTTTTGACGTTCGGAAAAAGAAGAAGGAACAGAATTCTGAGGATCAAAATGAGAGAGAGGTTTGTGGTGGTGATGTTTAAAGATTTTTTTGCACTAAGAGTGAATTATTTTCAAAAAAAAAATGTCCATTCCTCTTCATCAAGTAGGACTAGGGGCCACTACTGATGCTGTTCCTCCTCATTCAGAGCCATCATCATCTTCCTATAAGCAACATATTAATCTCTATTCTCTCTCTATTCTTACAAAACAAAAAGTAATCCTTGGAGATTTGGATGTATCGGCTCTTCATCATGTCATTGATCCAGGACATATTCATGCGAATCGTCTAGCCTCATCTTACTCTTCTCTTTATTTCATTAATCATAAAAAGCTTTATAAAATTAATTATGAATTACCAAAGAGTGAGAATATTCTTTGGAGACCAACAAAGAACACTAAATTACCTTATCCAATTCCATTAGCAGATATTAATATTCAAGTTATTTATGATGCTGGAAAGAGTGATTTTCAAGATATTGAAATTCATAAGAATAGAATTGGTGTGTGTGATGATATGGGAAATGTTTATATCTTTGACAATCAACATGATGACAACCATGACGATGATGACACTCAAGACAAGACTCATTCAAAGAAAAAAAGAAAAATTGATGAATCATCCATCATTCAACTATCGTATGACTCTCCTTCATCATCAGAAATGCATATTCGTGGACATTCAAGCGTTAAATTTCATCCAACCGATGATTCTATTATTATTCGAAGCAAATTCGAGAATAAGAATGTGACTATTTATGATGTGAATAGAAATAGTGCTATTTTCAATATTCATACCATGCAAAATCCAACCAAATTAAAACCATTCATCATTGAACAATCCAATACACCACTGTTAGCAATTGGTGAATACAATAATGTATCTATTTGGGATTTTAGAAGTAATAAGGTGGTGAATCGATTGACAAGAACAAGAGGAATTGTTTATGACATGGAAGTGACAAGTAGTGGCAGCAATGGTAAACACAAATCATCTAATTTATTAGGAGTAGTTGGAAGTGATCGAACCGTTTATGTTTATGACACATTGAAATGGTCTCCAATTCACAAATGGCAAAATTGTTTGAAATATGCTCCATCTTATTTATCATTTTCTAATGTGAATAAGGAATTGTGTTATGTGGCTGGATTTGATAATAGTGAATTCAAATGTGGTAATTTTGTGGATCAAAAACAACAACGACATGGAAGAGGACATGGACTCTATGCTGATCATCGATGGATTGGAATGACAAAACCTTTGAATGCTTTTAGTAGTGGTGATGGTAGTGGTGGTAGTGATGGTCAAAGTGAATTCAATTCAATGATGACGACGACGGCCAATGACACCATTGTGGGAATGAGTATGAATGGCACATTGTATGTCATTGAACATCCTTACAAAATGGCACCAATGAGTGGTTTGCAGCAATCGGATCATGATGATGACTTGACCGATCGAGAGGCTATAAGAGATGATGACCTTATGGATGATTAACAATTTTATTATTGCCATCTCTAAAAACCAAGTAAAATAATAATAATAATAGCATACGCCTTGATCAACAATTTCATCGCTAGTACTCGAACGCATTCAAGGATCTTTGGAAAGTCTCAAAGTCTAGTTCCTTACTGCCAGAACAAACGGAACCAGTACTGGCGTTACCTGTCAAAAAAAAAACCGACATCTCCAACACCTCTGCAGCCAATTTCGCTGGTGCATCTGCCGTTGTCATCCTATTCGTCGACGTTACACAACAACAACAAGTTGACATCATCATCATGTCCGAAAACACCAACAACACCACTCCTTCCACTACTACTACTACTGTGGATACCAACTCAAGTTCCTCTTCCTCCTCTCGAAGAAGAAGAAAACAACAACCAAGTGCCCACCACTCACCACAGACACCTCAACCGTGGTCTGAACAAGCACCACAAGCACCACAGACACCACAGACCTTTCTCGATATTCCCACAAGCACCACCACCACCACTCCTTCCTCACCTCAACAACAACAAGGCTCTTATGTCTCATCACCCTCTTCTTCGGTCGTCTCTTCCCCATCATCTTCTTCACTCCGTACCAATTCACTCTTTGAAGAACAACACATTGACATTCCAAAACTCTGTGAAAGACTTGTACAAAATGATCCTCTCTTGACTACAGTGGATTTGAGTGGACAAATTCTCTCTGTGAATGATGTGGCTCTTCTTTTGGATGCTCTTCTCAAAAATCATTTTGTACAAACTTTGGATTTGACACAATGTGGAATTAATGATCAGTCTGCATCATTTATTGGTGATTTTATTGGAATGAATCATCAAAGTATTCGAAATATCTATCTCGATGGAAATCCATTTTGTGATGATGGTGTAAATTCTCTATTGGATGGTTTAGAACAAAATGTTTATATTACAGATATGACTGTCAATGAAAATGTCATTGCACAAGAATTTATCGATGAAATGGAAAAGTATTTGGAACGTAATGCTCAAGAGTAAAGTCTCTCAATACTATTAATGATAGTACTAATAGTAGATATTTTAATGATTGTAATGATGATAATAAACCTTCTTGGTGATGGACTTTCCCGCCAAAACACATTCAAATTGAAAAAAATATTTAAATTCACTTTCTCCGATCATTATCATCATCATCGGAACAAATGGTTTTTAGACTTGTCAAATCAAAATATGACTCCTTTATGGATTATCTTGATGAATTACATTTCAAAATCATTTACTTTTTTGATGAAGATATTTACAACTACATTTCTGAAACAAAATTATACATTCTATTTATTCTTGTACCAAATATTCTACTAATTATTTGCACTCTCGGATTTATTCCATCATCTTTGGCCCATTACATTTACCTCCTTCTATGTATATACAGTATTTATAATACAGCTACTTTCTTTAGTAGAAGTAGATTTTATCAAATATATGATGACTCACCAGAATTGGATGAAATATATGAAGGATCTTATGATGATTCGAATGAAAAATATTTCCAAGGAAACTTTTTCAGTGGAAGACCACGTGCAAGAACACCCAATCTAACAAGATCCATTCATCCTAGATTTACTGAAAAGTATCATGAAGAACATCGTAAACATGGCGTTTTTATGAGATTTGTTTTATTAATTGTGAATATTATTGAGGGTGTCTTTCACTTTTTTACTTTTGGATTTTTGAGAAATGATAACTTGCGATTAAGAGGAAAACGAAGAGTTTCAAGAAAAGTTAATGACAAGAAACCAAAAAGAAAAACATTTTCTGAAAGAAAAGAAGAAGAAGAAAAGAATAATCGACCAGCTAATATGACAACCTATTACGATGATGTTACGGAATCAAACATGAATCGAAGATCTTCTTCTCTGAATGGAAAAAAGTATATTTATGAAGTTGAAATGTGGGATTATTCTCAATATGACAGAGCATTGATCACTTATTTTTCACCCATTCAAGTGTTTGCCATGTATTTCATTTACTACTTGTACTCTCATCACGCTTATTCTCTTTCAGTGTTGTACACAAAGATCATGATGACTATTTTCATTTATTTACAATCTGTATTTATTGATAGAATTATGATTGCTTTTGAAAGAAGAGAATCTGATAAGCAAATTATTTATAGTCAAACCTATAGAGAAGAAGTTGATTTTAACAACAAGTTGAATGCGAAAAGAAGAGAGGCCATTAGAAATTATAATGAGCAACTTTTACATAGTGGTATTACACTTCCAACTCTTGAACCTGTGCATTTTGCAAATGCTGCCTATTCAGGACTTGGCTATAGTGAGGAGGAGGAGGTTGATGACATTCATATGAACAATCCATTAGTAACATCATCATCACCCCCAAGAAATTCATACACATCACATGAACACAATATGAGAACAAGTCACCATCAGGATTTTTTAGAACCAAAGGAACAACAAAATACTCTCAACTTGGTGACCAAGAGGTCAAACAGAAAGATGAATCGACAATCCGAAGAAATTGAAGTAATAGAACAACAACCTCCTCAAGCATCCATTTCTCAACCACCGCCCATCACTTCTTCAAGAACTATGGAAGAACCTCAGAAAAGTGGATGGTTATCAGGCTTATGGAATTCCATTTTCCCATCCCGCAAACAGAAGCAAGAAGCACAAGAACAACAAAGTGTATCACGAAGTATTCAAAGAACTCAAACACAACCAAAAGATGAAGAAGAGGATGAACGAAGAGATGCCAAGCGAAAACAACCAAGTGCCAAACAACCTTCAGAGAGTGAAAGAGCAGAAGAAAAAAAGCGAAAAGAAAGTGTCAGCAACCCATTCCAGCAGCACCGAAAGAAACCAAAACAATAAACAAAACTCGAATTTATTAATTGGTTGTGATGTTTTGATACTTTTTAAGCTCAGTATGTTTTGGTTTGTACAGTACAACAGTTGTAAACTTGTCCTTATATCTCTGTGTAACACCAACCTTATTCATGTTATCTCTTTCAGAAAAGTATGCATGATTAACAGTGACATGAAGTGGAATTGGTAAAAGGCCTGGATTATGATGGAATTTCTTACTACTATTGAGCGGAGTATAACGTAAATGAGGTGGCAAAATTGGTGGATTTTTCTTATTTTCAGGGAATATTTCTTCTTGATATCCATAAGTATTACTGTACTGTTTCGACTCGCCTTCTTTGGTTGGTGAAGTGTCACCCTTTTCAGTCTTGTGATCATTCCTAGAATTGTGTTGAGGAGATGTTGGTGGAGAATGATGATGTTGTTTTACAGTGGGGGAATGATAATGTGATGTATCAACGTGATGATGGTGCGTTGGAGATGTTTGATGCGGTTGTGTATGTGAAGACTGATAATTAGAAACTCCATAAGGGGTTGGTGCACTTGTGTTGGCTCTTCTAGGTGGTGAAGATGCTGGCACTCCTGTGGCGTGTGATTTTACGACCGAAATGTTGTTGTCATGAGCTTTACCAATTCCAATTGGTGCAGATGTCGTATGAGTGTGATGATGTGATGATGATGAAGAGGAGGAGATGTCATCATCCTCATCTTCTTCCTCTTCCTCTTCTGCTTCTTCGCTCTCTTCATCTGCTGTAATTTCCACAACGTTGCTCAAATAACCATGTTCATCTTTTTCTGTTGGTGAATTCAGATCGGTTGTATATTCTCCATCAACAATGAACTGATATAATTATTCCAAAATTGATAATTTAAATGATAAAGACCATTCCGTACCAATAATATATAAAATTCTCTCTATTAATAAATACAAACTAAAAATCATTACGTACTCGATAGAAATGTTTTCCAACGGAAACGTTCAAAATCACTACGAAAGCCTCTTCTTCACTATTGTATGACATGGGAATCTTTTCAGACCAATTATTAAAACTACCAATAATATAAACTTTTCGTCCGCCATAGGGCCAACGAAACATTGTTGGTACTTTGGTTTCATGATATGCTGCTGTTGGTATAAAGCTATTATCATAAAATTTATCATCTTTTGGAGTTTGAGCAGGAGAGTGCACACCTCCGTGTGGTGGTGTTGCTGTGTTCTTACTTCCGGTAACTCCCATTGCAATATGGCGGTGAGGATGACACTGATGATGAATAATAAATTAACAAAAGCAAGCCTTGTAGAGGAACGATAGTGTTATTGGACTACAAGAGCGGGATATTTTTTTTCGAATAAAACTCAAGTCCATTCATTCCCTTAAATCAACAACAGGACTTGCATCTTCTCCAATTCGAGGATTGGATTCCTATCATATGAAATCTCTCAACCATGGTGTGAGGTTGGTTGCAAAGATATAGAATAAACAGGGGATATAGATGCTCAAAAGTCAAAAAATTTATGATCGTATCAACTGTTACGGAGAAGAAGGATTCCCTCCACTTGAAGATTTCCATATGGAGTATATATTGTACACTAAACACTGGATAATCCCATCAATTTTCTCAATTCTTCATACAATGGCAATGTCAATAGACAATGAGTTCCTATTCGAATATAATTTGGAACAAATCCAGACATGAATGCTCGAAGACCATGTTTTTGATAGGTCTTGACTGCACAATCTATTAATCCACTATAGGAAGAGTCCATTCCAGAAACAGCAGCACCAGTGATGTGATTCTTCTTCTTAGATGCCATGAGTTTCGTTTTAATCACATCACTTGGATTGGTCGTCAATGTGGATAACAGACCAGCCACCAATGATGCAGTCACATGAGTATAAACATTATCAGAAAAGTAAGGTGTTTTTAAAAGGAGATGTTTGGTATGATCATAGGTAGAGAGTTGAGTAGCAGTGAGAATCGATGCACGCAACACATTTGGAGTGCCTCCTCTGAACAGACCCATCACTCCATTCTCTTCCTTAATAATTTTTTTCACAATATGAAACCAATAAGGTGCTTTGGATCCATCCATGACACTCTGTTGTCTGATTTTAACTAAATCACATCCATTGGAAACGATGGATCCAATAGAGCCAGAGATGGCACCACTCAATATTTTAATGGTTAATCCAACATCTGTTGTGTTATTTTTTGATTCTAGCAGAACTTGAGATAGAATAAATTTCAATGGATCATATCTGTGTGGGTGTTAACAGTGAGTATTGTGATGAGTGTTGGTTTCAACCGTGTATATAGCATTGAGTGTGTCAAATATATTGAATCATATACATGAATTAAAATTATATCCAAATATTCAAATAAATATTGAAATAAATATTGAAATATTCAAATGATTCCAAAAACGATTTTAAAAAGAAATTATAAAGAAATAAATAATAATAAAATAACACATACAATCCCATTCGAACGGAACTATAAAATTGTTCTCTCACTACAGCAGCAAATAATCCTCTTCCTAACAACACTCCCAATCCTTCAGTCTTGTATAAATTATAATAAGCACGTGAAAATGACATGTTAACAGCATTTCCACTGTTTGATGATTGATGTGTCAATTGCATTCTAGTTTTCACGTGGTCAGGTGAGTTCATCAAACCACTCACAAATCCAGCACTAACACCTCCACAAACAAATTTGAGGATCGTTTTATAGAGAGATGTATTCTCTTCCATACGTTTCAAACGTTGTAAATGTTCATATTGTTGTTGTTGAGCGGTGGTTGTAGCTGTTGACATTTTTGGAAATGCTGTATTATTTACAAGAATGTTGTTTTAAAGTTATTATAATAATAATGATAATTGGTTGATGTAAATCTCTAAATGATTTGAGAGGAGGAATTTAATTGTTTCAAAATTGTTGTGAATATGCCGAGTTCGATTGTTGTTGTATCTCAACAACACTTTCTGTGCCACAAAAATGGTTGGTGATGATTGAACTGTATGTGTGGGTGTGTATAGCCTTGAACTTGAATTTTTTAGGCTGAATTTTCAAATCGTGATGAGAATCGCTGAGGTGTGAGTCTAATCCTTCCACCACAATCGCTCTAGAGCTTTGATAATCTTTGAGGAACAACGGATGATAACTGTTGTTGTTGTTGTTGGTTATTGTGATTATCTTTGTTGGAAGTCTGAACCAAAGTATTCCCATCATCGGAAATGGAGGTGTGGTTGTTGTTAGTAGCGTCCAGTTGTTGTTGTTGTTGTTGTTGTTGTTGATAGAACAATGCCATGTAATTCAAAAGAAATGGATCCAAATTGAACTGTGGTTCCCATAGTCCCTTGTTTGGTTTTGGTAATAATTCATGAACCACACGATGTATTTGAATTAAATCTGGAATCATTTGAATGAGAGTGGATGAAGGCTCCGATCGGAAAGGAGTAGTAGATGATGAAAGATTGGAAAGAAATTGATGAGTAGAAGGAAGATTCTCCATGGCTCGAATTAATTCCTTGTTTTGAAGATCAATCTTTGAAATCATGGTCGGAGGTTCATCCTTGTGTTTTAATTTATTCATGGTGGACGAGGATTGGTGAGTCAATGATGACGATGAATCATTTTCTTCCTTGTTGCTGATGTTGTTGTTGTCTGAAGACATTTTTCTTGCTTAGGGTTAAGAGAATGCATTTCAACAAAGAAACATGTATTCATTCATTATTAGAAGGGACTCTTCACTTGAGCTTGATTCATCCTCTTTATCGAGGATGGTACATTTGTGAATGAGTGTTTGTGATGAGACAGTTCTTTGAGTGAATTTGATGATGATCGTCCACTTGAGCTTGGTCAGCCTTGGTGTGAAGATCAGAGGTGTTCAAAAAAAAAATGACCAAAAATAGACTTTCTCATCATGCATCATCATTGTCATCCTCTAGCAACAACACAAACACCAACCGAACCGTTCATATAGGAAACATTCCAAGTGTGATCACCATAGAAGCATTGCAAAATATATTTTCAAAATATGGGGAAATTACAAATATTAAATTAGCAGGAGATCCATCCTACTCTAAACGATTTGCATTCATCGAGTATGCGGAGCCATATCAGGCTAAATCATCGTTGTGTTTGGATGGAACTGAATATTTAGGACAAGTATTGAAAATTTCTCTCGCCAAACACGATTTTAATAGTCGGCAACATCAACGATCATCATCCTTGACAAATCAAAGCAATAATAACAAAAACAGAACTCATCACAGAACGAGTAGTGAGTTTTCAACAGACTCGGATGTTTCATCCACAACATCATCCATTAATATTTCATCACTAACGGCATCATTACCCCAAATATCCAACAATCATTGTAATAATAATAACAACAACAATAACTCGTTGATTCATTCATCTAAAAAGAATGCCGTAAATCATCATCCAATGCATCAAATATCTCCATTGACCACAGCAACAAATTCCACCTCTTCATCGACCACAGCAGATGGAGCGAGCAACAATAGCAACAATAACGATAGTAATAATAATAATAATAATAACATTCAGAATTCTGAGAATACAACACAACACATCCACCATCCACAAATCATTAACACTCACACATCCACTAAAAAGAAATCACATCTTCACACCACTTTGAGCAATAACATGGTCATTCCACAGGATGAAATGAGTGTCACTTCATCTCCTCTTGTAACTTCCATGTTCTTGGCTAGTCCGACTCCTTCCAGCCCATCTTCCATGTTCATTGGTTTACCTTTAACACAACCCATTGTTGCAGAACAAAATATGGTTGCAAGAACTGTTCATATATCAGGCATTGATAGTGCATTTACTGAAGATGAATTATTAGATTATTTTGGAGTTTATGGTGATATTACAAACTATAGATTGTGCAACAATGATCAAATTTCTACAAATTCTAATAATCAACATTCAACAAAATTTGCATTTATTGAATATGCTAGAGCTGATCAAGCACTTAAAGCTCTCCTGGTAAATGGAACCATGTGGGGAAAATCAAAATTGAAAGTTTCACATTCTAAAACAGCAATTCAAACTCCACCAAAAAAATCATTGATTGATAAGCAATATAGAGATTTAATTGAGAGAACGATTCATATTGGTGGAATTGATGTCAAACTTTCACAAGATAGTGTTAAAGCATTCTTTGAAGAGTTATGTGGAACTGTTCATAGAATTGCAATGGCAGGAGATACTGAATCCTATGAAACAAGGTTTTGTTTTATTGAATTTGAAGACAAACAATCTGCGTTGAAAGCATTGAGATTAACAGGATGTACAATAGCTGGAAGTGTAAAACAAATTAAGGTAAGCCCATCAAAGTCACCCATTGGATACTCGAAGAACAAGTTGATGATGATTGGAATTGGTAGTGGATCTGATCCATCACCTCCATCTCCACTTCATCATCAATTGAATCAATTACACTTGAACTCACACACTCCATCTTCATCACACTCTTCTTCGAACACAAGTGCAACATTGATTCATGCACATCACCACCACCATCCTCACAACACTCACCACTTAACATCTACACCAACCACTCCTGGAAATGCTACTTTTGCTAACACAGGACTAGTCCCATTAGGTCATTTGGCCATTCCAGCGAATCTTGCTCAGGCTGCCACAACGAATAATTTGGCACTCTTTCCAACCACCACCACCACCACTTCCTCCGTTACTACTAATGTTGGTAATTCCACAACCTCCACACAGTCTCAAAATTCAAGCAATTCTGCCACGACGAGCACTGCAACCACAACAACACCTCAATCGTTTCCAACCATTTTTCCATTTGCTCCTTGGGCTTATACAGCAAATACCACTGCAGCACTCGCCAATCAAGGTAGTATTGATCCGTCATCACAAGGGTTCTTTTCATATCCACAAATGCAAATGATACATCCACAATATTACTTCTACACAACCACACCTACAATGACATATGGAGCTCTTGCTCTCCCAACAAATTCATTTAACAACACTGCCACATCATACAATCTTGTGACCACTTCCACCCAGGAAACACATACAACAGATCAAGACGACACAGACACTGACAATGTAAAACGAAAGAGAGATCAGCATGAATCTTTTGATGAGTCCTCCAACGTTCTCTATCAAAAGAAGCTCAAAGATAAATAATAAAACTCGAAATGCAATCACATGTAAAGCGAATAATTTATTTACCAATTCTGTTTTGGAATGTTATTAAGTGAGAGTTAACATCTTTGCTGATCATATTTTGGTTTTCTCCTGCAAAACTCATGATACAATTTGACATGTCCTTGATCTGTTGAGAAGTGTAGGTTTTGGGAGAAGTGTACAAGTGACACAAAGTGCTCATTGCCACAAACAAAATATCCGAAATCTTCTTTTGAATCTTTTCATCGAGTTCCTTGAACTTTTGTACCTTTTCTTCCAATTCTCTGAGTTCAAATGGAATAATCTTCAATTCTTTGAGTTCGCTTAGAGTTCTTTCATAGTTTCTGTTCATGAAGCTATCAAATACTTTCGTTAGTTTAACTAAGATCTTGAAGGTTCTGAGTGCACTCGAAAGCTTAGTTGATTGATTGATTTTGTTGATAATAATATTGTCTCCAGTAAAGGTCTCAAATACTTTTTGTGCAGATTGCTTGACTTCATCTCTATTTTCTCCTCCAGAGAGAACTTGGCTTAGCTCATCAATCATAATGTTGAGAATCGAATAAAGATATTCGGTCGACTTGTCTTGATGGTCAGTAGACAAATCTGTCAAGAGAGAAATGTGATATTTCAAAGCTCTGAAATAGAGTTCGACTGCATCCCTGTATCTACCAATTGCTTTGTATTCCTTTGCACAGCTTTCAAGAAGTGCCAAGAAATCATCACTTGAAAGATACTTTTCCAAAAATCCTTTCTTTACCATTTCATTTGACTCTACTTGTCCGAGCAATACGGATATATCTTTTCCTTCAATGATAAGGTCTCTAATTGATCTAAAGTAAATAGCCTCTTTTTCTTCCCTTTTTTCCAATCGTTTATAGAATATATAAAAGTAAGAAGCTGCATATGTTGGATCAGTATGAGCAAATATTCTCACATAATCTCTAATTAAGAAATAGAAATTAAGTTGAGGCTGTGGAGTTGCTACCAAAAGTGGAACAGAAAGGTCTTTTGGTGTTGTCAGTTGCTTGTAATAGTAGAGAGCATATGCAAAATGTACGGCCTCTACATGATAACCTTCACTTTGTCTACTACATAAATATTCAATTGCTTTTTCAAATTGAAGAGTAGATAATAGCAACCTGAAAAAGAGTAGAGAGTTCTTCTTTGGACAGAAATGTTTTGGTCCGTGATTGTTCACCACAGTCTGTAAATCTTTCAAAGCATATTTAGTTCCTTCTCTAATGATCGAAAGCTTCAACCACATAAAATCTTCAGTTTTAGAGAAAACCTGTGGAATAGTCTTTTTGACATCGCATCTTCCTAAAACCAAGTAAACGGCATGACGGAATAACTCTGTTGGAGGAATAGTTCTGTACTTCTCATTTAACTGATTTTCAACGTCTTGAATAGAAGCCATTTGTGTGTTCATCTTATTCTCCAAAGCATTAATAATATGATTGGAGAATGCAGAACAGTATTCTCTTGCAAAGTCAAGAGCTTCTTGCAAAAATCCACATCTCAAGCAGTAAAACAATACAGGCCAAATATAAACGCCATCGACACATTCACCTAGTTTGTCTACATCAGCATGTTTTAGGGTTTTAGAAACAAATGCTTTGATTAATCTTAAATTGTCTTTAACTTCTTCGTGCAGCTCAAGAGTGTCCTTTACATATTGAATATAAGATTCCTCCATGTATCGTTTTGCTCCTTCTAAAAGGTTTGACTGACTATGTCTGCTTTTACTTTCATCAATCATGAAGGAAAGTAATTTCCAACATTCAACGACCTCTCTTTTTTCTTGAAATGGGCTCGTCAATGTAATGTGCGACTTCAGAAAATTGTCTAATCAATTCAAATGGTGTATCTTTCTTGAGACTTTCGTTAAACTTATAAATAACTTCGCTGTAGGCAATCATACGTTCATCCATATTGGTTTTTCCTCTTCTTGGAGTTAAGTGAGGAGTTGGTGTTGGTCCCAATGGAGTGAATGGAGTAGAAGGAACATTGAAAGTACTAGAAGAAGGAGTAAGTCTGGATGTATTTCGAAGAAAGGATTCATTCATCGAGGTTGATGTTGGTCTAAAGGCTTGAGCGTGATAAGTTTTGTGTAAATCCAAAGTTTTGATGAGGTTATCTTTGGCTAAAGCCCAATCTTTTTCCAAATAATCATTAAAGTTTTTGTAAAAGCAATTGCTTGTATGACGTTTTGATTCTTCAATGGATGATAATAAAATCATATCGTGTTCGTGTTTCAAGTAGCCCTCAATATCAGTCTCTCCGATAGGCTCAAGAGGTTCAAAAGCTTGTTTTAAGTCTAATCTACTCACTGATCTCCTGTACTTTTCTACATCAAATCCATTCGCTGCTAACAAATAATCACCTTTTGATTGGACATCTCCGCGAGCAGTTTTTTGAATTAACTTTTTAGATTGTTCATGAATAGATTCCAAATCCTTTTGAATAAAATTGTCTGTTGCCGGTAATAATTGTTGAGACCTATCAAGAAGGTCATTTAAATCCATATGAAGTCTTGATGATGATTTTCCTCCCCATGTGGAAGCCGTCGAAGTTACCGTGCTGGGCATTTTGTTGTTGAAGAAGAGAGAGGAAATTTTTTTGAGCATCAATCAATTTGCCTCTTTGGTCTTCAAAAACCCAAAACCTTCCTCATCAACTCCTTCACAGTCTGTCTCGTGCTCTCTCTCTCCACACCCGTCGAGGAGTGGATTGCAGAACAGAACAGCCCTTCCATAACTGAAGCAGGTCCAAAGCAATGAACAAGTTTAAATTCCTCTATGAGCCATTCCCTCATGAGAAGGTAGAGATATCGAAGAAGAAGCGTGAAGTTTCTCTCAAGAGTATCGATATTAGTGGAAACCGTCATCAAATTTGGATCCCCCATTCGATGCATGGTCCTTCAAATGTCATTGTTATAACACACACACAGTAAAAAACATTCTCGTCACCACCACCAACAATAACAACAACACACACATAGAATAAACTCTCATAACTCCACACCGTCCTCTCTCCACGTCGACACACAAAAACACTCAATTCATCACTCACATTCGCAATTACGCGGAATATCAACACAACACGACCAGCAATCACTCGACTGACAGTTCTAGAAAAACTTTTTTATAACAACAACAAGATGAATATCGAAAAACTGTGTAGCATTGAAAAGAGTACACCTCTGGATGATCATAAAAAGCGCCAACAAATTGCTGGAATGTTTCAAAAGTTAGTGAAAGAAGGTACGTGTTTGAAATGTTGAATAATGACGAATGACTGTTGTGATTGATGTTTGTTTACAATACCATTCTCGTGACGACATTTTACTATTATGTTGATGACGCTCTCCTATGATGACGCTCTCCTATGATGACACTTTGCCAATCATAATAATACTATTTATGGCACATCCTATTGATATTATGGTGATGACTATGATGACACTCATCATCATGCCACCATGACAATGACGAACACAACCGCATTCTATTCTCCATTCTTCACATGACACAACCACCAACTTGTTTCAACATGTATCCACTTGTTGTGTTCTTTCAATATAATGATGATGATGATGTTGATGACCAATATTTGCTCCTCCATTCTTCTTCTGACCTAATAATCTCCTAACCTTTATAATCCTAACCTAATAACCCTAATAATCTCCTAACCTAATATCAGAGAGTCATGTCCGAGAATTGGAACAATTCAATGGTTTTGTCAACTTGAAACAACTCGCCATTAGTGAAGATTCTCTCACTCGGAAGAGAGCATTTGCCACCATGTGTAACATTTCAGCCATTGAAACATGTACTGAAGTGATGAGAATTCATAACTGCATTCAACTCTTGTGTGAGAGATTGAATCCACAATTATCTGAAGATGTTTCTGTTTTGGAAAATATTACAAGTACTCTATTGAATACATTTATTGATGCTAAAAATAGAGAATGGTTGAAAGAATGTGAAAATTGTAAACAATATTTAACATTTATGATTCAAACACTTGAAGAAATGATGAAGAATGATCATGCTAGCATGGATGAACAACATAATTCCACCATTTACAATTTATTGATTGCATTCAGTTCGATTGCATTGGAAGAATCATTGAGTGAAAAAATTATGCAATTTGGAGGAGTGACATTTTTTTGTCAAGTCATTTCAAATTTAAAAACAGAGAGAGAGGATTATTCTGAAGAGATTATGGAAGGCATTACTGCATCATTGTGGAATTTATTATTAATTGATTCGGTCAAGAAATTTGTGATGAAAGGTTGTGAAAATAAGATAGATACCAAACAATTAATTGAAAAGTTAATTGGATTGTCAAATTCCAAGTTTGTCAATGTGAAGAGAAATACCTCTCACATTATTCAAATTCTCAGTTCCAATACAAGTGATGATGACGATGAAGGTACTACTAGGAACACGAGTGAGAGCAACATGGATACAAGTACGACTTCCTCTTCTTCGAGAACACCATCATTGACTGACAAGTCGACCAACTCGACATCAACTCCTTCCTCCTTCTCCTCCGCTTCTTCTTCTTCTCCTCCTCAATCACAACATTCACATTTTGAAAATTTATTTGAAAGTTCAGAAATGATTCAAAAATTAATTTCGGATGTGAAACAATCTTCAACCTCTTCAAAAATCATTGATCCTGAACTAATCAAAACTTCGAGTGGTATTTTGTGGAATATGGCTGGTTCAAGTCCTCAAGTGAGACTTAAAATTAGACAACTCGATGGTATTCCAGTATTAGTGAATGTGTTATTAATCTCTCTCAAATTATTGACTTTGAGACAAACATCACAACTCAAAGAAGTGATTTACAAAATCACAGGAGCATTGACTTGTCTCTCACTCGATGAACAAAATTCTCTTGAAATTGGTTCCCATGCTCAAGTCATTCCCTCTCTATTGAATTCTTTTCAATTTCTCAAAGATGGTCTTTCATTCTCAGTGTTAGAAAATTTGTTAACACTTCTCAACAATTTATCCATTGTGAAAGAAAATCGAAAACAAGTTCATGAATTGAAAGGTATTCCAATGATGATTCAATTTCTTAAAACATCAAATTCTCATCATACTCCTTCTCAAGAGGAATTGAAATTAGCAGAGAAGGCCACCAATGTTTTGACCAATATGGCCATTGATGATGATTCTTCGAATAGTATTCGTGAAGAGGGTGGAATTGAAAAATTAGTGGAATTGGTCTCTTTGGATCATTTGCATCAGAATGAGGAAAAGGATGACTCCATTTCTACTCGTAGTACTTCTTCGAGTAATAATAGCACTACTACTACTACTACTTCTAATACTGATACTCATAATACCACTACTAACATTAATACCACTACTACTACTTCTACTACTACTAATAATAATACTATTGGTGGTAAAAAGCATCATCCATCCTCTCCACCACAAGAAGAACAAGTCAATCACGTGAAAAAGAAAGCTGCTCATACCTTGTGGAATTTAATGATTCAGGATGAAAATTTGAAAAAGATTGAACAAGTGGGTGGTTTGAAACCATTGGTTCATTTACTTCCACAAACCAATTTGGAAGATTTAGTGGAAAGTCAATTGAGAAGGAAAGAACAAGAAGAGGATGAAGAGGATGCTCTTTCCTATAGCAGTGGTGGTGGTGATGCTAATGATGATGATGAACATGGTGTTGTGATGGTATCCACCACTGATGATGATGATATTCATCATGTAGTACATTCCTCACCTGAAGAAGAAGAAGAAGTGATGGTATTGGAGAGAAAACAACAACACCACCATCAGCAACAACATGAAGAGGAGAAGGATCAAGCAGTCAATAATGTTCAGAATCAGCAACAACAAGATTTTGAATCCAACAACAACAAGAAACAACAACGACCACATGGCGATGATACTACTACTTCTACTCATCAATCTTCTTCCACAGTGATGATGGGCACTAGAATGACCAAAGAACAATCGCAACAAGTCAGAAATTTATTACGACATTGGGGAAGTATCAGTGAAGAGGATTCCATTGTCAATGCCATCAAGAAGGATGATGATGAAATGAATAAGGAAGTGAGTTCGAAGACTCCTTTTGAAAAAACCTTACAAGTGGATTCATTATCATCCCCTCGAGCCTTAACAACAACAACTGCCAACAGCACTACAAAAATAGCAGTTACTCCAAAAGAGGAAAACCCAATCACTACCTCCTCCTCTTCTTCGAGTAATAATAGCACTACTAAGGCAACAACAACAACATTATCATCCTCATCGTCAACGACTGGTCCTACCACTCTCAAAATGACCATTCAAAAACCAGAAATTGTCATTGATTATGGTCATACGAGTACCAATAATAACAAACCCTCTTCAGTCTCTATCCAACAGCAACCATCACAACAATTATCACAACAACAGCAATCATCACAACAATTACCACAACAACAGCAATCAACAACCACAAAAGACATCTCAACAAGTATCGTTCATGTCAAGAAAGCGGAAGAGGTTTCTGTTGAGGATATTGATAATGATGAAATCAAAACAACTCATAGTACAAGAATGACCAAGAAAAGTAATGATCACAAAGTTAGAGTTAATAGTAGTAGTAGTAGTAGTGGTGGCAATGATGGTGATGGTGGTGGTACTCAAGATGTTGCTGTTGGTGGAACCTCAGAAGAAGAAGAAGCAACAACATCTCAACGTGTTGTTGTTGTTGAAACAATCACCACTCCACCACCACCAGCAACCATCACCAACCAAACAGAAATGAAAAAGTCAGTTGTCGTCAACATGAAAGAAGAACAGACCTCTGTTTCAGAACATCCTCAAACAACAACAACAACTTCAAGTGTGGATGTTGTGAAAGAAAAAGTCCTCGAACCAACAACAACCTCAACAACCTCATCATCATTACCATCGACTACAAAACCAATTACGAGTACAACAACAACTAGTAGTAGTAGTACTACAATATCAAACAATTCGATGACTTCCTCTTTGCACTCTCCTCAACATCAACCAACATCTTCTTCTTCACTTACTCCTTCAATCAAAGAAGATAAGATAGATAAACCTGAACAACAACAATCATCTCCACCATCTTCTTCACTTACTACTCCTATCAAAGAAGATAAGAATAAGGAATCTTCTTCTTCATTATTAGATGGCAATACCACCACGACACCATCAAAAGATTCTCCATTCAAACATAATGATGCCAGCTTGATATCACCACCTTCACCTTCTCAAGTGATTTCATCTCTAATGATGACGACAACTACTGGTGGTGGTATCAAGACGACTTCAACAACAACTCTTAATGCTGAAAAAGTGAAAAGTGTCAAATCACCCTCTGAAGAGTTCAAAGTTCCACTTTTAAAACTTACAGAAACAACAACACCCTCCTCACCTCAACAACAACAACCTTTTGAAACACAAGGAATGGATTCGAGTCATTATCTCACACCAATGGACATTAGAACCACCAACATTACTGTCACACCCACTTCTGATGGTTGTATCAAATCACCACAAGCAATACCACTCACTCCCACACATTCCATGATCTCAGGTGTCGATGAATATGTCACTTCAGAATATATTGACACTGAATCCTACACAGGTGAAGATGCTACTCCAAGTATTTATGAAGTATCGACTTGTAATCAATCATCATTTATGATCAATCCTTTGAATGAAACGAGTCGTAATGAAATGATGGACGCCAGTGAAGATCACAACAACAACAACAATGAAGAGTATGAGGAAGATGAGGAAGATGAGGATGACTTGACCTTTGAAGAACGAGATGATATGACCATTCTACAAAATATTGGAGTGGAATCTTGTGAAGATTTGGAAGATTTTGAAGATCACAACAACAACAACAACAACACGAGTAGTATCACTTCCAATCCAACACCTTCTTCTTCTCAACAACAACAACAACAACAATTATCTTCTTCAATGACCTCTCAGATGATAATAATAACCTCTCCTCGTCCATTACTTTCTCCAAAATCCTCACAAAAATCCTCTTTTCAAATTTCACAAGAGAAACGAGTGGAACAAATTATTTGGTTTTATGAAACTGAAAAATTGTATACCAAGATTTTAGAAATTATTGATTCCACTCTCGTGTCCAATGATTCATTGAAGAATACCGTATTGGGAAGACAAGCTCATTCAGAGATTTTCAGTGATTTTGATTGTATTCGAATGATTAATAAGGATTTATTTCATGAATTGGATACACTTTACACCAAATGTCAAGGAGATGCTAAATTAATTGATGAAATTCAAGTAGGACGTTTAATTCTCAAAAGAATTCCAACTCTACGTCTCTACAAGACGTATTGCAATAATTTAGAAAAATTATTACAATGTTTGACCGATATTGAATCCAATAATGCAAACTATATGGCTTATTACGATCGATTAGTGTCCGATCGATTAACAGAGGCCATTCAAGACTATCAGAGAGAACTCTACAAGTACAATAGTACTACCAATAGTAGTAGTAGTCTTGGAACTAGTATTCTGAGTGGTAGTGGTAGTAGTACTAGTCTTGGTAGTAATTCAACCAATGCCATGACACCAAGATCGAGAGTTCTCTCCACACTGGTTCAACATCAATTCAATAGTAGTACTAGTAATAGTCTTGGTAGTAGTAATAGTCTTGGTAATGATAAGAGTATGAATCGTTTGAGTTTGACAAGTACGAGTGGTGGTGGTGGTGGTATGAATGGTGGAATGGACAAATCAAAATTCATTCGACTCTCACAGATCCTCTCCAAATCACCCTTTGAACGCATTCAATTCTATGTGAATTGGCTTCAAGAAATGGCCTATAAGTTTTCAGATGCCACCTATCCCGATCAAAAATGTTTACAAGAATCACACGAACAAATGCAAGCCATATTTGATCATTGTCTCAACAAATTTAATGAATTGGAAAAGTTGGAGAGATTTAGTCAAATGTTGGATGGAAATTTCCTTTCACAAAATAGACGCTATTACACGATGGATAATTTAGGATTTCCAGAACCACAGAATATTAATGAATATAAATTGTATCAACAATGGAAGAAGAGTTATGATGTGAAATGTAAGAAGGTGAAAAAAGAATGGAGCAAAAAGAATTTATCAGAAATTCTCTCCAATAATAGTGGAATTAAGAATTTAATTAAGAAGTATGGAATTAGTGCTTCATTTAGACCTCGAGTATGGATGGAAATTAGTGGAGCTCAGCAAAAACTGAATGAAAGTAAGTGTACACTTGGATGTGTTGGATTTGAACCAATTTTATGTTTTTGAACAATCAATGTTATGTTTTTTATAACATTTCAAAATAACTACATACCTTCTACTACTATGATCATCATCATCATCACCACCTCTCTTCAATAGACACTGGATACTACAAAAAGATACTCTCTGTTCACACTTCACAAATGAAAAATCCTTGGTTTGATCAAATTGAAAAAGATCTCAAGAGAACCTATGTTCATCATCCATTCTTTAATGATGAAAAGGTGTTGTCTGCTTTGAGAAGAGTCTTAATTGCCTATTGTTGGAGAAATCCACTTGTAAGCTATTCTCAATCCTTTAATTATATTGCTGGATTGTTGTTATTGCATTTGAGTGAAGAAGAAGTATTTTGGTTGTTTGTGGCAGTTCTGTAAGTATATTATTACGATCGAAGTGAGTCATGTGGATGATCTTTGGATTCAAATTCCCATTTCATGAATATTTATTTTTTTAACATGACCCATTCAATATGTTATAATATACTCAAATGTTATTGCATCATCTCTGTCTTGAAATGTTTTTATTGTTGCATGATCCATGTCTGAATCATGACATTGAAACCATGGCTACGATGTGATATGATTCATTTAAAAATACTCCATACAATACACCATTCAACACCTATATATATAAACACTTCAACAACAACAACCATTCAACACTTATATACACTTCAACAACAACAACAACAGTGAGGATTATTTACCTGCAAATTACTATTCACCTGAATTGAAAGGTGTTCTTGTCGATGCATTAGTATTTGAAGAATTACTTAGTGTGAATCTTTACAAATTATCTCATCACTTTAAGAATCTTGATTTTGACATTTCCACATTCACCATGTCCTTCTTTATGAAATTATTCACTGTCGATTTCCCTGTAGAGACAACATTAAGATTTTGGGATGCATTTCTATGTTATGGAAGTCAAATGATGTTTCGAACCATTTTGGCCATGTTAAAGTTAAATCAAGATATTCTTCTCAAAACCAATGATGTCTCTGAGATTATGTTAACCATGCAAGATATTGTCAAGACACAATTTGATGTTCAGAAAATTATGAAAACAGCATTTGGATTTTCAAAGATTACTCATGAAAAAGTTCAACAATTGAGAAAGAAATATTTACCATTGATTGAGATGGAATTGGAGAGACAACGAGAAAGAAGAAGATGAACATGTTGTGTTGTTACACATATGTGAATGATGGGGTAGGCGTCGTTTGATGTTGTGTTTGGCACAGATCCGCTCAAAAGGAATTCACATCAACATCATCGAGTTCGAACTTGCTTCCAAAAATAGAACACAATAAAAAAATTCCAAGTCATCATCATCCGATGAATTCCTCGTTTTTTTCATCCTCTCCATTTGCATCCAACACAAGTGTGTTGGTTGGTTCTTCCGAGCCAACCATCCATGCTCAATACTTATGTGATGTATGCAATTCTCAACCTGTTGGAATCCGATATCATTGTGAGGACTGTAAAAACTATGATATGTGCGAGAATTGTTGGAAATTTAGAAGAAACGTACATCCATCCTTTCATAACTTTTCAACCCATGGAACATCGGGTAGTTTTTTGACCAATAATAATTCATCATCATCATCTAATAACAAGCCATCCATTATTCCGCCACCATCTAATAGTACTATACATATTACATCTAATAATAACAACGTGATGAATTCTTCAAACATGATGATGAACGTTCCATCGTTTAATACCATGATGAACACATCAACTATTTCATCATTTCGGCCACCATCAACAAATATTCCTAACCATCCATCCCTACAGAGTGTATTTTACAACCCAATTCCAACAAGTGGTCAACCAACCACCACCACTTTTTCAAAGCCTTTCAATGTGCCCACCCCTTCCTCTCCTAGCGTAAAATTACCAAGCGGAAACGTTATTCCATTTCAACCACCAACATCAACAAGTAACAGCAGCGGAAGTAGTAGTAGCAGTACAGCCACCAACAACAATAACAGCACTCACGTCCACATCAATCACTCTCACACATGTCAATGTTGCAACAAGAAAATTCCAACGAGTATCTTTCAGTGCGAAACGTGTTTTGGATTGACACCAAGTGAAGATTATTGTCTCTGTAGAGAGTGTCACGATTCATTCGAGGAGTTCAACAAATCAGGAGCAGACATTAATCCTATTCATCTTGGGGACCATAAATTTAAGGAATTTTTGGATTACAAGCAATTAAAAATTTGGAAAAAAACAAAGGAAGAACTTGGAAATCAAAAGACTGGAGGCAAGCAATATTCTGAATTACAAAATTTAGATATTGACGAAGATCATTTACTATGTATTGTTTGTTCAGAACAGTTGAGAAATATTGTGTTCCTTCAATGTAAACATTGTGTTTGTTGTGACGGATGTGTGGATAGCCTAAAGAAAGTATGCCCTATTTGCAGAACTTCGTCAGATCATATCAAAATATTTTGGGCCTAATTGCCCAGCATTAGTAACATGGCAATGGATCATTTCATGAGCTTGTGAAAAGAATCTTTCGACATCTAAAATAAATTATTATGACAGAGATAGACCACCACCGGTCCTGGTTTTTGCCGCCACAATTTTTTACGAAAAAAATGTCATCGGCAGCAACAAAACCAATTTATGGGTCTCTTCCAACAACGGAGGAGCAAAAACAACATTTGATTCGGATCAAAGAGGCCCAAGAATATCTTGCAAGTCACAGAGTGAAAGAAATTTATTCAAAATTGGTGTATGAGTTGGTTGTAAATAGGCCAAATCATGCAGTTCCTTTCATGATTGAAAGGTTAAAGGAAATTAAAGAGATCGGACTAGATAAACCAAGGCAACCAAAGCCTAGACTAATTTCTGTTGTCACCGATTGTAAAGACGATTTTGAAATCAATCAAGCCATTAAACATGCAGCAACAGATTTCAACATGAAAATGTACGTGTTTTGAAATCAATTAACGTTGAATATTTAATTGAAATTTTCAGTATGAACACAAAGAATTTTGCAAACAACCAAGAACTAAAATCAGATTTGGAAGAATATATGGAGGTGTCTAATTATAGAGATTTTCTGATGCTTCATTCACCTTCTAATATTGCAGAACTAATTAAAATGGAGGAAGAAATTATAGAGTTTGACATGTGCATCTATTTTCAGGATACTTCTCTACCTCCTAGTCCTGTAGTTTCGGATCTGCAAATTGTTCTTCAATACTTTGAGGCCGTTGGAAAATTTAATGTTATTCGAGTAACAAAAGACACGGAGGAAGAAAAGATATTTGAAGCTTTAAAAAACATCATCCATCCTAAACTTTGAATGCTCAAAAACTTGCCACATTATGTTTAAGGAATAAAAACATTTAATACTGTTAGATTTACAAATCTTCATCATAGTAGTCGTTGTAGCGAGACCGATATTTATCCATGGTCTTTTGTGACTTTCTGTCGTCCGGATCTTCTTCCTCTTCATCCTCGCTGATATAGTATGTGTCAGGAGGAACTTCATGCATTTGAACAGAAGGAGCACCTTTGATATGATTTAAATTTTCTAAAATCATGTTCTTATACTTTTCTAAATATTCTAATGAGTTCATGTTTTCCATAGTTGATGGTTGAAGGTGCAAATTATAGTCTGGACCAAAGTATTCAAAGTAGTCATTATATGGCATTTCACTTTCAATATCAATACCTAGAAGAACAGAGGTTTCATAAGTCCAACATCTAGCAACATTTCTGACAGTGTAACCACCTCCGCCTAAAACAAGTAATGGCAATCCAAATCCTTTGACAAATTCAACACAAGCAGCATGACCTTTAGTCGTAAGGTTGAAGCATCCCAATCTATCTCCTGTCAACGAATCAGCTCCACACTGTAGAACAACAGCACCAGGTCGGAATACTTGCATTACCTTTTCTATAACTGGCTTAAAAATGGACAAATAACTTTCGTCATCAATACCATCTTTCAAAGGGAAGTTTAGAGAATAGTACTTTCCGGCTCCAGCACCAATATCTTTGATATCACCTGTTCCTGGGAAATATTGTTCTCCAAATTTGTGGAAAGAGACTGTCATCACACGATCTGTTGTATAAAAAGCTTCCTCAACACCATCACCATGGTGAATGTCAATGTCTATGTAAAGAACACGAGCATGGTACTTTAACAATTCTAGGATTGCCAATACAATATCGTTGATATAGCAAAAACCGCTAGCTTCGTTTTTCTTGGCATGATGGAGTCCGCCAGCCCAGTTAATAGCAATATCACACTGCTCATGATTCAGCTTGACTGCTGCTCCAATGCTACCACCAGCAGAGATCTTACAAAATTCAAAGATACCATCAAATACTGGGCAATCCTCACCAACGTTAAAGGCTTGTAATTGTTTTTGAAAATCGTGCATGTTGTCAGGTGTAACTTTTTTCAAGAAATCAACATATTCATCAGCATGGAATTTACACATTTCTACTTCGGACGCAGGATGTGGTCTCTGTTATTGATGCGGAATAAAAGTGTTGTTGGGCCATCACCATAAAATTGATCACAAATTTTGATACAAATTTTAACAACACCGACGGTTATTACCGATTTTCATCTTTAAATTTTTTACTTACATAAACTTCCATGTGTTTATAGAGTCCGTAGTTTAATAAAAGGTTATGGGTCATCTTGATACGGTGAGGCTTCATTGGATGTCCTTGTCCGTAGTAATAATTGCCCACATCTCCATCATAGAAGTAGGAAATGTTTGGTTTGCGCATTTTTTTTTGTTTTTAAAAAACTTTTTCAAGTCTATGTTCAATTTATTGGAATCTCACAACAATATTGAGTACTCAATATCCATAATCATCAACAAACCAAAAATGAATCAGTGGACAGATTGCAAAATGTTATTTTTATATTTCACAAGCTGCATTGTCACAATATCGTTCTGGTGTTGGCTCTTGTTTTAACGTTCGTTCCTGTGAGAGTGGACACGTCGTTTTAAGCTTTGATTTCATTTCATTGTATTGCTCTTCCGTGATCGGTTCATAAGGCATTTGTGGATAAGGTGAAGAATCTGTATCCATCATTGGTAAGAAACTGACACCCTTCAATTGATATTGGAAATAATCAAGTGCATACTGGATTTGTGGTCCTTCAGTTTGTGGATTGAAGGTTATGGTTGCAGATACTTGATTGTCTGACCAATAACGTTGAAGGAATGCAGCCAACGATAATTGTTCCCACATGGAAAGATCTTTGGCTGTCCTAATTCCTTCACCACAATCAATTGGAAATTCCACAACTGTAGTTTGAGAGTCACTCACAGCAGGTTCCGTGTGATATCCAGCGTCGGCGAGTGCCTTGACAAGAGGTGAGTTGGTGGCCAGTCGTAACCTTCGAACATAGAATCTTGAAATAGGGTAATGCATACCAGGAGTTGCACCTGCCAATAAGCTTACTGTTCCACTGGGTTTAATGGACGTAGTCTTTATGGATCGAGGAATAGCCAACCAATCACTAAATGTTTTGTCGTATTCTTGAATGGTATCATAACCAACTGTTGCCCAACGCCTTAACTCTTCAATTCCTCTCTTTGTGATAAATTGAGCAATACCACTCATTGAACATCCAATTCTTCGGTTTCGGAGCATGACACGATTCACTTCAGGCCAATGAGTTCTTCCAAGAGTGACTGTTTTAGCATACAAAAACGCATATTTAAGAGTCTTTTGGAAATCTTCTAGAGATTGATGATTATTTGGAAAAGTCTCAACAAGACAGCATAACTCATAGCTCTCAAGAGTTTGCTCGAGGCATGGATTTCCACCACTAGCTCGATGATCCTTATTGTCTTCTATTCCATTCATTCTTGAAAACTGTCTCATGTTTTGTAGGTATGCAAGTCCTGGTTCTCCATTTATCATCATTCTCTTTGCAACGTTTGAGTAGTCCATTCCAATTTGAGCAAATATAGAATTATTTGAGGTCCAACCATAAGAAGCACGATGTGGATTCTTTTCGTAATTTTTCAAATCAATAAATTCTTCAGAAAATGGTTCACCAAAAGCAATTTCTGCAGATCTTCTTATATTACCAGAAACCACACATTTTCCAATGTAATTCATGAGATCCACAATCACTGTTACAGAAATTGGTTTTCCTGCATTCTTGTTCAATAATTCTCGAATATTTTCATGTAATTCTCTCAATGATTCTGGACCACTACTCACTCCACCAAATCCTCTAATTGGAGCACCAGCAGGCCTAATTTTGGAATAGTCAAATAACTGAGGCGCATGTCCGTTAAAGTATGAATCAAGTAAAACTTTCACACTTTCAACCCATCCTTCTCTAGAGTCAGCAATAATATTCATGATTGGTTGCTTTGTATTGTCCACTCCTTTGATAACAATAGAAGACTCTCCCTTTGTATCAAAGCCAACTCCAACACCAAGCATACTCATATCCATAAGAAAGACAAATGGTTTCAGAGGATCTTCTTTCATAGATTCAGTACTCACGAATGCGCAATTGTTAAGTGCTGCATAAAGACCTCTCTGTTCAGTCAACGGAGTTCCCATTCCCCACAAACCTCTTCCACTCGGTAAGAATTTCATATTAAATATTCTGTCATACATTTCTTGTGCTGATTTTTGAGCCTTTCTAGAATTCCATCCAAGTTTGTGATTATCAATCCAATTTTTTTGCATATTGTAGGTTCCGTTTACTACTCTCTCAACTGTTTCATACCATTCCTCATTTCTATTTTCTTCTTCAATGACTCGGGAATATGTTCTTTTATAAACAACTTCTCCCAATCCATTAAATCCGAAAGGAGGAGGAATATTCTTATACTTTTCAACAAACGTTTTACTCAATTTAAATCTGTAACCAGTATAATCATTTGGTGTGACAGAAGTATCAATAGTCATACTAGTCGTGTCCAACATTCTCTGTTTTTTGAAAAGTGGATGATCATGAGACACTTCAACGTTTGATGAATGTAATGGTTGCTGATGATTTTGGCCAGTTTCTTGTTCACTTTGAACTCGGGAGCAAGTATGATATCCGCAACTCGTCTTTTTGTTTTGTTTTTGAAAACAAACAAATTGTGGTGATGAGTTCGAGTAAGTACTGGAGAATCTTTTCAAGGAGGATTCCGTGTGATGATGAACATTTCCGTAAATGCCATTTTTGTTTGTAGAAAGAGAGGAGTACTTTCTGATGAAGAGAGTACTACTGGGAGCACTCTGAGCAAGAATTTGTTGTTGGAGGTTTCCTTTCCGAGGTATCATCAGAACAGAACCACTGGTGTGGCTTCCATGACAACGACTCATCGTTGCCATCAAGGCTTGACGCTTGTGCATTTTTTGATGATGGAAATTCTCAATGAAAATGATGAATTTTGATTGGATACCTCTGAGAGTGGATTGGTTAATGTGAGAGCTTGTTCTCACAATTAATGATTGGGTTTCGGGTGTTTGATTTGTTGTTCATTCATGTTCAAGGATGAGAAAGAATCAAGAAACCATTGACTTCAATTTGGATTCAAAAAACCAACTTCAAAAAAATGTTCTTCAGCAATAGAACCCAAAGTTCCCGATATCATCGATCATCAAATGATCCTTCCGTCCAACAACAACAAGGATCATCGATAGCTACTCTCGATAAAAATCATCCCAAGGCAAGAACATTGTGGATGGGCGATCTGGATGATTCTATGGATGAAGACTATGTAAAAAAGCTCTTCGGGAGTGATATAAGACCTTCTATTGTTTCCGCAAAAATCATTCGGGATAGAAACACAGGAAAATCAGCAGGATATGGATTTATTGAATTTACAACTGTAGAAATTGCCAAAGCAGTACTTGAAACATACAATGGTAAAACAATACCCTCACTTCCGAATAAGATTTATAAATTGAATTGGACCGCTCAACCTGGAAATGTTCATATGCCGATGAGCCATACACCTAAGCCAATGGGAAAAGACGTCGTTTCTGTTTTTGTTGGAGACTTGGCTCCTGATGTGGATGATTACATGCTCGAACAGGCTTTTAAAGCTAAATATCCATCTGTGAGAGGTGCTAAAGTGGTGCTGGATCCAAAAACTAAAATTTCCAAAGGGTATGGATTTGTAAAATTTGCGGACGAGGAAGAGATGATGAGATCAATGACAGAAATGCAAGGAGTTTATATTTCTTCCAGACCTGTAAAGATTCATCACGCTACAAATAATTTTAAAAGTCAAGGAATGGGATCAGTTGGAGGAACAACATCACTTTTTTCTAATGCCATCCCTCAAACTTTTGTACCTCAAATACCTCAAACAACATCTACATTAGGAGATGAGCCAACTACAATCATATCTACTGATCCATTGGAGCAAGAAAACACAACTGTTTATGTCGGAAACTTAACTCCAACTACAGATGAAAAAGTATTGAGAGAATATTTCCAAGGATATGGTCCTATAACGTCTGTAAAAATACCGACCAACAGTAATTGTGGATTTATCAATTTCACTAGGACGGAACATGCTGAAAGGGCTATTTTAGAGATGAACGGTATTGAAATTCAAGGTAATCGAGTAAGAGTATCCTGGGGTAGGATGCATAAAAAGCAGCAAAATCAAATGGATGACGAAACATTAAAACAACGTCAGCTCCAAGCCGCTGTCACAGCATTTCAATTTCAACAACATCAACTTAAAAGTATGCACGAGAAAAAGATGAAAGAAGAGGAAGAAAGAAAAAAGTTAGAATTTGCAACTAGGTTTATAAAACCTTTTGACATTCTTCAAGACAACCAAAAATTTCTAGATGAGAACAACTGTATGGATGTCGACATGTATTAAATTATTATTTAATTTACATTTTAGCTGGTTTTTGATCCTTTGATTTTTCGTCTTTCAACTCCCTGTCTTTGACCTTCACATCATCGTCATAGTTCTCACCTTGAGAAGTGCAACAACAACAACTGAAATCTCCAATTCTGTCCATCTTGAGCTTTCCCAAATAAATTTTTCTTAAACGGTCACTCATGAAGTAAGGTCCTTTCACTTCGTTCGGATTAATGTACAGCTCGTAGCTGACGCAAATCAGGATTGTGTCAATGGCAATGTCGTACAAGTTCATAAATAGAGAAGCAATGAGGAACGTTATGACGCCGGTAACCACAGAAGGGATTATACCATATTCAACCACAGGTAAAACAGCCACAAGAAATTCATATTTGTTGTTCAAGTCAATGATCAGGTAGCAAATAACAGAGCTAATAACAGTGATTAAAACTCTTCCCAAGAATAACACAACATCACTAATGGTATTTGTGGTTCCTACTATTAAGATGTTTTCCATTACAATCATAAATCCTCTTGACGAGCTCATTAAAAAGTTGCTTCCGTGTATGGCGATCATTAAATAAGCGTTCTTATTCATGAATCTAACTATTTTCTCTACAACCCATAAAATAGCATCAAATACCTTAATAATCCAGTTGGCCACAGTATTTTCTTGGGCTAGTTTTTGAAGTCGAGTTTTTGCTTTCTTGAACAAATATCTAATCATTTGCACAATAGCAACAACCAAAGATCCAAATATCATAGAACCAATGTGGTATCTGATAACTCTCCAAAAAGATTTAAATACTGAAAACTTTTCAGTTTTTTTGTCGTTTCCAATACCACCAAAGTACCATCCTGCCACAACGCCAGCGATGGTAGTGCATGCAATAGCTTCAATGAACGCCACTCCCCAGAAATACGCAAATAAATTGTACAGCCCAAGCACCTGCAAAGCCGTTGTTCCTTGATCTATAGTAATAGATGTGTTTGAAAATTTGGTGGTGTTCATGAAGGTAGAAATTTCGTTCATGTACTCGCTCCATCTTGGGTCGTTTGCAGCAATTGTGACTGGCTTTTGGGCGCTTTGAAGGAACACAGCAACCACAGCCCACCATACGGTCAGACCACAAATGAGCAAGAAGGAAACTGCTGGAATAATGATAAGTGTGGGAAATTTGTTCACAGCCCTACTACCTTCCTTAATGATAGCAATTGCCTTTCTAATTCTTCCCCAGAGGAAGATCATGAGAACAAGATAAATGAGTAACAGCCCAAGAATGGTTCCACCAATACCCATCCACCATTGTGAAGCAGTTCTCATTGTTGTATCAATTACTCCGTTGGATTCAGATTCGATGTACTTTTTAACGCCAATGTATAGAATGTAACCACCAGCACACCCCATGACCAAGGCAACCACAACCAAAATAACTCTAACAACAATTCCAACAAATAATCTCATAAACAAAACAAAGGTAAAACATAAAATTAAGCTCAAAACAGAGGATATAAGAATAGGAAGCCATGATCTCCACACTTCTGACAAACCTTGCTTCAAACCATTTGTGACCTTCATTGTTTGTTTGAATGTTGTTTTTGTGACAAGGTCCATTGTGGTATTATCGAGCACTGGGATGCATCTTTTAAAATCTATGAAAATTTTCATATGTTCAATGTTCATTCCTCATACAATAATAATTTCACTTACATATTTCGTGAGTAAAGTAATTAAAATAGCAACCATCTCCATCATATGCTTTCTTTGCACGAGTTAATGGGTTTGTGTCATTCACTTCATATTTACAAACAACAGAATCAAGAACTGCCGTTGAGAGAGGATTCAAAATACTAACAACAGATGATGGACATTCCTTAACGCAAATACCCATTCCTAAAGCAGAGATAAGTCTTGCGGTGGTGATATCTTTTATCTGTTCGGGTCGAAACTCGAAAGGATACCACAGATACGTTTTGTTTCGTAAATCTACAATATTATCATTTCCTTTTCCGATTGCGTAACCACACATATTTCCTTCATAATCAATTGGTTCAACCAGTGCAGCAGGATTTCCGGACCAAAATCCAAATCCTGCAATCACAAACATGCCTATCCAAAATAGAATAAATACAGGAATACATAGCACGTCGGTGCATGAACGTTTTCTATTGACTCCATACTCGGAGGGTATTTGCTTTTTATCAAAATCATCCTCCTCTGTTTTCTCTCCCTTAGTGCAACAGGCTAACTTTTTCATTTTGCAGAGTATATGATGATCAAGTTGGTCGGGAGTGATTCAAGGAATAAATGGTGGTGAGGATGTTGTTACCTTTGCGCCTGAAGACGGTTGTGTCGAGAGTGGAGGATTTTGTTTTGAAATCATCTCCCTAAACGGTCATTAAAACCATCTCCCGCCCTTTCAAGTACAACTGTTTGCCGTTGAATTCCCACAACACACAACAAATGAACAACCCTTAATTAACCGTGTGTTGTTATGAACTTGAGAGAGAGATAACAAGAACAGTGGGTGTTCAACAGTGACTCCTTTTCGAAGGTACTTGTTCTCATGTGGTGTTTTGAATGATGCGGTAGGTTTGAATTGTGTCATCATTGAGCTGTTAATAATACAACAAATATGTACGTATGCACAACATGTGTGGTGGTGAGTGAGCGAGTGAATGGTCGATTCAATAAATAGTGCATAGCTTTACTCAGTCGAGGAGTTTGTGGGGAATGGTCAAAGTATTCATCACCTATATACCATTATAGGCACTACTGCTCTTACTAGTTCACTTTGACCATAGCTTCTGGATCTTGTTCATCTTCTTCGTCACTGATATCAATACCAAATCCAGGTCGTTTGCTATCATTTTGTTTTGTTGTAATAGTGTGGTCCATAGTGGTAGTCGATTTTTCATTAATGATTTCATCCAATTCTTCTTCATTCTCCAATTTTTCATGAATACTCGAAGAGTCATCGTGTGTGGTTTCATCATCTTGTGGAACTTGAGAGTACCTTTGAGTTGGTTTCTTCTCAATATGTTGTTGTAATTGAGCTAAATTACTCTTTCTAAACACAATCATGATGGCACTCATCACAATCAAGAAGATGATGCTCCAAACGGATTCAATGGTCCAATTCGTCTCCCATCTCTTATCAAACTTGAATTGATCTGAATTATCAAGTAATACTTGAGTGTAAATGAGCCAAGCCAAAGTAACCATGAGATAGGCAATCATGATCGAGGTGAGCATGGCAAAAACTTTCCATCGATCAGATTGATTCTTTTTCTTCAATTGTCTCATTAGTGAAGTCAATTCCGCTAAAATCCAAATAAAAGCAATCACATCGAGAACTACCACTGGTGTTGATAGCAAACTTGCAACAATGGGACTCATCACATGAACCTTAACGAATAACAAGTCAACAATTTCATAAGCAACAACAGCAAGGCAATAACATAGACCATAGGCCCACAATAGAAATGATTTGACACTACCCAAGTAATCTCTGATTGATCCATAACCAATACACAAGAGAATAATAAAAATTCTACTGAATAATTTTCTGCACATGTGGAATAGAGATGAAATGGTAAATAAAAAGTTATTGTTTCTTCCCTTGACATCCATATGTTGAAGCATGGCAAAGCTGAACGAATTTTCTAATAAAAATAAAATCAAAACGACGACAATCCAAACAACAATGGCATAAGATTTCACCTTAGGTTTCTTTTGTTGATGGTCGGGAATAGTTATGCTAGAAGCAGCAGGTGCTTCATCTTTCTTTCGATTGAATGTCATGATTAACTTTTTGATACATTGAATTCCAAAAGGTCTTTGACATTCAAATCCTACTCCGAAAATGGATAACATGTAAAGCATTCCTATCACAAATACTACAATTGACATGATTCCATAGAAGGGTAAATTATCATAAACTTCAGCACTTAAATGACCGAATGGATTCACATATTTGATGGATCCAGAGGTAATGGTCATTGATTTAGTGTTGCTATCGGTGTCACAGTTTAAAATAATTGCATAGTAAACACCACTTTTTGTGAAATCTTCATATTTTGCATGAATTCTTGTTGTAAATTCGGTGAAATGAGATCTTTCAGGAATAAAAGTAGTAGAATCACAAATTTGATCCAGAACCACTCCGAGAGAATAATAATTTTGGCTAAAAGCAGATGAATTTTTGTAAAAAGTTTCCAAATCATCACTATGAATTAACATCCAATACATTTTGTCTTCAACATTTTGTTCGTGCTGAATTGAAAGGTCCACTGTGAGCGATGGCTTTTTCAGTTTTGAAAAAACAGCAAGCGAAGAAAAGGCATATTTTTCTGTTGCAATAGCAAATCTATCAAAAATTAATTTTTTGCTGAACATTGAGTATCATCATCCTACCTTTTGACAATAAAAGATCCGTAATGCATTTTTGTATTCGTAAATGAAAATATTTCGGATTGAACAAATTCTGTCATCATGGCTAATGTCGTGATGAGGATGACGAGCATGAGAAGGAAGCGTCCGAGTTGGTGGTGCTTTGGTTTCATTTTTTTGACTTTTCGACAAGATTCAGCATTATACAAACTCTTCAGTACCAGGGACTCTCTCTCATCGGTTATACGACTGTGTTGCAGAGGAAAATAAAGTTAGAACGATAAAGGTTCAATTCAGAAGTTGATGTTGATCAATATAGTGTTGAACCAATCATGATCTCAATCGAACAAAAAAAATGTACTTGATTTTAACCACAGGTGTGATTGCCGCTTGTGTTGCCGTGTTGATCATTATTTATTTCCAGAGTCTTCAAAAACCCAAAGTGAATCCGAATACAACAGATCATCAAACAAAGGAGGAACAGCAGCCATCATCCTCGACGATAAGCACTTCAGACTTGAAGAAGAAACAAAAAGGTTCTAGTGCAGTATCATCGCCAGCAACATCGGAAGTTATTGATCATGAGTTGCTCATTGTAGAGGCTTCAACCATCAAAGCACAGAAAAAAACCAAAATTATTGATGATGATGTTATTGATATGAGTACATCCAAGCATTATACTGCAATTTTGAAAAAATCAGTGAAATCTGTTCGACTGTTCCGAAATGAATTATTAGTGAAGGATAACAAGAAATTCTATGACATTGAAATTGGTAACATTAATGATTATGGAACTTGTATTGCATTAAATCAGGAGGGAGATATGCTTGCTGTTACCATTGACTATGACAATTACGTAAAGATTTTTAAACTAAATACCTCGCTCACAACATCACACCAAATTCATGAAAAGCCTTACTCGCTTCCTCATGAAAAGGCCATGATCAAGTCACTAAGGTTTTCTCCAAATGGAAAGTATTTGATCGCGATGATGTATGGCTGTGACGACATATCCATTTATAATGTGAAAAATGGTGAGCGCGAAACAATTAAGAGCGGCCAACTTCAGAATTATATGTTTTGTTTGACAGACTCTTACTTGAGCGTTGCTGGCTTCTCTTCAACTTTAAAGGTTTTTAAAACATTCTTTGAATCCACAACTGAGACTGATATGGATGATTCCAAGAAAAATAAGAAAAAGAAGGAAATCGTGCATGTATCAAAAGGCAACACCTCAACTGTTGTCAAGCACAGAGAGTTGATGGGTTGTAAAAGTAGCGTTTCATTTGTTGATATTTATAACGACCAGGCAATTGTAACGACTACGAAAGATGGAGTAGTTCGACTCTTTGACCTTGAAGCCATGGAACGTAATGTCATTGCTGAAGCAGATATCAAGATATTGACGAACGAGGTTGTTTCAAACTTCTCTCAAGTATTTATGTGTTCTGAAACAACATTTTGTGCAATTGGCTTGAATAGCGAAATTGTTTTCTTTGAAAGGGATGGAAAGACATTCAAACTCAAACAATTAATTGACAAAACTGTTCAATCAGGTGCTTCCCTTCTTGCTGCTCAACTCAATCCAAAGAGAAAAGTATTAATCACATGCTCAAGTGACGCATTTATTAGGCTTTGGAAGGTGCCTTCTCAATAAAGGCCAAATTTATGGTGTTGATTTTTTGCTTCTCATCTCAATGGAATACAACAGAGAATCCACAAGTCCGCCTATTTCAGGTTGTTTGTGACTCTTCTTAGCTCCTCGTTCCTTCACCATCTTCTTCAATTCATCATGGAAGACGTCCTTACCGGAGTCCTTGAAAGTTGTGAAATAATGATCAGCATTTAACCACCCCATAGGATCATAAATAATGGTGTAAGTGTAGGTACACTTGTTTTCAGCCGTCTCCTCCACCATAAAAGCTGTTTTGATTTCAGCTCTCACATACGTAGAGCCCTCTGACACTTTTGGATTATTGATAGACCTTGAAACACATAAGAATCTCTTATGCTCAGGATCCCTTCTGCAGCAATAGGCATGTATTAACTCCCTGTCTTGCTGTGGGAAGCTCATTTTGAGGATTTCTTGGTAGATGGCATGAGCGTATTTTCCAACCTTAACAAAATCAATCAAATTTGAGGAATCAATTGTCAATTCTCTGCACTTGAAATATTCAGGATCTATCCATAAATTAAATAATGCCTCTGCACTACAATCCATTGTATAGTGATATTTAATTTGAGTGTGTCGTCTTGAGTTGCTGAGATGGTTATGGTCAACTTCAGGCGAAAGGTAGGTTTTGCCTTCTGGTGTTTCTGTGAAAACTCTCCAGTCAGCAAATGTAGTTAACCCTTCAATACGATGTTCAAATTCCCAGTCATTGAATCGATGGTTCTCTGTTCAAGTTCGATCGTAAGTTCACTCACGCCGTCAATATCGAAAATGAAACTGCAATTCACTTACCCAAGTTGATAATTTCTGTACCGCATTTTTCGCAAAATAGAATGAATTCTTTTTCATCCTCTTCTTCTGTGGAGTCATGGGTTGAAGATCCATCTTTTCCAACTCTCAAAAACTTGAACAATGTATCAGGATCTTGTTTTTTTAGCTTTTCTAAAAATGTTAAAAAAGGTTTAGATTTTAAGAACTTTGGAAACTCGGGCTTCAACGTCTGTGAATGATGGGAGAATTGATCATTAATGAAAGTTTTGAATTCTAATATCGTTCATCGATAAACCTACCTTGACAGACAAATTAGAAAAGTTATCAAATAGATCCACGGGACAAAAAGAGATGTTGCATTGTTTAAATTTAAGTTCGAATGGGCCAAATGCATTCTTCATAAATTTAAATTTGAGACGTCTTGGAGCATCTTCAGCTAAAAAAGTCGTAACTAAGTGAGACGCAACAGCATATCTTTCAGCAATGTTAGTATTTGGTTTGAATTGATTAATGACTGCCAGATAGAAGTCTGCGATATCTGTTTTAAAATCTGTCAAGTACTCTTTCATGGCAGCAACAAATTCTACATTTGTTACAAGCTTTGGGAAAGAATAATTATCACTTCTGAACAAATCGATATTGGCAAATGGATCCGTTACCTCCTCTATAATTGATTTCATTTGTCCTCCTAATAACTGTTCAATTTCTTCAATTGTCAAAGTAGAACTTAAATGATGTTCATTATTCAAAAGATATGTTTGGCACACTCCCTTTCCTGAACAAAGGCCGCTAAGAATAATTCACTACTATTGAAATATACCTACCTTTTACATCAACCCTTCGCTCCTCAAAGTCAAAACCAATATCATGCACACGTTCATAGGTTGATCTTGACAGATGCACTCGTCCAGGGAGCGAGGTACTCTCCATTCGTGATGCCATATTAATTGTATCCTGTCACAACGATGTTTAATATCATTCTTAATAATTTCATACTTACTCCCCATAAATCATAGGCGAACTATTTCCACAATAATGTGTTTTGCAAAATTGTACGATTGAAAACTTACCTTTTTAGTACCAATGACACCGGCAACAACACTACCAGTATTCATTCCCATACGAATATTGAACTGTTTGTTTTCCAAACTCATATCTTCTCCTTCTTTGACATCAGCAAAGAGTCTTCTCTTGAGTTCTGGATTGGTATGAATTTCTTTGATTTGCTCGACGTTGTAGTTATGAATGACTGTCATTGCATCGATTGCAAAACGAAGCGTTCTCTCAGGATGATCCTAAATTTGTATATCATTATTTTGGAATTTTCGGTGATTAAGAAGAGGTTTTGAAGAAATATTTAAAGTAAACTTACACTTTGTGGGTTATTATGTCTAATATTTACAAAAATGTTGGTACAAGTCAAAAAACGCTTCTACTTACAAGCTATTTGAAAAAAGAAGAGAAAATATTAGTTGAATGAATTCATCCTACCATTCACTTACCCTCCAACACAAAAATAGGCGTCTCCAATAGTTTTGATTTTTTCCAAGCCATACTTGTCAGTCAATGAATCAAATTCGCTCACAACCACTGAAAGCATCTTCACTAAATCGATAGGTTCCATGTTGGATGAAAGTTTTGTAAATCCCTGTTGATTTCACGTGTTAATAGAAATTGCTATTTTCCAGGAATACATACCACCAAATCGCTGAAGAACACAGTGACGTCTAAAAACTTTTCAGCAATATATGTTTCTCCGCTCTTCAATCTTAGAGCAACAGCTTCAGGTAATATATTCAAAAGCAAACTTTCAGACTTCTTTTTCTCTTCCTCCAACAAAGTTTGTTGCTTCTTCTCTGAAGTGATATCCTACAGAAATGGTATTAAAAAGTAAGAATTGTTGATCATCTTTCACATACCTTAACAAAGAATGTCACCACTGGATTATTTCCAAATAATGTTGCAAAGAAATTAATTCTTGCAGGAAACTTAGTTTGATTCTTTCTAAAGCAATCAATTTCCACCGATTCTGAATTTTGCTTATCGTTATTGTATTCCAAGTTCAAATTTTTACACATAATACCAATAATAATCTTGACCTTTCCAACGGCTTCTTGATCAAACAATGTGAAAACTCCCATTCCTTTTGCATCAGTGGATTTAATTCCAAACATTTTCTGTGCAGAAGGGTTGAACAACTCAATTTCTCCCTTCTCGTTACACAAAATTACCCCATCTACTGCAGAGTTAAGCATATTAGATACTCTTGTTTCTTCGTCGCCACCTGATCCATCATCTTTCATTTTGGATCTTCCTAAAAATCCCTTGCCGTTGCTTAAATCATAATGTAAAACATAATTTCGAAGTTTTTCATTTGCATCCAAAATTTCCCACGGAATGTAGTTTAGCATGAGTCGTAGCTGATGAATATTTCTCCAGTGAGAGCTACAGGCGTCATACAGAAAGTAACCAAATATTAATGTTTCAAGAATCCCAAAGATGGAAAATAAAATGATTATCACCATGTCAGGTTTGGCAGTTAGATAGATGAAATATTCCAAGAAATCAAGCAGACGGTTAGTAGTTTCAGTGGCAGTTAAAAAACTTTCCATATAGTTTTGAAAGATAGTTTTTGGAGAGCTTACAAAACTATCACTTTGAAGAGTTTCTGAAAGTTGATCACTGTTGATTACAAAGGTGGTAATCCAGTGGTTTAACCCATCACACGCCATGGCATTAGTGGCATTGCATTGAGTTGTTCCAGTTAAAGAAGAAATATATTGAGTATAGGATGGTAACTTTGATAGATCACTCAATTCAGTGTTCCAAGTTTGTTGCAAGTCTTGGAGTAATGGATGAATTTCAGAGTACATAGTCGAAAAGTTCGTTAATGCTGCTAATGCAGGATCATTCAGAGATGAGGACCGATCCATTTTGTTGAACAAAAACAATTCTGCTAGTCTTGATTGAACCTTTTGTAGCAATAATAAGGTATTTGTAATACCACTTAAACTTTGTATGGTTGTGGCTGCGTAATTACTGATTGTAATTGTTCCAGTGCAAAGTAGCGAGAGACAAATGACGGTACAAAATATGAGAGCAAAGCCATATACGACTACCATTGTTGATGGTTGAATGGTAGAATTATTGCTTCTAGCAGCATATTCATCATCTCCTCGTTTTCCCAAATAATGATATATTTTACCAATGATATTCTTTGAAATATATAATTCTAATAGCTTAATGAGTTGATTTGAATTTGAGCATTGATATTTAGATACTCCAACTATCGTACAACCAATCACAAGATAGACAAATACAGTACAAGCATAATAAATTAAATAAGCATTGGCATATTTTCCTGCAGATACCTTAATATCAGAAACCGCTTGTAGGCAAAAAGCTTGAAATGCGTTCTCTGCTCTATCTCTGTTTAACATTAAAAACATGACGCTAAAACTTTCCAAAGTCTTGTTATAGTCATCAACCCCATAGTTGTATATTATTTGTTCATGATTCGTAATCATGTGAACAATATCAAATACTGTTGCATTTTGAATAGTGCTGGTGGTAAAGAGCGGTGTGGATGTCATAGAGCCTTTTGAGTCCAGTGCTGGTATTAGAATTTCGTATTTCTCGTTCACATAGTTTTGAATATTTTTGCTGCTACTTTTTTCTTGGTCAATTAGAGCTTGTAAGCTTTGAGAATAAGCTCTTAATCTTGTTTTGTGAAATTTAAAACCTTGCAATGCTTGATCATCCATTCTACCGAATACTTCCAAGAGTGCCTGTGTGGTTCTCAACTCGCCAAGTAGCAACGATGACGCTCCTAAGGGGCGGCAACTTTCTCTTGATGTAATGATATCTTTAGTTGCAAATTGAGAAAGAATTACGCTCAGCACAATTGACGAGATCACCAAAAAGGCGGTCAAAAATAAAAAAAAACCTAACCCAAGTTTCTGGAGTCGGTGAGGTTCTGGTAAGCTTAATGCTGATCTAAAGAGTAACTCTTTCTTTGCTGCTGCATTGTTTTCCACTCCATCAAGGGGTATTTCTAAATTTTCGGAAGAACCGGACATATTCTTTGAACCAAATCCAGATAAACTTAAATTTTCTGCCTTGTTCAAAGAGAATTCGTTGATTGATAACAAATCTTGTCCGCTGCCGTACGAGTGATCCTTCGATTCTTTGATTTCCTTTAATGGTGCGATCTTATTGGTTTTTTGTATCCTACTTCCTCTTCTACGGCGATTTTGCTCTTCATCCTCAATAGAAAGAGCTTCTGTCATCAGTTGTTGTGATGACTCCTTATCGAATACAAAATTCTCTAAAAAGTAGGCATATAGGCGCAACAGTTTCTTGACATTTCCATAACTTTGCATTAAATTTTCATACATAACTTGACAATTCTTTGTCATGGAAGCTATCTTTCTATTAATTTGTTCTACCTTATCGTAGTTGATCACGTCGCTCATCAATTCTTTGAAAAATGCTCGATGTAAAAAATTTAAGTCGGTGTGATTCCGTTCCAGGTTTTCGAGCACCTTTCTCAATTCTAACATATTCTTTTTGTTTCTTGAATTTTCATAATCAATAAAGTTTTCAATTTCAAAAACTATTCTTTCGATATTAAGCTTTTGGTAAAAGTTTGGATGATTGTTAAGCGCTTGGTTTAGGATCCTAATTCCGTTTCCTTCTCCTTCAATAAAATAGGTCAATAAAATGGACGCTGTCACTAAAATTTCAATGTTTCCGAACGACTTATTATATACAAGTCCCTTCACAAAACATAAAGAAAGTTCCAGGTCCGAATAATCATTCGAAACTGTCTTAGAGAAGGTGCTGGATCGAAGAAAAAAATCAAGTTCTCGTATTTCTTTCTTGTCTTCAAATTCTTGAAAGACAATAAAACAAGCCTTTTCCATAGAGTTACCATTTTCTAACACTATCGCTAACAACTCTTTTCGAACTCGTTTCACAATCAAATATTGATAAATATACATGAACACACATCCAATGACGAAAAATAGAGTGATTATTCCAAGCGTCATTATAGTCATTCCCAATCCAAGAGTCCATTCATTTGAAACATTGACCAATGAAGAGATGAGAGAGCCAACAGAGGTACCACATTTTCCACAAATCACCCCAAACATGACTGAATTTTCACCAAACCTTGCATAAGGAAGTGACTGAAAATAAAGATACGAGAGTGTAACGGCGATCATGACATGAATAATGGCTCTCACGTATCCTAATGAAACTGGAATAAAAGAAACCAAGAATAATTCCACACAAGTCAAAGTCCAGAACCCAATTTGCATATATGAATTCTTTGCAATGAATAATCCTTTCGAAAGAGCATGAGTGTTGGGAAGAATGAACATGGCCATAGGAAGAATACAAAAAAGCAGTAAGCATCCGATAATGTTGAATACCAGATAGATAACGTTCTCTGAGGAGTAGCACGAAACCATGTTTTTTCCAAACCTGACCAGATAATGATTAGAGTTGTTGCTATTTTGTAAATCATACCAACAGTCGGTAAAGCTTGTCATCACAAAGGTCATCACAAGGGCCACAACCATCGCTATTCCGAGTACGATTTGTACAACTACTTTGATCTTACCGTAAAAACTGTTGGAAAGTAACATGTACCTATACGCAATGATCATTAGAAGTATACACAACACTAAAAAGCCAATGCATATAAATCCTAGTACGACCATACCAATATAGGGCAGTCGATCCAGTGAGAGAGATGTTCCATAATTAAGGACGTTGAAAATCCAACCTCCATAATATCCCCATTTGTAGTAAGGCTCGCTTGTGGGTTGAATATTGGATGTACCGTTGCTATTGATGACCATCATTCCTATCGTATCATCCATGGTGATGGTTGGAATAAACATTGAACTGATCATCATGTATAAATGAAAGAGCGCCATTCCAGCAACCAATCTCCAATCATGAATTGGTTCCTTATTTTGCAAAGACAGCAGCAACACAGTTAATCTTTCCCACAATCTGCCGAGCAAAGAAGAGGAATCACTGTCCCCCTTATTGGATGAACTTGATGATTTCTCTCCATTGGAAGACGACTGCTGTTGTTGATCCTGCATCAGCATCATCATTTGAGGATTTTTGTTTGAAAAGTCGGCCCGACATCAGCAGAGAGAAAAGAACAAATTAGTTGTAGTTGACGCACAAAATTACCAACAAATAATTATTCAGCTTTTAACAACTATAGCCTGTTTCAATAATGAGAAATGAAAGAGTTTTAACATCGTCCATTCGAAGCCTGAAATTTTTAATTATTGATCGATATTTCGCGAACGCGAGTCAGTGAGTAGCCATCAATACTGAATAGAACCATTTTTGTTTTTGATTTAAAAAACATTTTCAAACAAAAATGATCACCCAAGCATCTCGTTTCATCACTCCATTCCGAACAACTGCATCCAAATGTTGTAGGAGCAATCATAGTACCGTTATTAATTCTCCACTTTCCTATAAAATTCGGACTAACATTTGCCCACTAACGACCACAACAAAATACAATCAATCCACTTGCATCATGATGGCAATACATAATCATAACAACAGATATTTCAGCTCGAATGTATTAAAACAACAACAAGAATCCCTATCCTCTTCAAAGAATGCAACTGTAGATAATAATGCTAATAATTCTCAAGATTTATTGATTACTGAATCGTGTGGTAGAAGAATCACAGAAGTAAATGAAAAGAAAGGAGATCCTGGAAGAATGCTCCGAGTGATTGTCGAAAGCGGAGGTTGTAGTGGATATCAAGTTGAGTTTACTTTTTCAAAAGAGATTGAGCCTGGCGATCAAGTCTTTTATCATCCTTCATATCCCAATGCAAAAGTACTTGCTGATGAAATTACAATGAGTTTTATTAAGGGAAGTACCATTGATTTTGTGGAGTCAATGGCCAAAACAGCCTTTGTTTTAGAAAAGAATCCAAATGCAGAGACAGGATGCAGTTGTGGAACTTCTTTCAGTGTCAAAGCGAAATAATATGTTCAACATTAACGTTTAATAATAATTATTTTGAAATTGTTCATTTCAAATTGAGAGCGTGATTAAAGGAAAATAAAAATGTCTCAAAATGAATCTCGACATTTTCTCACGAGCCGACATGTGTCTCGATTGCACTCCGTCATTAATCATCTTACCATGAATTCACCATCTCGGAATATATCTGATGATTCACATTCACAAAGTAATAACAATTATTTTCAATCTCACCAATTTACAAATACAACACTCTCAAGACCATTCCGAACTCTTCACACTGGAATTATTAACGATCCCGATGCAGTTCATTTGGAACGAAAGAAACCTCTTCGGTTGGAATTACGAAAATCATTTTATGAAAATAGAAACACGTTCGAGAGCGTTACAGAGTCAACAAATTCAACCACTCCTCAAACATCGACACAATCATACCCTTACACTTCCATTTTAATATTGGATCATGTTTTTCATATTGCAAAATTATTACAAGCTCGCCACATTCATCTCAAATACGTTGAACAAAGTGGTGACACTTATATCATGTTTAGAACAGATCAAGGATTGGTTCCATACTCAACAATTCAAAACAAACATTGGATTAAATATTTATTAATGCATGCAACCGGCAAAGAGGAATACGAAAAAGCAGGAGAAGGAGAGTTTAGATTGGAGGTGATGACAGAACGAGACGGAAGACTAGACTTTACAGTGAATATCGTGTACATTCAAGGAGGTGTAAAATTAACATTGAGTTTTATTAATGTGTAATTAGAGTTTTTTTGAGAATTATGGAAAGTATTCAGAAACCAACATTGGAATGTTTAACTAGGGTATATGGTAATGTTATATTTGGTGACATAACCTGAAGTGACCATTGGTAAATATTCTCCACCTCCCCACATGTCTGCCAAATAATCATAGGCTTGATCTAATGGATTTCCAGAATTACCTAATGGAATAATGAAATAGTCATTTCCAAAAGTTATTACTTGTCTATAGGAGACACTGTGAGTGGTTCTTAAATCTTCAAAAGAATTCAACGTTGGATTGCTATCTGTTGGGGTCTTTAAATCAAATCTCACAGTTTGACTATTAGGAACTTGCCAACCACCTCCAATCTTAGGTCTAATAACACGGTTCACAAAACACTGAACAGGTGACTTGGTGAGAAGTTGATGTTCCAAACTGATGTAGTGAATATCTTGCTGCCATCTTGGGATCCCTCCAAACTTGTTTTGACAGAATTCAAGTACCTTCTTCATTGCATAGATACCATATTCAATACATGATGAGTACTCATTTGAGCTACATGCAACATCTGTGTTGTCCATCATGATTTGTTTGAGATAATCTGCTCTAAGCAAGCTAGTTTTTGTTTCTGCAAATGGAAGCAATGAAGCTTGTGCTAAAAACAAATGGAAAATTGATGACTCTTTGGATCCATAGGATGTAACTCCATCCCATACAGTCATCTTTTCAGTCCACTTGTATAAATTACTAGTTTTGTCTTCGTTTTTGGAATTTAACGTTTCCAACATTTTCACAAAAGCAAATCTCAATGACTCAAATGCCAGTGATTTTCCATCCAATTGGACAGCCATCATGTGCTCATAACCAATCTTTTGTAATGTTGAGTTTTTAACCAAACTTGCAAGAAGCTCAGTAATTCTTTTGGCCCTAAACTCAAAAGCATTGTCGCTTGTTACCTGGTAAGGATATCCAGAGGGAGCCAATCGGTTGTTTGCTGTCACTACATATCCCTTTGCGGGGTTGAATGCATATGGAACCTTATCAAATGGAACGTATCCATCATAGTCCCAAGTTGAAACGTCTCCTGGAACCGGAAACTCTCCAGTGTGACCCGTTCTTCGAATAGGAGTAGCTCCGTAAATGGCTGCTGGGAACATACCAATATTATTTTCATCAGCATAGACGTAATTACAAGAAACGGACGTGATAAGGGAAAGTGCTTGCTTAAACTCTTCAAAATTTCTTGCCTTCATGGTTTTAAAATATCCATCAAAGGTGGTGTCATTGTACTCGAGAGCTTTCCAACGTAAAACAATGGGTCTGTGTAAATCACCATTAGTGATCATTGTGTCAGCAGATGCCCAATCAATGTTATCTAATCCAGCAATAATATCATTCACAACAGGTCCAAGATGCGTTTTGAATACAGGAACATCCACAATATCATAACTACCTCCCTTCTTCACTTTCACTTGCTCATACTTAAACTGGAAAGGACGAGCAACACCGTCATAGGTATAGTAATAGGAGTTTTTGGTAATGTCATTTGATGTAATACTAGTCGACGGATTCATTTTCATCACATATAAATCTTGGTTGTCTGGACCTGAAACAGTAATTCCCCAAGCAATATCCGAGTTTCTGCCAAGAGAAATACCAGGAGTGTTCACAAAGGAGCATCCTCGCAAATCTGTTTTTGATTCTGCGCTTTGCAGATGAAGTAAAATCCAAATACCTGGAGCTGAAATTGTAAGATGAGGATCATTAGCCAGCATTGATTTTCCAGTACTTGTGTGATTCTTGTGAATAACCCAAGAATTGCTTGCTTCTTGTTGAGCTAAAAATCGTTCAAATAACTCTTGTTGGTCTTGATTAACTCTCAATAATTGATCTCGGAGAGCATCTTGAGCAGATGAATCTCTCAATCCAGAAATAAAGGTTTCATAAATATCAGCAATAGAATGGAAATATCCTTTGTGAGGTGAAGAATTTTCTGAAACTTTCTCTGCCCTTCTACTACTAGGATCTTTCTTTGGAATGTAAGCAGCACTATTATTGAAATATAATCTATATTCCTGAGCTAAGTCACTAGCGACATCAGTATTCAAGTTCAAATCATCCTTAGTTAAAATTGTTGTAATATTATTTGGAGAAAAGGCACCATTAATATCTCTACTGAATGTCGACATTGGTGGGAATAATCTTTCAATTCTAGAAACTGAAAGGCCTTGTTTCAACATTCCATATCTAATCACTTCGCTCTTAATATTTAAACTTAAATCCCACGAAATGAGCTTACACCAACCAATGCTGTCAATTACTGTCCATTTCTGTGGCCGATATCCGAAAATAAGGTTGAATTCGGGACCTAGTTTTTCAATAGGAGCTCGTTCAATAAATGCATTCACTCCATCTGCAAAAGCTTGAACGATATCCAAAGAGCTCTTTGATATGAATCCCGAATTAATATCATTAGTCACCAAATCCCTAAATCCCATGACTCTAGCAAATTTATCAATAGACAATGCAGCAGATCCAACAACCTCACTAAGAGTTCCATTAAAAATTCTACGATTCAGTTCCATCTGAAACATTCTTTCTTGAGCAGTGACATATCCCTGTGCAAAATACATATCATAGTCAGTTTGAGCTTTGATGTGAATAACACCGGATGGTTCTCGTTCAATAACTACTGGTTGTTTTGTTCCCATTGAATATAAATCTCCATATCTTGTTGCAATAGTTGACTGAGTCAAACTCAACACCACAATTGTGAAAATTGAATTCAAAGCAAATGCAATAGCTCCAACAATTAAAAAACTCCAGAACACAATATCCAGCACTTTTTTGTGATTTTGATAACAATTCAATGTAGCACTCTCTTCATGCGTACGTGGTGTCAATTTAGCTCGTTCTCTTGAAACATGTTTGATGGTATTTACTGTTTTCACAACCTGTTCGTCATCCTCATTCGCTCCATTGTTTTGGGATAACGAGGAAAGAGTTGATTTAATTTGATTCATCTCTTGAGAGTGCTCCTTTTCTAGATTCCTAGATTTCAATATCTGCTCATTCCGATACAATCGATTGAAAACCACCACCCAAAAGTAAAACACAGCCAAACATACAAAGGCTATGACCGTAAGTAAAATACTAATGATGAACTCAGCTCCAGAACATTTAAAACAAGTGGTATAGGGATGGATAGTGATGATGAGAAGGAAACATATAAAAGTGAGAAATAAAAGTATCGGAATGAGAAGATAACGGATCGTAAAGACTGTATAGAACCGTACGGTTTCCGCAATGAATTTTAAATTCATTCTTGAGAGTCTTGTTCCGATTGGCTGATACGTTGGTAATGATAATAACAATGAATAAATAAGAAGAAAAAGAAGAACCAACTCTCTCAAAATTTCAGCTGAAAGGTTTTCTTTCTCTATGTGCACGCCGCTCGTAAAGGACCACCACAAAGAGAATAATCGAGCTCAGAGAGAAAGAACGAGGTACGTGAATCGTTTTTTTTTGAGGCAAAAATCGGTCGTAACGTTTTGAAAAAGAAACTCACGTCGGACTTTTAGAACACCAGTAGTGTTGTTCGCGATCGATGACTTACGTGCTATTATCGATCTGTTTGGAGTATTTTTCATTCCTTTTTTCATCAAAGTATTGATCGAGAATAGCAACTTGAGAATCCATTTCAATATCGTACATCGACGAGTGCATAATTTTTTAGAACTGTAAAAGATGACATCAGTTAACTCGTTTTCTAAGGTTAAACAAGTGTGAGGTTTGAAACAAATTCTCCTTTTTCTCTTCGGTTGGAAGTTAACAGATCTGATAGGAGTTCCAAGTTACATCTTTATTTTACAATAATCAATCAAACGTCATTTAAAAAAACTCATCAAAAAAATTTTTCATCACGACATCCAGAGTAAAAGCTGGTGGCATCATTTCACAACCACCATCATCATTCAACACCACCTCTCTCAGTGATTCACTTCCTCTCTTACCATTCCTCTTTTTGTGATCATTAATAATATTATATTATTCTTACAACTTCTCATCACACCCACACACTCAAAATGGTGGTCATTAAACGTCCTCTCGAACACTTTGATCGTTTTGGTTTTCAAAACAACACTGGTGCTTCTCTCATTGAAAGTTCTCGCATCAGTGGACACATTTTACAAGGTCGAAATATGAACTCAATGATTGGTGTCTTGTATCAATTATCCGCTCTCTCTCAGACTGCCATTGAAATTTTCAATTCACTCTCTGAAAGTGCAACTGGTACTTTTGATCGTATCAATGCTCTCAACACTCGTATTCAACAAATTAACAACAAATTACCTGAATATGAACGATTTATGCATGACAATAACTCGAAATTACTCTTCTCAGCATCCGGTTATGAATTATCTGAAGCAAATATTGCAGTCTTGTATCGAAAGGATCACTCGAATATTTCCAAAGAGAATAATCCTCTTCCTTTGAATGTACAATACATGAATGCTTGTTTACCAGCTCCAGAGTTTTCTCCCTTGTTGGATCAATTACATGAATTGAATTTACAACAAGCAAATTCTGAAGGCAATGAACAACAACCACAATCATCGGATGTCAAACAAGGTCCTTTACCCAAGTACAAGAAGTGTATTGAAGCCTATACGGATGCCAATTTCTTCTTTAATGAATGGGCAAAACGTGAATTGGAACGTCTCAAGAAGGCAAAACTTAAGAGAAAGGAAGAACGTAAGAGACAACGATTGGAACGTCAAAATGTGACTGCCACGAAAGAGAAGAAACAAGTCAAGCAAATGAAAATTCACCGTAAAAAGTACAATTCGGAAGGTCAAATTATTGATTCAGGAAGTGCTCCAAGTTCTATGCAACGAATGGCTTCAAGTCCTAACATGACGACGACAAGTTATCAACAACAACAAATGGACTATTCCAATAATAATAATAATAGTAACTATCCACCTACTCCAAGTAATCCTCCACAACATCAACAATACGATTCTTCACCAAGAATGAACCATTCCTATGATTCTTCACCATCCTTTAATGTTCCTACTCCACCTCCAAACAGTTCAAGAAATGTTCCTCCACCTCCAATGATGAATGGTGGTGGTTATGGTTCATCCACAACCAACAGTAATGGTTATTCCACATCTCCACCAATGATGATGAGTTCTGGTGGTGGTTATGGAGTTCCTCCACCAACCAATGTTCCACCTCCACCTTCCGTGATGGGTGGTAATGTTCCTCCTCCACCTCCAAATGTTATGAATGTTCCTCCTCCTCCACCAAGTAATAACTTTGTCGTGACACCTCCACCTGTTCCTGCCACTACTGGAGAAGGTAATATTGACATTTTGAAGACAGTCGAATCGAACAAGTCTCAAATGAATCGTGTGGCAGTTACTGGTCGTGCTAACTTGTTGGATGAAATTAGAACTGGTAAGACATTGAGATCGGTTGCTGAAAGAAAGTTGGAACCAAAGAAGGATGAAGGAAGTGCAATGAGTGTGGCTGACATTTTGTCCAAGAAATTCGAAAAGGTTATGGGAGATTCTGACGATGAAGATTCTGATACCGACTTTTCTGATTCTGATTGGTAAATTGCACACATGTATGGACGATGTGACATCATTAATGAATGCATCAATTACTATATCACTCTCTTTATAATATTCTAATATTTGTAACTTTGCTACTGGTGTGTATTTTTGACAATGTCGTCATCTTCCTTAAATGAAGTCTTGCAATAATTCAGTTTTGTCACATTAGCCACTCCAATTAATTTGTTTTTATCCACTAAGAGCACTCGGCCAAGTCTTGGATTTTCGGAATAGAGTTCAAGAGGAGCGAATTTGTGAAACCTCATCAACAGTCTGATTCTAGCTTGAATCACTTGGCCTACCTTTGCACTTTGTGGATAATGTTGTTCCTCTGTTTTGTTTGTTTCGCTCATACGTACTGACATGATTTCTTCAATTTTACAAAGATATTTGTAGGTCATGAAATGCATCTTACAAGTATATCCAACTCGAATCTCACCAGACTCAGGAGTAATTATAATTTTCACAGTAGCTTCAAACGACTCTACATCCATTGGTTCCAATGGTTCATGAATCTTGTTGAAAACATAATAATTCTTAATATCTCGTATTGAACAATTTTTTAAAGCTACTCCAACAAAATCTCCGACATTCGCCCGTTTTACAGGATTAAATGCAATTTCCAACGATTTTACAATCCAATTCTTACAAGAACCATATTTTGGATAAGATTGAATTGTATCATTTTCTCTAATAGTTCCTCTTTCAATCCTTGCTATAATAACGGTACCCACACCTCCTTCAAGAACAATTTGAATCCATTTGAACTCATTGAGATCACTTACCAATTTTGTAAATATCCATTGGTGCTAATTTCAGGGATTTATCTTTCAAATTCATGCTGTCTTTTGTAATTTGCAAATTCTTTAAGGTATTCCATAACGGATCTCCCTTATAGAAATGGTAAGCTCCATTATTGTGCACAACATTTGGTGCACTACCGACTGAAGAAACTGGAATAAAAGGAATATTTCTCCATCCCAATTTTCTTAATTTGATCTCCAAACATGTCACTATTTCAAGATATCGGTTATGTAATTTTTGGATCTGCGTTTCTGTATCACACTTATTTAAACAAACAATCATGTGCTGAATTCCGAATGATTTAGCTACTCGTAATTGATTATTCAATGTTGAATCAAACTTTTCAATTTCTTTTTCAAACTTGTTGTCTGTAATGTCAACCACCAACACAGCAATATCCGCCAAAAAACAAGCCTTTATCAAACAATCTAATTTTCTCTTCTTTGTAGAAACATTCATCAAAGTTAGAATTTCTTTCTTCTCTTGATCTGTTTTATGAAGAACGCCAATTTGAATGAGAGGTGCACGCTCGGGACGGCTAGTGTGATCAGCGGCTGATTGATAGGCCTCCAAGACTCGTTGTTCCTTGCTCGGCCATAAATGTTCCGGTATTCCCAGGTACAAATTGTAGGCTCTCTTTTCAACATATCTTGTATCATCATGGCATTCTAAACATCCACACAGAGTGCTCTTTCCTGATTCTTCGGATCCCAAAAACAAGATATTCTTTTGCAGAAAATGAGAGGAATCATCTTTTAAAGTTGGTGATTGCATTGTTTTTTCGTTCTTTTAATTTGCACTCTCGTTCTCTTTTTTTACATTACACATCATTGTTTCGCTTTAGGTTTGGATTTGCACTCAGTCGAGATGAGAGCCTCATAATAACGCACCTGTAGTCTTCTTGCGGATGTCATCTTGAAACTCAATTCTTGGAACAATAAAAGGATTCGACTTGAGTGAATCCAAACACAACTCAATGGCACGTTCGATAGGATTGCATTCCTCCTCTTGCTTTTGCAAGTGTTGAGCAATGAGGAGAGCTTTTTTCTTGATACTTTCACTCTTCTCTCCACAAAGAACAAAATCAATGGCTTCGTTCACCTTCTCATTGTCAATGTCTTTGAGCAACACAGGATAAGAGGCTACTCCTAATTCAAACATTTTGTGGGCCCAGAAAGGTTGATCCATAAAGACAGGAATCACGACTTGAGGATTGCCAGACTTTAAGGCAGCACCAGTCGTGCCTGCTCCACAATGATGAACTATACAGGCACATTGAGGAAAGAGTAAATAATAGGGACATTCTTTAATGATCAAAAGTCGATCATTGGCAATGTAGTGTTTGAGAGAATTCAATAATTCTCGATATTGTTGGATTTCTTCATTTGAAAACTTTGAATCCATATTCTCCATGTGGTGGTGCGTATTCAAATCTTCCATAATCTGGTCCATGTCGGTCCAACCTGGTGAGCCATTGGATTGTGTCACACATATGTTTAAATGTCTCATAAGAAATTTCCAATAGATGCTCCATGAACAAACTTACCACATGATAAGATCACTCTCTCATATCTCATCAACACAGACAGAGTTAATTCAAATAATTGAAAAGGATTCAATGCTGGCATGGAACCAAAAGATAAGAAAATAGGTTCTGTTTTAGGCTTTGCAAGAAACACCTCAATTTCTGAACCCAATTGATCATGTTCAAGTTTGAGTTCAAAAAATCCTGTCAAGTGAATATTCTCTCTGTATCCTTTTGGTTTCTTTCCACCAAAGACAACATCAGAGAAGGCATAAATAATTGGCATGTTATACTTTTCTTTGAGACCTAACCAACCAGAAGAAGAATCATTCATTGGAGCAAGTCCCAATCCTTGTCGTTGCTCATTTACCATTTCTTCTGTTTTCTTGAAGGCAACACGATACACTTGTTCATAGCTTGCAAGATTCTTCTCGTCATCTCCCAAACTCATTGGAGAAAGGACACAAAAAGGAAAGTCAGAAGTTGGTGCTTCAGAAACAAGACCCACATACAGCAGTGGAATTTCATACCTCTCACTTAACATCCAAGCAATGGGCATACCAACTGAAGAAGAGATCAAGGCGTTGAATTTGATTTCAGTTGCTGCCATTTCAAATAAATCTTGAGTGCATTTTCTAATTAAGACTTCAGAGGGTTTTGCTGTTAATTCAATGACTTTGTTAAAATCACCCGTTCTAAGAGCCTCTTGTGTTTGCGGATCTTTTTGATGACACCATATCAAGATGACAATATTATTATTATTTGAATTTTCAACAAGCTCTCGAACATACCTTGCATTGTTTCCTTCGGATTTCCACTCAAACCCTTAAATAGTAAACACGAATGACTTGCTTGAACTGATCTCTCAAACTGAGGTCGAAATACTTCGGGAGCAATAAAATCACGATTTTAGTGTTTTCATCACGCAAACATTTTTTGTGTGCGAACTAATAAATGTTTTGAAAAGAACGTACAAATTCTTGAAATGCAATATTTAAAAATTCTTATTGAAACTCTTTTATTATTTACATTATACATTCAGGTCCATATTATACAAATAAATATTGTTATTCATTCCATGTGAAGCAGCAATCCAGTTGAGGTATTGATAGTTGCCACCTGAAGAGCCACCAAATGCAGCATTAAACCAATCTACATTGGTCATGGGTGAGAAGTCACTTGCTGAAACAGTTGAGGTGGATGAATTATTCGTAGAGGCATTGGAATAAAAATCTTTGGTCATTAGACAGTGTGTGGGACTATTGTGAAGTAGAGAGAACACTGTTCCTGGATAATTTAGAACAAACATTCGTTCACTTGTGGAGCAAAGACTAATCTTGGTGTTAATCCAATTGGAATTTTGCTTTTCAGAGCCAAAGGCAACTGGATTTTGTATCTGAATTTGATTCAATATTTTTCCTGTGTTATGAATGGACCACTCGATTAATTTTCCATCTGAACCACATGTCAAGACAGATGTTTCATTTTCGCTGAAATGCACATTGGTTACCTCTCCATCGTGAGCTTTCCAAGTCCAAATTGATTGTTGTTGCTTGGATGCCGTATCGAAAATTCTCACATATCCATCAGATCCAGCTGTAGCCAACATGGTTCCATTATGATTAAATTTGATATCAAGTATTGGTAAATTTTTAGGTTGGATCAGATATTTGTTTTCCAATTTCAATTGATTCAAGTTGTACCCCAGAAGCATTCCTGATAAACTACTCGGAGAAGAATTTCCAATGTTTTGTGGGGTACTAGAGGATGTTGAGTTGGAATCAGATTTTTGATAACTGGAACAACTCACTACACAATAATCAGAATTTCTTATTGAGGACCCACAACATGCAATAGCATTCACTTTCGGATAGAAAATTTCTGTGCAAAATTCACCCGTGCACTTTCTCTTATCCAAATCAAGTATTTTCACTTTCCTGTTATTCAATCCGCATACAATTACATTATTATAACCTGATGAAGATCCTCTTTTTCCACTCGATATTGACCACCAGTCGATACACATGGCTTTGGTTCCACATTCATAGGTCTGTATTGATCCAAAGGAGGTAGTATTTCCAGATTCCTTATTACCTACTAAGGACCATATCCTAACGGTGTTATCTTTGGAGCTGGATGCCAAATATTTTCCATCAAAAGAGAATTTGAGTGAGGTAATGTAATCTTTGTGACCAATAAAGACCTTTGTAGGATACACATGCTTAACATTAAAAAGTTGAATATTATCAAACACACTTGCTGATGTAATGTTGCCTTGTTCGGTTGGTGTGCTGTTACTTGCGTTTGATAAAGAAACAGTGCTTGGAGAATTAGGAGAGATGGACCCTTTTTGAGAAGGAGTGGTGATAGCATTTGACGCGCTTTGCCTTGCTGATGACGGCATAATTAGTGATGAAAAAGAGTGTGAAGATGGTATTCTCTTGTTTGGGGTTTGTTGCTCTTGCTGTTGACGAGAATAATTGTCAGTTGACGATGGATCGGTGTTTCCTACCGGTGAATCACTATGTGAAATATTTCCTTCTCTTCTTATTCCCACTTCAGTTTCAAGTTTTGAAATATATGCCTCTGCGGCAAGTAATTTGCTTTTCAATGATTCATTCTCACTTATAAGAACATCCAATTTTTTCTTCAGAACATTTAACCGATCTCTCTTTTCAGATTCCATCAATAATAAAGTTGGTTTCTCCACAGACATCACTGCAGTGGCAATAAAATTTTGTACGCTCACATAGAGCATTTCAGCCCATTTGTTGTGAAAATAAGGTTCCAATTCAGGTACACATTGCTCCACAATACTTAAAACGCTAAAGTTCTGATTTCCATGGCCCATAATGATAGAAGCAGAGGAAGATGCATTGGATTCTCTTCTTTCTCTCTCCATTACAGAAGATAACTCATTGCTACCGGAAACATCAGACATTACACCACCACGAGGTGTTGAGGCTGTCGCACCACTCCTCTCAGTCGTGTGAGGAGCAAGTAGATACGGCAGTGCAAACCAAGGTCTCCATTCTTGCTCTTGAATTAATTCTGGGCCGTACCGTTCGAAAAACTCTCGACACTCACGAATTCGTCTATTCTGTGCGCAATGGACCACGTAATACTTTTTTCAGAGATTGTTCGAGCTTTCGGATGGTTTCATAATAGGATGAAGTGCTGGAGGAAGCGTGTCGGCCTAATAATGAACCAATAGGAGAGCTGTTAGAAATGTGCATTGAATTGTTGCTATTGTTGTTGTTAGAGTTTGTGGATGTTGGAAGAGCCGATGAAGAAGGGGACAAAGAATCGTTGGCACCATTGGAACTTTGCTGAGTATCGAGAAGAGTGTTGCTGACAGAGCTGGTTGATGATGAATTTGCATTGACATTGTTCGAAGTGTTTGAAGAATCTCCACTATTATCATACATTTGTCGTTCTCCTCCTCCGAAATTATTGGTTGATGATGATGATGATAAATTACTGTGGCCTGGTGATGATAAAGGCTTATTATAAAAACCCGATGATTCATATAATTTCGAAAAGAATTGTTTTTCTAAATATCCCCAATACTCCATAAACGCATGAATTTCATAATTACGAATATATTGAAATAATTGTTCAACAATCTTTTCCGTTTGGAAAGCCTTGTTCTTGTCCATTTTACGGTCCATTTCAAAATTGGTGAGAGTTCTATTAAACCCTCGCCACACAAGGTATTCTTTCAGCAACTGATCGCAATGAATGATTGAGTTATCTTCGTCAAGTGTTGAAGGCATTTTCTCTCAAATATTTTAATATTGATAATGACTCGAGCAATGATGATCCCGAAAATGAACGAGACTCAAGAGTGTGAAAATTTGCTTACTATTTTTTTTGAGGTCTTTAAAAAGTGACCAATCTCGAAAAGAAGCTTCAAAGGGACGATCAACTGTGTTGGAAGAAAGAGAAGTGTTCGGAGTTTGAAAAGTCCTCTATTTCTACTACATCTTGGAATCGAACTTGACCAATTTTATGCACAAATTTCAATAACAAAAAAAAATAATAACTCGTCACCTCTCAAACAACTTGTCTGCCTCCTTCGTTTCAAAACAAACTCCTTCAATGGACATTATTCAAAAACAAAAAGCGAGTTTTGAAGAGGCTCTCCCGATTCATTCATACTCCCCACCATCATCCTATCAAACCGGAATCATTACTGAAACGGGTACCACAACGACCAGTACATCATCCAAAAAACAAAAGACGACGAAGGTGAACACCACGCTGGAACAACCACTACTCTCTCCCGAGGATGATGGAAATTACAGTATACAATTTATGCCATCACAGCACCATTCAACAGCTGCTGATGCACAATCTCAATTTTGGCCATCTCAAAATTTCTCTGCATATTTTAGAAATATTTCATCGGTATTTAAAAGACGAAAAATTGATGCTATTCAACGGGATAATCTTATCAACCAAGCCTTGAAAATTACATTTGGAGGTACAGGGATATTTCTGATAGTGATCATTATTGCAATGTTTGTGTCATTAATTGCAATTTTATCTTTACACGACTCTCATTATTTGAACCATTTTGGAAATACAGCATTGAGCTTACAGAGTGTGGATTTTGTTCTATCAATTAAGGAAAAGAAGCAAGAATGGTTATCGTTTTTCCCACTAGATAACACGGCTTCCGTAAATGTGAGTATAGATAGACCCAAAGTAGCTGCTTTGTCATGTCTGACCACCGGCTATCGAAATGGCTGCATGCTATTTATTGTTGATGTTCTTGGAAAGAGATCACTTCAATCTTTTAGCATTGCTCCACTGACATACTTGTTTGAACTTGTTCATATCTATAACATGACTGTGTTTGTTGGTTCAACCTTAGAAAATCAATTGACAGTTTTGAATACCGGACAGACGATTGCACTCAAATCGGTCTGTAGGAGATTTTGCTTTGTCGTAGAACATAAGAATTTACTGTTTTCTGGTATGTTAATAATTAATTTACTTTAAATTTTCAATACTAATTTTTTGTTCCAGTAAATCCAAGAACAGAGGAGAATGGAAGTGTGCCTGTTGATCTCGATATTTATAGCATCTCATTTAACAATACCACTTTAGAATTAACCTTCGACATAGTGAAAACTTTAGAACTCCCCAATGTGTTTTTATATTCTTCAAAAAATCCATTTGTTGTGAGCGCCCTAAAGATTGTGAAACGAAATTTTGTTATTGTTCATTACCAGTCTTCCAATTTGTTTAAAAGTAAGTATCATTACGAAAAGAATTGAAAAAGATGACAATCGATCTAGTTGACTTGAATACATTAGAAATTGTTGGAAACGCAACATTAAACATTCCATTCCTTCATCCTCCTTACACAGTGATGGCCATGCCTTACTCCTCAAACTTGGACATTGACTATACCGATATTGTAATTTGGACTCTACGAGAAAACAAATATTTCAACATGTTCGTTTTCGATAAGGACCTTAATGTGATAGATGCTGGCCGGATTTCACTGGCGTTTCCAGAAACAAACGTTCTCTCACATACTGCTAGCTTTTCAAAGTTAGAGAATAATGGATTTATATTTTTGAAAATAGGACAAAAAGATGGATTATATTCTGACTCTGGTATTTCAAAATTTACAAACTACTATGGAATTACTGAGGCACGGACGCCAAAAAACATTATCTATACAGCAGGAACCTTTTTTTGGTATAATTCAACACTTATTTCTGAAGGAATTTTTACAGATTCACTGTTTGGAACATACAACAATTACTTAATTCATACCAGAACGAAGGGAGTACAAGGTGATTTGCAAATGGATACTCCTACATTTCAAAACACCTTCTCTGTCGAAGACAACTTTGAAATAATTAGCTTAGAAATTGGAAGATTTGACAAGTCAGTATTCGGCATTGGGTCACGCACGATTTCGTTACTCCATCCAATACAAGGCCAGTTCCATAGAATTTGGGACTTGTACATTCCATCTCCGTCTAAAAGAATTCAAAGTTTCTATATTGGAGAATATCACATCTTCCTATTTGATGAATTGATGAATGTCCACAAGTTTGACGCCTTGTATTTAAACCAAGAACGATTTCTTGCATATCCTGAACCAGCATTTTACTTTGACTCGATTGTAAAACCAGTGCCTGGACAAGATATCTTATTATCTGCAGCTATCTCGTACAGTGAGGAGAACGAACGAATTAGTTTTCAAGTGAAATATGTGAACATGAGTTCAATGGAATGGATCGAAGGACCAAACATGCAGTTCACGGATTTGTTCTATGACTTTATTCCTCTAGATATTGATCCAAAACACAAAATGGGATACTTTTTAGAGCTGTATGACCGAAAGACTTTACTTAGAAAAAGAGACCTCTCTGATCCTAATCTCAGGATTGTTGTGGAACGTGTTGCTACTGAATCTTTTGAGCCATGTGAATTTATCTTTAAAGTGGTTTCATCATCCAATTACTTATTTGTGGGTTGCGGATGTGTTTTTTATGTCTTTGAAACTCATACATTGACCTTACATGCATCTAGGTAAGTGAATTTCGCTTAAATATCATAACTTTTAATTGCTGCTCTTGACAGTTTTATTAATCAATGCGATGTTGATAAGGAGCCAAATTTCTCTGATGAAGGGTTTGTTGACCTTTATCTAGAAAATGATAGGTCTGTACTTGCAGTTACAAACAGAGGCCAATTATACAGATACAAAATTGGTGGCTGGTCTAACCAAGTCTATGTTGAAGCTAGCTTTAGTCTCAAGAAAGAGTCTTCCAGCAACCAAAATTTCACACTATGTTCCAACAATGGACTTGTAGTAGTGGGAGAATTGAACAAAGAGTTGTCGTACATTTACTCACTTGAAACTGTTACATCTTCCATTAGAGGTATATTAATCTATTCACTTACCTCCATTCTAGTTGCCTCGCTGTGTTTCTCAACACTTTTTGGATTTATTTTCTACAAAACGAGAAATACTTTGTTGAGAAAACAAATGGCTGAAAAGAACTTCAAAGACAAGCTGGACAAAAGTGAATTTAATTATTCAGCATCAGGTTTATCATCTTCACAAAGTAATGATTTTTCTATCAAAATTGAAGATTTGCAATTTACTGAAAGAATATCTGAGGGAGCATCAGGAGTCGTTTTCAAAGGGAGCTTCAAGGGAACCGATGTGGCAATTAAGAAGATGAAAATCACATCAGATGCAGATGATCAAGAACAAGAAATATTTGAAAAAGAAGTCTTTTTACTCAAATCTCTTAGACATCCCAATGTTCTTTCATTTATTGGTGTTTGCATTGGTTCGAGTGACGAGTTACAAAATTATCAATTCATTATTACAGAATTTATGGATAACGGAAGTCTCGACCGATATATGAAAAAATTAAGAGGAAAACTCTACATGGAAAAGAAGTTAAATATTTTGATGGATATTTGTAGAGGGATGGTTTATTTGCATTATAAGGTAGGTTGAAATAGAAGCCAATTCCAACCATATTTGAACCATATTGTGTGGTTCAAATTCACACATGTTACTCGATTATTTATTACAAATTATCTTTCCATTCTTACAGGGAATTATTCACAGAGACTTGAAACCCCAAAATATTCTTCTTACGAAGGACGGAACAGCTAAAATTGGTGATTTTGGCATCTCAAGAGTTCAAAATACTCAAAACACGATGACAGGCCAGACAGGTACACTCGAATACATCTCCCCAGAGGTTTTACAACAAGTTAGATATTCTGAAAAGGTTTGTAATTTCCATTCTAGCATTCATCAACTTAACTTTTTCACATAGTGTGATGTCTATTCTTTCGCCATGATCATGTATGAAGTTTTATTTGAATGTAAACCTTATGAAAAGATTTCAGATTTGAACATGTTCACACTTGCGTTGAAAGTTTTAGGAGGACTCAGACCATCCATTCCCTTTGACGAGGAAAAAGATGAACAAATTCTGGAATTCATCAAACAAAATGGCATTTCCACCACTCTCTCGTCACAACATTTACCACAAATTATTCACGACTATGTCAAACTCATGAAGCAATGTTGGTCCGCTGATGATGTTTCTCGCCCAAGCTTTGAAGCTTTATTGGACAAATTTGCATCCATGATGGGCTTATTGGACCGTTAGATCTTTTCAACATGAGATTTTCTATTAATAATGGGGACTTCCTCACAGTAAGATTCCTGAAGTGTCACAACGTTGGTGCGATCGCACCCTCATTTTCGAATAAAAAACCAAGAATACACAATTTCTCTCATACAACATGAATACAAAGCAAGCTGCTTATTTCACGTCCTTTTTCTTGGTTGTGTTTGTTTGGATGATCATGCTGTCTTTACGAAAGAATTCAGCACATGACATTCTTATGGAAACTCTCACAAGTTCTGAATGTATTTGATCATCCGTCGATAAAGAGGAGATGCATCCAGATCCCGAGTTTGTAAATAGTTAATCTAAAATGTATTTTAGTTTGTATGAACATCATAATTGTACAATAAAAGGCTGACAATTCTTTAAAACAACAATTACTTCCTGATCGGAAGGTGATCTTGCAAAAATTCGTTCAAAGATCTCAAACCACTTTCGGAGCCATGAAACACTTTTGCGAAAATTTTCTGATTACTAGGAACAGAACAACTACTCACATGGTCTCCTCTCTCTCCATCCGATGACATGTACATATTCTTTAGATTATTCATTGAATTCCGATCTTCAATCACTGAAAATAAAACCATTTTGAATTTGTTTCTAAAGAATTCACTTTGCAACACCTCCTTAAACAAACATGCAATATGATACGAAGGATTTGCATAGGCTCTACAACCAATCGGTGATAACACCAAAGAATCATGTCCTTTTTGAAGAGCCACCTCGAATAATGATGTAATTTTCTGTTTCATAGCATTGGCCAATTTTGAATCCAAAAAGTATTCAAACACTTCTTGCTTGTAAACTTCATCTCGTCGTCCAATCGATCGCTTCTTTACAGGTGGATTCATATACGCAGCCATGGAAAACATGGAAATGATGACCGGTTGTTCCAAAAATGCATATCCTTCCTGGACAGATTTTCTCAACACCAAACATTGAGGCACATAGACACCTCCAAATTGTGGCAATGGATAAGACCATTGTCGTGATTCATTCAACTTGAAAGGATCATCCAAACAAAGAGCCAATGAAGATCGTCGACACAAATCCTCCTCCTGTGCAAAGGATCCATTGACATATCCTCCACCAGGATGAGATGAACTTCCATTCACCAACAGGATTGGATTTAAATTCAATAATTGTTTTAAAGCAAGAGCTGTTTCTAAGCAATCTCCAGCAATGACTTGAATGATGGTCGTTGCATTGGAAGAAGGGTTGTTATTTTTGAATGATTGGTGAAGGATGATGTTGGACTTTTTCCAATATTCATGACGGAAGGAAAAGTGGAAGCATCGATGCGTTGTGTGGCTTTGACAGTCTTTTTCAACATGTTGAAATCAATATGAACGACACGAGTGGAAATGTCACTTGTCTCCTCAGAAGAATTTGTTTCATCCTTTTGTTTTGAGTCAACACTCACAATGTTCGTCTTTTTCATTGACTGTTCACATTGATGATGATTTGTATCCATGAAATGATTCTCTTTTGCACTCTTGAATGAATGAACATTTTCTTCTTCTTCTTCGTCATTCTTCTTGTTTGACATTTCCAAATAATACTTTCCTTTCAAAAGTGTCAATATTGTTTGCATTTGAATGAATTTATGAAAAGCTCTTCTCACATTAGTAAAATCTTTCCACGGATATTCATAATAATAATACAAAAAATCCTTTGCATGATAAAGATACTTGTTGAAACACATCATTAATGTTTCATCTTCTCTTCCCGATGTGTATTTCAATATTTGGGAATAAATTTCAAAATGTGGAATGTATTGAATGGGTGCTTTACTGGAACATGTGCGTGCAGAGGATATGGAAATTCCTAACACGGTTTTCGTTGTCGTGGTTGTTGTTGTTTTGGAAGAGGAGGATGATTTCTTCTTGCCCATAATGAGATAATGTTTGTGGTGAATGATTTCAATTTTTTTTAATGTCAGAAAGTTGAATTTCAATTTGGAAGTTGAACTCTTAAGAGGTGGGATCATTCTTGGTCTTGAATCGCTGCTACTATTTACCTCTTTAAAATGATTGGTCGACCAGCAATAGCACAGCAGTTTACAAAACATCGTTGTGCCTTCGCTCAAGCCAACTCCCAGAAGGAATCTCTAGTGATTAAATACTGTCATGGCAGTAATTTAATCATGTTAATATCAAGTATACTTAATTGGGATTCTTGAGGTTTTTTTGATCCATCGCATTATTTTCTTCGAATGACCATTCTCATTATTAATTCTTGAATATTCTCATTGTTTTGAGGAGTGTAATATGAAACCTCAAACTTGAATTGAGGATGACGACGAGTAAGAAAGTTAAGTGCAGCAGTAATTTCTGTGTTATTTTCTATCAAATACTTGCTCGTCAAAAACAACAAGAATTCCATTTCATTTTCGCAGACAAATCTAATTAATTTGTCAAACTCAATTTCAGGAGGATCTGACCATTCTCTTATATTCTCTGTAATTGCATCCCTTAATGAGATGTATTCTTGTGACATGGACAAGGGTTCAGGTCTTGGGTCACTCATCATGTAGTTGCATAACAGTCTTTTCACTTTGTCCTCGTCACATTCGTACATGGAAGGTTTGTATGTTTCTGGTTCAATACGTAATGGATTGGAGGGTTTGTGAAGAAAATATTTTTGAGATTTGATGCATAGTAAACCCTTTTCATCACACAAATATTCAAATTCAATGTCTTCTTGATATCGACGACATGGAAATAAAACTCCTTCTTTGAACGTTCTTGTCACATTCAATAAAAATAAGGAGCAAATGGTTGTACTTTTAAGGAAGGGCTTGTAATGAAGATCAGAGTTGTATCTATAGGCGTCTTTTCGAATACCAATCATGGCAATATTTTCTTTTCCTGGAGTAAATAATTTAACAGGATCCTCGAGTTTGAGCAATCGTTGTGGATTGTCACGAGAATATTTGCCATGGAGTGTTTGCGTAAAGAATTCTAAACGTTGATCTTCATCGTAAACAATTTGTTCAATTGGTAGCAATACTTCTTCGAGTGCACATGGTATCTTTTGGCCGTTTTCAACTTTTTCAAAATGGTGACAATTATCATCCATCATCCACACAAATTCAAGGTTCCAATGATATGACAGTATTTGAATGGTCAATCGAGAGAATCCAACTCCTCCAATATCATCCTTAAGTTCATAATCTCCAATGGTTTTGTCTTCTACGGTGTAGTTGTATTGGTTCAAGCGTTTTTCATTTGAGTTGGAGCAAAGTTTCATTAACTTTTTCATGTCAATCATGTCAGGAAGCGATAGAATGACAAAATCACCTCCAATAAGATCTCGATAACAATTGAATTCTTGACTTCTTACAACAATGACTTGTCTATAATCCTTTTCGTTTTTGATACTATTTAAATAAAAGAGACCACATGAAGATCGATTGTAGGAAGGCATGAAAATCCAACTTCTAATATCCTTGGAATTTGTCAACTTTTCTATTTTCTTGTTGTCTTGATTAATGACGAACCAATGTTTTTTGCTGTTTGGAATGGACAATTTTGGTTTTAGATTTGGAAAAATGTCATTCAAGTGATCAAAAGTTTCCAAATCATAAACTTCTCTCTGCTGCACAATGTTCACTCGTCTACTACATGACATATCAGCAAGACCATTATTCTTACTAGTAATAACTAACTGAGAAGAAGTGGAGCTTGATGGTTGCTTGGATGATGTTTTTTCATTCGACTGGGATTTTCCCATTTTCAAAATATTATAACTTGCCATACTTTTCAATAAATCATGATATCTACCATCAAAGGTCTGAAATTTGTAACGATCCATCGATTGTGTTTCAATGTGAGAGATGAGTTCTAATAATTTTTTCCAATGATATTCAGAGCTCAATAATGAACTCTCTACTCTTGAAAGCCTGTGAATCATTTCATGAGCATTCTGTTTAAATTCCTCATAAATTTCACTTCTTGTTTTGAGAACTAATTTTCCATACTTGCCAGGAGTCAGCGATTCATAACTAGGAATTTTGTTGGCACATTCTTGATGATAAGGTAGAATCCACTCGATCGCATCTTTGTTTCCACCACCACCAACTATAAAGTTTTCATCCTCTTCCACTTGTTCTCCTGCATCGGGTACATCGATCATTCTTTCCATTCGATTCTCTTCAATACCCTTAATGACTCTCTCAAGAAAATGGAGAAAACTATCGGTTTTGCCTATAGATATTCAATGAAATTCATGAATGGTTCATTAATAAACCCATGGTGTTCACGCAAAGATCAATATACTCATACTTCTCACACAAAAAGATGACAATACTTACCAATTTGTGGCTCTGCAAAAAGCACCATTCTATTTTGGTGAGCTTCTTTTTGTGAAATATCTTGCTTTGGAGCTCTTCCACAGTCGTAGGAAGGTGGAACTGATTTATCTCCTTTCACTCTCTTTCCATCCACAGCTTGCATTGTTCTTCTACAATGTGTGACAATCGACCAATATTTTTGTCCAGTCAGTTTCATTTTAGTCATGTAAGCGTCGAGTTTCATGTTTGTATTTCCAACAGATGTTCCATTCTTACATTTATCTAAATCTCTATAAATTGCATCAGTAACGAGAGCAATAGGTTTCTTATCATTGTCATCAATATATCGACACAACCGGCCAAATTCTTGTGTAAAGGAAGAATAGTTTGGTAAGGAATCTCCTTTTGCTCTCATGTCCAAACAATCGAAACTCTGAGGAAAAGTGTCTCCTTGACGACCTTTAGCTACCAAGATTAAAATGCAGGGAAAGTTTTGAAGATTGATATATTCTAAGGACTTTTTTTCTTTTGAGAGTCTTGCTGGATTCTTTTGAAAGAGTTCATAGTCTTCTGTGGAGAGAATTTTCTCTGCTAATTTCAATCTCGTTACAACAGATAGTTGATCCAATGTGAGAGGTTTTTCACCCGTGTCAATTAAGACATCAGGTAAAATATAACCTGACAATGAAGCTAATTTGGTGACTGAAAATTTGAGCATGGAAACGACTGTGTTTGCAAATTCAGTTGTTGTAATTCTAATAATTTTCATTTGTCCTAAGATGGGCTCTGAATGATTGATCTTTCCTGACTCTAAAAGATCATGAACGAGATGGCCTGTATGACTTTTCATTGGAATATTATTCATCATGTTGTCAAAACTTTCCATCACTTTTCTCTTCACAGTTTTCAAGGTTCTACCAAAAAGTTAACATTTTGTGATGTAATAAAATGATTTCTATGAATCATCACCACACACACTATATCACTCAATGTTTCACTTACTTTTCCAAGTTTTTTTTCATCGTTTTTAAGGCCTTATTTAGCTCTTTTTTCTTTTCTTTTTTTGTCTTCTTTTCCTCAAAAACATCCTCTTCATCTTCATTGAGATATTCATTTTCAAAAACGTGCTCCATGTTTTTAAGATCACCATACTTTTTAGTCATGTAAAACAAGTAGACTAATTTGCACGAGGAAACATATAATTTGTGCTCATCATTGGTAGAAATGGAGTCAATGCTCAAGAAATGATCAAACGCTTCCGTACTTGTACACAACTTGTGAGTCATTGCTTGATAAACAAACCAAAAATGATAATCAATGGCAAGCATGATTGGTCTAAGTGTCACACTTGCAGCTTTAACATTTCGCAAAATATTTTCAAACTCATGATCTTCTCGTGTGTATGTGTATATATTATGATATCCATTCATGTTGTTGATCATGGTTATATAGTTTTTACGTACCTTTTAACACAAGATCTTGACCTGATTTGATGGAATTGATGTAATCTTGCTTGCTAAAATATCGTTTTGTTTGAAAATCTTGTGCAGTTCTTTCTAAACTTGTTCTCTTTTGAACATCATGCCAACATACGACATGATATTCCTCATAGCCTGTGTATTGTCTAAATTCCCAATCATTCAAGCTACATTCAATCAAGGGATCATCAACAGAACAAAATGTAATGTTCCATTTGATTGTGTCAAAAATCTCTACATATGGTTTTTCTGTCAATTGTAAATTACCAATTGGCTTTTTCAGTTTGAAAATCGTTTTTGAAGGATTAATTTTTCGTATTTCTCTTGAACTAAGTTCAATTTGTAATTGCTTATCTGAAGTGAGTGACATGAGTAAGTGATTGGTTTCATCATATTGAACTATTTCTCCTGCACTAAATGACTCTCCAATTTTTCCTGTCAAAGCATTCACGGGTTCCAAATACTCTTCTTTGTCTGTAATGAGTTCAATATTCTCCAAACCATTGTGATGTTCTGAATGTGGTCGTAATAGATATCCAAATCCTGATTCTTTGTACTCAGTTTTGATGACTTTGATTCGAGTACCTTGTGGAATTGAGATACCATTTTTGTTAACAGTTTCTTTGAGTTCATAGATTTCAGGTACATTAGAGTCCACAGAAATGACATTGTAAGGAGTGGCACTCACAAGCAAGACAAAAAAGTTGTCATACTTCAATGCCAACGCATCATTCACAATTTTGTCGTGAGCTCCATCTTTTGTAATGGCAAAATGGCATTCATCTGCAATGATAATGAATAATGTATCTTGTTCCTTTTCAATCCTATTTCTAAATGCTTCAAAGATTTTCAAATGATCCTTTCTGTATTTAATAGACACTGAAGTGAGCTTGGTGTTTGGAGGTAATATATTTGCTCTTTCAAGTCGTTCCATTGTTTGATGCCAAAGAGTATTCTGATCTGGTGTTGCCACAAGGAAACATAAATGGTTGAATTGTTTAAACCTCATTTGGCCAATAATGGTTTTCATTCGTTCGTAGAGTGTGTGAGAAATGACTCGTTGTTCATAGAACACATGTCTATGCACCACATTCACATCCACACGACCAGCCAATGCATTCATAAAACTATTGGGTAGTATTCCACGAGCATGTATGGTGGTTTCATCTCTTGTCACTTCCTCATATTTTTGAATATCTTTATCACTGAGGCGCAAATTATCACAAATAATCTTCTTGTAATTTGAGGTTTTAGTAGTCTTCAATTCAATGTTATACTTCTTTTGAGGAGTGTTTTGAAGAAAGAATGTGAATATTACTGTAACTTCTTCTATTGGTTCTTGTACTTGATTTTCTTGTTCCATTACTTGTTCCATCTCTTCTTTCTCTTGTTTAGCAACCATTTTGTGAATGATGACTGAAACTCCCTCAATCAATGATTTGCATTTCAATGTTATTTCAATCGTAGAGGATTCGGTATTATATCTGTACTCGAGAGAGTCATTCTTAATCAAAAAGTCACGTCTAAAATCATACATTCTTTCAGCACATTCACAACTTTGCAAAGCTTCTTTCATACAATCTACGAGGTCTGTAACACTCGTGATGTCTTCTGGTGACATGGCAGTTAACACAAACGCAGCATGAAATTGAAAGAATTTTTTTGCATCCAACAGCGCTCCTTTCCATTCAATTAAATCGTTCAAAAATCTATTTCCATAAATAAAGATTTCTCCATTTTCTTCCGAAATAATTTCTTTATCCACCTCTGTTTCTCGTTCAATAAGGCAACAAATACGAATGTTCACATGGTTTGGAATTGTACCAAAAACTTGTTGCACTACATCTTCATGGGATGATGTCGACTGTTTAGTGTTAGGATTGTTTTCAGTTTTCACTTTGGAAGTTTTCTTCAAGCTTGCTTTCGAAGAATTGGATGATTTTGAATTTTCTTCAACTTTTTTCTTTTTCTTCTTTTTAGGAGAAGATGATTCCTTCTTGTCTGAATCTTCAGCTTTTGTCTTCTTTCTCTTTTTACTCTTTTTGTCATCCTCCTCTTTTGATTTCTTTATTTTTGTCTTTTCTTTCTTTTCCAATTTTGATTTTTCAGATTTGACAAAAGAGGTGATGGTGGTGCATGCAGCAACTGGCAGTGTTGGTGATGGAAGAAGAATGTTCTCAAAGCTATTCATCAAAGGTAGCTTCAAACTGTCTGTCCTGTCAGCCGAGTCGGATGGCATTAAAAGAGAGGACATTTGGGATGATGAAGGGAGAAAGGCTGTTGCTTCTTGAATACTCGCCACATTGTTCGAATGGCTGTGCGTGCCTGAAAAGAAGGTTGTGTTATTACTTCTACTACTCTTGTGAGAGGTTGAGCTCAGTGGAGAGCTGTCTGAAGGTGAAATGATGATTTTCTCATGATCATGGTTGAATAATGATGATGAGGAAGAAGATGGTAAGGGCGGTGGGGATGTGGTCGCAATGGGCATAAGGTGTTGTTGTTGTTGTTGTTTTTGTTTTTGTTGGTTCAATATGAATCCGAGAGACGACGACAATGACGACGCTGGTAGTGTTGTGGTCGAGTTCGAGTTCAACAACGAACGTCTTGCATACAAGGATGTCATCGTTGGTGGATCATGATGATTCGGAGATAAAGATTCAGAAGAAGAGGTCATTGGAGCAAAACCAGCAGCAAAAGTTGTCGAGTCCGTAGTGGTGGTGGTGGTGGTAGTGATGGTTTGCACATGGTCACGACCATGAGTGTTCTTAGGCCGCCAGTTGAAGAGATTGGATGAAGAAACATCCTCCATCATCGATGATGGCAAGAGGATTTCTGAATGACCGCTCATGCCTCTTGTCATTGATACATTACTACTGCTCTTATTGGGAAGAGTAAAAGAACTCATCATGGAGGCTTGACTTGGTGGATGATTGGATGGCTGCTGTGTATTAGTTTTAATGATATTATTAGAGGATGTTGTTGTTGTAGTAGTATTACTACTATGATTATTCATCGATGGCGAGTGTTTGGGAGTGTTTGGAGCACTAGAGGGGTGTTGTTGACGTGGAGGATGTTGATTTTGATGCATTTTTTCAACTTGTCACTTGTCAATCAATTCCTGTCATTCAACCTCATCCAAGAAATGAAGCCTTCTCGATTTTTGTATGTCTTGTTGTGCGGCTCCAGGTCACACAAACCAGCAAACAACAAAATCACAATAAAATATTCAAAAAAAAAGCTTCAAATGATTCAGCGGTTTTTATTTGCTGTGATGAACGACTACATTTGCTTCTCGGATGAAGTGCCAGCAATAGGTTTACTCTTCCCTTGCTTGATATGATAAATACAATCAACATTACACTTATCGCAACACTTTTTACACATTTTGTATTTACATTTACCTGACACTTTCGCCAGATGGCAACCAGGATTTGTTTAAAAATAATAATATTTTACTACTGAACAAAATAGCCTATTATCTTGATGAATTAAAAGAGATCCCGAGAGACCCCATGGAATCCAATACTTGAGAGCATTTACAGCATTGTGCTGTTGTTTTTAGTGTTTGAGTAACCTGCCATTACCTGCCATCCATACTCAAAGTTTGTGAAATTACCAGGTAAACTCAATCAGTCTCAAAAAAAAATTGACAAGTTCTAGTAGTGCTTTATTATCTTGATGAATACTAAGAGAAACCGTGAGACCCCATGGAATCCAATACTTGAGAGCATTTACAGCATTGTGCTGTTGTTTTTAGTGTTTGAATAACCAGCCATTACCTGCCATCCATACTCAAAGTTTGTGAAATTATCAGGTAATTGAAATCAAAATCAAAAAAAATTAAAAGATTCTCTCAATAAATTCCGAATCTTTTGACATACGGGTATCGAGTTGCAGCAATGGTAGGGGTGACTAATAATTATTCTGTGCAACAACAACATGAGAGCCACACACTCCCATAAGCACATGACAGCATGCATGCCATCTAATTTTGTAAAACTAATTTAATGTTGTTTGAACTTTTTACAAAAAAATGCTTCGACCTGCTCGAAAAGAGGACGTGCTTGCTTTTGAAAGTGCTTGCCGAAGAGGTGAAATAGGAATAGTCAAAGAGTTATTGGAATCGACGATCGAGGAAGATCGGAAGACGTTAGTGAATTATTCAAAATATGAAGTGAGTTTTCAATGATCATTGAATGGTTCTATCTTCTCTTCGGATCATGACGATTGATCAAAGGATTATAATGTAAGAAGTGTTTAAATTTTAAAAAACACATTTAATTGTTATTTCTACATGTAGAACGTATGTATAGAGGAATTGAAAGGAATGATAAATATTTGAAAATTTAGACAGTAGGTTTATTAATAAATAATATAAATGTAGCATGAATGATGGAATGCATTGATAGCCACCAATAATGTTTACTTTATGGACGAATCGAAATGATATATTTCGGTATTTATTAAAAGAAGGATATGTGGATGTGAACGTTCAAGATGTATGTTGACATGAACGACTTTAGAATTATGTTTGAACATCATCACATTGATCAAAAGATGGTTTGTATCATTAATTTCTTTTTGATAAAATTATTATTTCCAAATTTGTAAAGACAAAAGTAAGATCAATAGAAGTATCCTAATATTAATAATTATTATTGTTCAGAATGTAAGTACTGACCATTTAACATTCAATATTAATCTCATTATTATTATTTGCTTGACAGACATTATTACATGTCGCTTGTATCAAGGGAAATTTGGAAGCCGTTTCTTTGCTTTTAGAACATCATTGTGACACGAATTTGCAAGATATTGTAAGCTTCAACATATTTTCTGTTGATTTTATGACCACACTAATTTGAAATTGTTTCCAGACTGGAAAAACCGCATGTGACCTTGCAGAACATAGAGGACATTTCGAATTATTACATGTCATTCGAGGAAAGGACTATGCCAAGAAATTGCATCGTTCCTTACAGAAACATCTTCACAGATTGACACCATTGACTGATATTTTCTTTCAAACGGTGGAATAATAATTTAAAAAATTTTTTCACCAATAATTTCACCACTCGATATAAATCATTCAATCAACTCAAAGGTTCTCCGACGTCATCGGAATGGGTCCGACATCGAGATGTTTAATAAGCACGCGAGTCACTTCAAAAAAAATGTCCCTTTTGAATCGTTCCATTGTTTTCCTGTCTTCAAAGGCTTGTGCTAACCGATACACAAATGTGGCTGGTTTTGCTCGCTTGAATCGTTGGTCCTCTTCCGTTGTGATGGCCATGCAAAAGAATGTATCATCATCTTCAAATTTCGGAGTTTTCATGAGCAATAACAACAAACGAGAATTTTCTTCCAATCAACACCAAAGATTCCTTCCTCCGCCAACAACACCACAAGAAGAAAAACCCTCCGATAACCCAAAGCAAGGAAATACAACAATCAAAGCTCTTGTAGTAATTTTGGCTGGAGCTGCTTCAATTCTGGTGGCATCCAGTATGCTTGCTGATGATGTAAAAGCAGAGGAACAAGCTACAGCAGAAATCGGAAATCCACAAAGCACAGTACGTGAAGAGGAATCTAAAAACCGATATGAAATTGAAGATGGTATTAACATTTTGAGAGAAATTCTGAAGGGAAAGGATAAGAGCCAATTTAGCATTACTCTCTACCAATATCAAGTTTGTCCTTTCTGTTGCAAGGTGAGAGCCTTCTTGGATTACAATGAAATTCCATACAAAATTGTAGAAGTTAATCCATTGTTCAAATCAGAAATCAAGTTTTCCAAAGATTACAAAAAGGTACCAATTGTGGTTGTTGAAGGACTTTTGAATAATCAATTGAATGATTCGTCGAGAATTATTACACATCTGAACGATGTGATTGACACATCAGGCAAGATGAACACTACAGATGTTGTAAAGTGGAGAAAGTGGGTGGATGACACATTTGTGCATACTCTCGCTCCAAATATTTACAGATCCAACGAAGAAGCAGTTGAAGCATTTGAATATATTTCTGAACAAAACGGATTTGGATGGTGGCAAAAACAAGCTGTTTTGTACGGAGGGTCATTTACAATGTATGCTGTTGCAAAGAGACTCAAAAAGAAATATGGAATTGATAATGAAAGAGAAGCCATTTATGCATGCGGAAGAAAATGGGCAAATGAAGCACTTGATCCCTCAAAAGGTCCATTCCATGGAGGAAACGAACCAGATCTTGCAGATCTTGCTGTGTATGGAATTTTGAGCTCGATCGAAGGATTGAGAACATTTAATGATTTGAGCAAGGAGGTTCCACAAATTGGTGTTTGGTATCATACAATGAAAAATGTAGTCAATTACCACAAGCAAAATAAGCAAAATAAGGTTAATTAATATTATCACGAATGATTGTTTAAGGCTGTTAGTGAAATGAAACGATGCATTTCTTTTATGAAAAGATAGCATTTAATTCAAAATTGTTTATGCAACTCAAAATTAATTCTTGTTGACGTTCAACAAAGCCTCGACGCTCTCACGGAAAACTCTTGTGTGCACTTCAACATCTTCCATCGTATGATTCACACAAATGAGAGCCATGTTGTGGAATGGTGTCATCAAAATTCCACGATTCAAAGCATACAAGTGCATGTATTGATCCAATTCAAAGTCACACACTTCAGCAGCTTCACCACCATTCACTGGCTCTGCTGGTCTGAACCAATATTCAGTTCTACATCCAAGACGCTTGACAATCCATGGAAGCTTGTAATCAGCAATCACTTGCTCAACTCCCTCACAGAATTTCTTTGCCAAGCCAATGGTGTATTCATAATTCTCAGGTGTCAAGATATGTTCCAAAGTTGCTCGCATGGCAGCAACAGAAAGTGCATTTCCTGCTAAAGTACCTCCGATACCACCCACATCAATACCTTCAAGATTGAGAGCACTTCTCAATCGATTAGCAACCTCTTCACTGAGTCCATAAACTGCAGTTGGAACACCAGAACCAATGGCCTTACCAATAGTGAACAAGTCTGGTTTGAGATTCCACTCCTTTGTGCAACCTCCAGAACCAGCTGAAATTGTGTGTGTTTCATCGATAATCAAGAGAGTTCCATATTTAGTAGTGAGTTCTCTCAACTTTTCCAAGAATCCAGGTTGTGGCATGACAATTCCAATATTTGTCATTGCTGGTTCACAGAGCACAGCAGCGACATCACGGTCAGCCAATGCCTTTTCCAATCCTTCTACATCATTGAATTCAACCACTTTAGTCGTATTCACAGGATTGGTTTGTGGTCCGATGTTGGTTGAGCGGCACTGTGGTTGTCCATCCTCTCCCAATGTAATAAAAGCTTCATCCACAGTACCATGATAACAATAATTGAAAACAAGAACCTTTGGTCTCTTGGTAATATGACGAGCAATACGGAGAGTGAAACGATTGGCATCGGTGGCTGAGACTGCAACTTGCCAATAAGGAAGACCAAAACGTTTCTTCAATTCATCTCCGACCCAAATGGCGTTTTCATTGGGCAACATGTAGGTGATTCCGTTACGTAATTGTTGAGAAACAAAATCAACAACCGCATCGGGTGAGTGGCCAGTCATAGAGCCAGTATCTCCCAAACAAAAATCAATATATTTGTGTCCATCCAAATCAGTGAAATGACCTCCTTTTGCTTGTTGAACAAAGAGAGGATGACCTCCGGTCCACTTCTTCATCCAGTGCATGGGAACACCATCCAAAAGACTGTTCTTGGCTTTCTCAAAGGCTTCTTTACATTTTGGATGATTCTTCAAGAACAATGCTTCTTCTTCAGCATAGAGTTTCTTGAGATGTTCTCTATCAATGGTTACGGTGGTCATCGCTTGTAGAGTGTGTAAGAGTTCAGCAAATGGAATCACGAGGAGTGTACGAGTGAGTGGTGAGAATTTTTTTGTGGCTTCACTGGAATATTTGATGGCTTACAAAAATGACTTGTTGTTGACCTTGTCAACGGATCCGCAACTCAAAGAGAACAGCCATCATGCGTACGTGAACGGAAAATCTCATGGTTTATTTTGTTGGTTTGGTTCATAAACTGAGCAAGTGATTACAACATTTGGCTCAAACATGCCACTTCACTTTTCAATTCAAACAAAATCTCATATCCCATGCTGCATCGTTTGGGCTCGTACTGAACTACCGAGGCAATCATCTCTTTGAGAGGTTCTACATCCATTTGGTGAACACTCTTCACTCGATTCTGTACCATCTTTCGTGGTGTTTCACTTTCAGAAGAGGTTGATGATGTTTGTTTGGATGGACTTGTTTGTTGAGCATTGTTCGAAGAGGAGAGATTAAGTTTTGGTTTGTATTCACCTCGTAATATGAGATTGAGGACTTGATAAATAAGGCGTTCTAACCGAACCATTCTTGTTTCACATTCGGTGCAATTCGAATTGGAGGTGTTGTGTGAATTCATGGAGGTTGGAGATGCATGGGTGAGGATTGAGTTCATACTATTCGACATCATGGAACCTCTTGAAAGAGGAGAGAATCCAGAAGAAGAGTTTGGAGAAGGGGGTGGAATTTCTCCAAAACTAATACTCGACGTGTGTCTTGGACTTGAGACACAATCATCTTCCAATAATATAAAACTTCGTTGTTTAGCAACTGGAGATGCACCACTGTTCTTTTGTGGACTAGAGGTCACAGCAGAGGCAGAGTAGGACGATATTGAACTCGAGAATGTGTTATTGTTTGAGGAAGTGATTGAGACTTTTGATTTGGAAAGGGGAGATCGCGTATTGTTACATTGAGGAGGATGGTCATTGATCACAGTTACTGTAGATGGAATGACACCATAGTTATGATGAAGAAATACGAGAACAGATTGGTGCAAGTCTTGCAGCTCCTTCAGCAGTAAGTCTTGGGAGCCATGTGCCGTTGGAGAGTGTTGTTGTTGTTGTTGCAGGGTATTAGAAAGGTTGTCGTGATCGGACAAGTTGTTTGAGTTCGTATTATGGATCGAGGAGAGTCTTGGTGGAGAGGAAGAACCGAGGATCATGTCGATAGTTAGAGAGAGAGAGTAACTATTGTTGTTTGTTTTTGTGAATGGGTAATGGTGGTAATGGTGGTAACGGTAGCAGATTGCAAGTCTTTAATGAGGTACAAATTGGCTGATCTCGCTTGAAAAGGACAGTATTTGGTAGGGCCGATAGGATTTTCCTATGAAGTGAAAATGGCAATAATGAGGACCAAAAGTGATGAATAGAGTTGGTTATTGTTGCGGTCTTTGTTTTGGGTGTAGGTGTGTGAAGGTAATTTATTTGTTGTGGTTGTATGATGAGGCCCAAAAAGTGAGAAATTCAAACACTGGCTTCTTTGTTCATGAGGAGACCTTTTATGGACTTAAAGGTTTTCATGCTTGACTTTGGTGGAAATAATGTGGCGAATTGATGCCAACACCACAAGGTGGGAGAAAAGAGAGAGCTCGTATCGCATCTTCCTCAGCTCTCGCGTGAATGCACTAACTTGGTCGACCGACAATAACGTCGTCAATAATGCAACATATCAGAACTTGGGTGGAGAAATTCACTCGTTGAAAACTAGAGACAAATTATTGATTGATAAAATGATTTTTAATGTTTGAAATTGATGTCATCTTTGAGAGGAGTTGTTTGCGTTGTTGATATTGGAAGCGATATTGGACGAGTTGTTTGAATGTACTGTGATTGAATTGTTTGTCATGGACTTGCTCATTGTCACGCTGTCTGTAATTGGTGCAAAATTATTGGCGACATGGCCATTATTGTTTTGGTCGTACTGATGAATACGGCCCTCGATGGCAAGAAACACATCTCCATAAATCTTTCGAACGATCGCAAATCTGCGGTCAAGACTACACAATGCAACATAACACATCCTTATGCTTTGATAATCATAAATAGTTTCAGTACGTTCAAGAATCACTCGACATGCCATTACTACGGCTTCAACCACTAAAACAGAAAGGTCCTCAAATACTGTCATGGAAGTTAATGACAAAATATAATCAGCTAATTGTTTAAGCCGTTCGTTCACATGTGTCGATGTTTGTCCAAAATACAAATATGCCTTAATCTCTAATCCAGCTCTCACAAAGTTGAAATGAGAGGTAATCAGCTCAAATCTACCTTCTAATGTTTGAGAGTACTCGTCTGGAAAGTCAAAATTCGAAGGGACCATCAAGTTCTGTTGCTTTTCCTGCAGGAGATGAAGCACTTGCAAACACGATTCCAAAGTTTGGAATTGAGCGCTCTGAATGAAATTTAAAGTGCCTTTCAAGTGTTTGTTCACGATGATAGCAAAACATTTGATCTGATCTTTAACTCCACTGAAGAGCATTAGTTCACAAAGGCCATAATATGCAATCAGAAAGCCTCGATGCATTTCTCCAAATAGATTCACCTGTTGAATGAATCCCATTCCAATATTATAATAAATGGATGCTTTTTTAAGATCTCCATTTCCAATGAGATAAATACATATTAATGCAATATTTAAACATAATTCGAAGTTCAGTCCAACCTTATTTGAATTCTCATTTGTATCATCCTCTTCATAAAGCATTAGAGAAGAAACCGATCTATTCGCCTGTAGATAGAAATGATGAGCGATGTCTCTCTTTCCAAGTCGTTGAAATAAAGACATACAAATAGCGTAGAAAGTACACAAAAAATAGTCATCTTTTTCTTCAATTTTAGGAGCATAATTTTTCCTTAATAATCTTCGAATAACAACCTCTTCAACATCTTCCCTCTTGATCAGAGGATATGCTAAAATAAACCTATAAAAGTATAAATCTAGTACATAGGAATAATGCACATCAATATCAAAACTTTCCACACTTGTCAAAGCCTTCAGTTGCGATATGGCAACAGAAATTTCACGAGGAGAAATTTCTCTTTCCGTATTTGTCCTAGTTGTTTGTGCAATTGTGGTTGATGACGCATATGGGTGATATCTATGTTGACCCAACTTTGATTGATCTGTGTAAGAAGAAGGAATTTGCCCATTTTGCTTTCTTGAAGAATCTTGTTGATATTGGTAAGAAGGATTGTTGGGTTGCATGTAATTGATGTATGAAGGCTGTGTTTGGTTATACATGGGTGGTTTTTGTTGTTGATAATAAGTCGAAGAATTTTCTTGAGAATTTAGTGTTGATGATGGATATGTTTGAGAGGGAGAAGTTTTTCGAGATGAAACTGGTGATGGTGCAAATGTAGATGATCCACTTGAAGGTTGATGTACGCTAGAGGAAGAAAAAGGTATTGAAGAAGATCGGTTTGGAGAGGATCTTTGGGAAGAAGGTGCATGTTGATGAGGAGAGATCACATTCAAATTCGTTGAAACGACGTTCATACCATTAACTGGTTGCTGATGTTGGAGTTGACCATCCAATGGAGGTGGAGATGATCCCGAAGATGTGGTTGTATTCTTTGGTCCTCTCTTCTTTGGTTGTTGATAAGAGCATTTGTCTGCCAGTCCTCTGCAATTGCATTCACTGCAGACTGGGTAGAGGCGATCACATTTTCGGTGAGCCTTCCTGTTGTTGTTGATGCATGTTGGATGCACGGTGAATGTTGCATGAGTATGAACATGAAGTGCAACACACATGTGGGAATCCGTTGGGTGTTTTCAACACACACAACCATGTAAAATGATCATTGGTTGACAACCAAGTATGGGGCACACAAAGTCACGCACGGAATAGTATTCACACCACAAAATATTTTTGGAGTGTTTGCGGAACAAGTCGCAATTTAGAAGTGCGAGGAAATATCAAATATACTTGATTAATCACCATTATTGTATCATCACGAATTCTACAAACCTGCATAATAAACACGCTATGGTAGAGTATTGCCGAGTATCTTGTTGTTGTACTGGCTGGACAACGGTCTGCAATGGTGGAATATTAGGAATATTGTCTTGGTCCATTCTTTTCAGTTCTTGGAAAGATTGAATGTAGCCGTTCTTGAGAACTCAATATGTGAGTTGATGATGATGGTGGTGATGATGATGATGGGATGAAGAGGCTTTCTGAAGTTGAAAAGAGTTCCACTCTGTCAAATTTTGAGATGGCGTTTTTTTGCTCGTAACAACACGCTCTTTTGGATGCGAAGGAATCAACACCGGGTGCGGACTTGTTTGCTTGAAAGAGAAGTAAATGTGCACGGTGATGATCCTCTATCTTGAGTGTGTTGGTGCCAGGGACTTGAATACCCTTTTGTTTGTGCGTAAGAAAGAAGAATGGCGTAAGTGAGAGAGCTCTTTCAATAAGAGGGGTTGTTTGGGGTATTTTTTGGGTTTTGCTGTGAACAGATCGAGAACCAGCACACACCTGTCAACGAACAACCACAACATGGTTTGGCCACGTGGTTTAGGACAATCCTAAAGAACAGGCAAGGAGAAATTAGGCTGTGGAATGCCTCGCGAAATGGCTACTTATTTGTTTAGTCTTTGAGAAACGGCGAATTAAGCGAGGACGCTTTTTGCCCTATCAAACTCATTTTTATCGAAGGTTTCAAAACTGGTGGAGCGAAAACATTTACCCGTGCACTGAAGCCAACTAATTTCGACATCTGACGGGCGTTTATGGACAGTCTGATTCTTTCTTGCACAATGGCCAAAATGAGTTTTCCACGATCTAAAGTTTTTAAACATCAAGAAGTTCAAGATTGTCGTATGGGAGGAAACCATCAATAACAATCACGTAAATGCATTTACGATTATGAACAAGCACCATCTTTAATTAACCGAGCATGATCTAATTTCCAAACCTAAACGTGATGGAGAATTGCTTCTCGCATCACTTGCATGGTATGTTGTGGATTAGAAGATTTGAAAATGGCAGATCCGCTCACCACAACGTTGGCACCAGCTTTTGCAGCTTCCATCACTGTTTCTTCATTAATACCTCCGTCCACTTGAATATTCAACGTAGGATATCTCTCTCTCAAGACTCTCACTTTCTCCATTTGGTCAGCCATGAAAGCTTGTCCTCCAAATCCTGGCTCGACACTCATAATTAAAACCATGAAAATTTCATGAGAAGACGAGTTGGAATCCAACAAAGGAAACAAAGTATCGACAGGAGTTTTAGGTTTAACGACAATGGAAGCTTTACAGTTTTTTCCTTGTTTCTTGTTTTCTTCTTGAATGAGAGAGAGAACACGTTGTGCCGAGGCTAAATCACCATTTTCCGATTCAAAGTGAAAGGTAATATTATCTGCACCTGCTTCAATAAAATCATGAATCCATTTCGATGGATGAGAAACCATGAGATGACAATCAAGAAATCCTTTGGTGTGTTTTCGGAGAGATTTCACGACTGGTGGTCCGATGCTAATATTATTGACAAAGTGCCCATCCATAACGTCTACATGGAGCCAATCTGCTCCCAATTCAAGCATTTTGTTGGAATCAGCGGCCAGAGTTGCAAAATCTGCACTGAGAATTGAAGGGCAGATAATGGGAGTAAGCTTGTTGCAGTTGGACATTTTTTTGAATTTCCTATTCTCGCTCGCAACGAACAACGAACTGCAGCAGGGTGGCCCTGTATTTTTTTTACTAGGGGTAGCTCGTTTTGACAGTCCTGGATTGTCGTTGTATTGAATCAAATGACCATCACCACTGTAGAGTCCGTCTGGGAATTGCATAATTGATTTGTTGGTTTTAATACATGTGTTCTTCTTGTTTATTAAAATAATAGCTTATCTGACTGCAAAGTAAAGCGAGGGAAGTTAATTCTAGGATAAGGTATTTGGCTGAGTTTAACTTTGGATGCCTTCTTATTTGCCAGCAACAAGGATGCAACTTCTCGTTTCCATGCGTCACATTCCTTCTCGAGAGCTTCAAATTCTTCCATGGCAGTGTTAACATAGACAACGAGAGAAGGGGGAATTTCTAGAGATGGATTATCCTTGATCATTTCACTGAGAGCAGAAGGATCGTTCTCGACCGTTCTTAGAACCTGAAGATAGGTATCAACTTTGCTTTTCAAAACTCTATAAAAGGTGAGAAATACTTCACAAACTCTAAAAAACTTACAAATCAATAGACTCTTCCACTCGTTGAAATTCGCTTGTTACCACCGATTCTTCGGTCTGTACAACTTCCTTATTCTTCTTTTTAAGGGTTGATATACTACCAACAAGCTTCTTTTTGGAAGATGAGGAATAGGAGATGATGGACTCAATGCTTGGTCTTGTTCCCGAAATTGATGTTCTTCTTGGTTCAAAGTCTTCCAAACTACGTCTTACAGATAGATCTTCAACCTCAATTAGAACTTTCTTTTTCTCAAATGCAGGCGGCGTGAGCGAATTGCTATTGGATCTATCTCTCTGGAGCATTGGAGTGCTTGCCTTTCTTTTGCTTGCACTTTGGGAAGCAGTTGCTGTGAGTGGAGCATACTCTCTAAACACTGCTGAAGAATATCTTTGTAATTTAAACAAAATAATTCTTTGGAAAATATTTCGAATGTCCGCACTCCAATGGAGGAATAAATGATAGAAACGGTCTCGTAACAAATCGTGGCCAATAAATTTCATACGGGCCTTTCCGTTGAATAAATCCAAAATGTCATAAATGAAAATTAATGTTCTAGACATTATTTGGAAGTGATCTGTTTCAAGTAATCTTTCAATAGCTGTCTCGAAAAATTCAAAGTTGAAACTGTGATTAATAATTTGTTCGTTCATGCAAAGAAGAAATTTAATTAGAATAAATTTATACTCAATAACTACTTACTTTTCTGGTAGAGAGCCAATAAACAGTTCAATATTTGAATTTGAATCACTAGATTCCAAATAAAAATATGTATGTTGATGTTTCTGATTTCTATAAATCAAATATTGTTGAAAATTGTGCTCTAACTGTCGAACTTCTTCGAACCACTTGTCAGCCCAATCTAGAGTGTAAAATACTTGATCTGGACTGTATCCATTTGTATTGGAAAAGAAAATCTCCAATAGAATATTAATGACCCGAGGATTTCTAAGGGCAATCAATGAACAAGATAACCATTGCTTGAAAGCAAATGATTCGTGGCCATCCTCACCTCTAGCTGACTCTTCCAATCTTTGAATCTTTTGTTCTTGCTTGTTCGACGTGTCACTGGAAGATATTATGGCGTCACTAAAGTTGAGATTAATGTGCTGGGTAAGATAAATTTCTCCGAGCTGTGTGAAATTCGTTACTAGTGTATTGTATCCTGGCACCATTTGCCAATGCTTGTTTGAAGTGTCATGTTTCATAATCTTACTGATCTGATCAACAAAATCGGAGAAAAAGTAATGGAAAAAATCACCACACACTTTTGAAGTTGGAAGCCACGAAGCAGAATCCTTCATCCAATCATGTACCTTTGATAACATGGTCTTCGTTTTTGAGGCGTCATTCAATGGATCAATTTCAAATAGAAATTTAAAGTAACAAAAAACAGTCTTGTGCACATAAGACTTCTCTTCATCGTCAGCGCCTGTCGTTTCATCAGGGGTTTCATCTTCCTCGTTATCATCTAACAAGGTAGATAGCCCTGCCATTGATGGGACGTATTTGAGCTTCTTGATAAAATTAGCTTTCTTAATGTCCAAATTTCTATTTACGTTCTCTACAGTCTCTGGTTCAACAAAGTCATGACCAAATTGCTTGAGGCACAAACTGGAAACAAATTCTTCAGTTTGTTCTGCTGACAACAACCTAAAACAATTTACAGCAAGTATAGAAGCACAAAACCTAAACAATTCCACAACAATGTTTTCATGTTTTTTCGTTCTTAGAACTTGGTTGACAACAAAATCCTGAGTTCTTATCAATAATTCCTTATATTCATACAGTACTTTTTTTGACAGTTCATCATTGCTGTCTCCTTTCTTCATGGAGCTGAGAATGCTGCTTAAAAGGCCTTTTTTGTGAGGCTGGTTGTTAGGATTGAAGGTAGGGCTTAGTTTAAGAAAAGATAAATCGGTTGTTGTTGTTGCTGTTGGGGGTGATGTGGAAAGCTCGCTAGGACTTGTATTGGATGAATTGAAGGATTGTGTGTTTGCTGAATTGGTTATCTGACTGAGAATTAGGTTTTGAAAATATTTCGGATGAAATTCTCTTCGTTTTATAATGAGAAGTATTAATTGATAGCAGTATATGCGAAGAGAAATGTTGATCATGTCCACTCGTGTGATTAAATACCTCCAAACATCGAGAAATAGCTGTGTTGCTTGAAGTCGTTTCTTTGTAATATTCTGCGTTTCCTCCAATCCCACCACACCAATGTTGTGGTCAATAGTAAGACCTCCGTAATCAAATCGGGGATCTTCTTCTAGTAATTCAATGAGTTGAAGAAGAACATTTTCTTGAATGGTCTGACTTGATAATAATTGTTTGCATAGTTTTTGATGTTGATTGGTCCATTTGATCAATGTATCTTTCTTGCTGGTGAATTGTTGTGATGGATCTTCAATTGCACTCATCTCTATGAATATTTAAAATCTCGAGACGTAAAATATTACAAAGTTTTTCACGATGATGATTAAAATAACCGATTCCAAATTTGATGCGCACAACCAATGCTGCTGCAGCAAATAAATGGATCAACAGGTGATTATCTTGATTCGATATGAATTGTTGTTGCTGTTGTTGAAGTCCAACAATAAATTGTGTTATGATTAATCCACAAAGTGGTTGTTGTTGGCGACGAAGAATTTTGTGAGGATTTTTTGTGATGAAATTCTTCAAAGCTGGCCTTGATCGCCGAAAATATGCTTGTTTTGAAGACGTTGGGAAACATCGAAAGTTTGAACGATGAGGTTCAAAAATTGACTCGTTGAGGTAGAGACGAATTCCCTTATGAATGAGGAATTTAAAGGAAATTCCCAGGTCAGGAATTCAATATTCATTCTCCACAACAGAATAAAAGAGATTTGCAGGCGTGGTGAACATGATCAACAACACAAAAGAAAATGTCATTTTCATTCGCTTCCTCAAATCCCTCCCAACAACAACAATCATCAAATAACACCACCTCAGGATCAACAACCTTTCCTCCATCTTTCTCCTCTCAACCCAACACCATCACTCCATCCACTTCCTTCAGTTTTGACTCTACCACATCCAACAATGGCTTCGGAAGCAATACCACTCCTAGTTCTTTCTCGTTACCATCATCCGAAACAACCGCAACTACTGGGTTTAATTTCTCATCATCTGCAAGCAACAATCGACAAGAAGCCACAACAACCACAGGTTTCAACTTTGGTGCTTCAACAACATCACAAGGAGCTTCCAGCTTTGTACCAACTTCCACCAACACAACCCCATTTGGTTTTGGCCCACCTCAGCAACCTACCTTTTCAGCTCCCTCCTCTAACTTTGGGAACACGAATAGTTCTTTTGGATTCAGCTTTGGAACTTTTTCAAACAATGATTTTACTTTCATCAACAATCCCTTAAAGACCAATGACATTCCCTTCAATGATCCCTCTCATTTTTCTGATCTGGTCATTGAAATTATAGTCAATAATCATGGAAATGGTTATTCCAATCTCTATAATTCCATCTATGCTCATAGAATTATTATTTGTGCAGCCAGTGAGGTTCTGGTCCGAATGATCAAACCAAAAGGTGAAAAGAATGTGATTGAAATTGTATGCTCAGACACTTCAGAAGCTTTCTATGCTCAGACCATGATTGCATGTCTCTACAAATCTTGCAATATCAGACTTCAAGACGTTTTTATCTTGTACGATCTCTTTGAAAAGTATGGAATCAATTCATGTAAGGATGTCATCAATTCCAATATGAGAAACCAGGCAGAGAGAAATCAAGATGCAGCTTTGGAATGTCTCAAGTACGTTCAAAGAGTCCCTCTCACAAATATTTCTGAACCATTGTTGAGCTTGGTGTATACTTCTTTGAATTTCTTCAAACGAAGAATTTCTTCAGACGGGTTTACCTATCAAATGGAAGAAGCACTAAGAAATTTGGACTATTATTTCATTGAAAGATATGTGAGAATGTGCTGTCAAAGCTTCCAGGCCGATGTTTCCATTTTAAACTTGGTGAATGCATGGGTCAAATCAAATCTCGAGGAGCACAACAAGGAGAGTTATGTCATTCCAATAGTTGAAGCATTGACTTCTCAGCCAAAAACTGGACAGATAGCTACCCAATTGATTTCTGTTTTGAGCTGTGAAGCATCTCCTTATGAATTTTTAAGTTTAATCAGCGCTGAAAGACGATTAAGGATCATCAACAAACTCTGTAGTTTCTTAGTATCAACAACAACAACAAGTACTCCTTCATTCCCTTCTTCTACTAACGTCCAAGCACCTGTTGGATTCTTTTAACAATTAATTTAACGTTTTATAATAAACCTTGATTTGTTCTTCACAGCAATTTCGGACACATAAAATGCCAACCTGCAAAAACTGGGGTAAATCTTTGTCAATAACATTTTGAACTCAAAAAATGACGAAAAGAACTGGTCGCCCTCGTGTCAAGAAGACTCTTGAAGAAATCGTTAACAACGATGATGCATCATCATCGCTCTCCAACGACCACTCACATGATGGCAGCAGACACTCAGAGAATTTTAATTCGTTATCGGAATTCAAAAATCAATTTTTAAAACAGGAGAAATACCAAAGGATAATTGACTCATCAATTCGTGCGTTTGAAGAAATTATCAATATGCGATCTGAAATGGAAGAAAGTTCTCATACTGAACAGTTGATTGTTGAAGAATTGAAGAATATTTATGATAATTTTGAAAATGGTACTTTGAAATGCATCTCTCCGATTCTAGTTGTGAAAACAACTCAAAGTGAGTTTTGCAAATTCAATTTTTAATTTCTCATAATACTTGGATTTATAACATTTAGGCAAACTAATGGATCCTTTCTTTATCAAAGAAACTGATGACATGATGAGTATCTCAAGCGACGATGAAGAGGACGACTACACGATCAAGCGAACATCTGAAATGCAACCATTGGACGTATTTGAGGTTTGCGTTTTCAGATCTGAATCGAGATATGCTACTGTCAAGTCACTGTTGAGCTATTTACAATCGAAATATGACAAACCTCAATTTTCTGATCTTTTGGGAGAAGTCAAACGAAAATCGAAATGCGGGATAATATTTATATTTGAAAATGCTCATGTCATTGACGCAATTACCCAATGGATTGATATATGTAGCCATTATTCTCATCTAATGCCGATCATTAATATTTTACGTGTGGACGAAAAAGGAAAAGACGTGTTGGAAGGATTGATTACAGATGTAAGTACTCTGCCATTACAACTCCATTGAATGCTCTATTAAGATGAGCAAATTCACGATCAAAGTGTTCAAAACTCAATCCATGACAAAGCCTCTATTTATGAGATGTATGGACGAGGTAAGTTTACAAATTAAATGGAATTTTTTCTTGTTCTCAACTCAACATCAATGTCACATAGCTCTTTATTCAAAAGAATTACAATATTTGCCTGAGACCGTCTTTTGATATCATAACTTTTTTGATTAATAATTTCTCTACAATGCGGAAGTTTTCGATTACTCTAAAGGTATGTTGGAATATGTTCACAAAGATATTAATTCATTGATTTGACCTTTTCGACATGTAGCAACTATATACTAGGCATTTCTTTTACAGACCTATTTCGGTTTTCTCAAAGGCCTTTTTCACGTTAGACAATACAAAGTGTTTGCAAGTACTTTTTTCTGATGAGCTCTATCCAATGCTTCGCGAGTTACCCTCTGTTAATTCATTCTTGTAAGTAATAAGTGATTTAACTTTGATTATTATTTATAAACTGACGATTTTAGTGGAGAAACCATTTCTGAAGACCAAGCTCTGAGCTGTATAAACCAATTTCGATTCTTCTTTTATTTACATCCATACATCATTGAACTAATAGAGGTAGCAATGAAATGTCTTGTTGTTCTGGAAAACTCTGTGAGAGAAAAGATTGAACAACGTGACGAAACAAAAAGCGACGATATTATTTCACTGAGAGTGCGTATTCATCAGTCCTTAATTGGTGCTCGATCTTTTAAAGAGCAAAACTGGTTTAAAAAAATTATTCAAGCACTCAAGTAAGTCTTTTCACATTCATTTAATTCCTATATTGACATGTCATCATTATTCAGAGGAAATATACCATCAAGCAATATTATTGACTTTCTAGGATGTTGTCAAGTGATTATCGATGAGATAAGACGTAGACAACCACAGTTCTATGAAGATGAATATAATGTAATTGTAGAACTATTTGAAACTGTTACCATGCCAAAGGATCATGACACTTCGTTTGGAAAAGATAGCACCATTCCAATTGAAATATTTACCAAAGACGACCAAAAGGAGTGTGACAACGAAAGTGACAAGTCGGAGGATCTTGTCCCTTCAATCGATACAAACCAGCTTATTCCAAAACCAAAAGACTTCTGCTTTTGCAATGTTATGATTAAGCCTAAAGAAAAAGTGACTTGTACTACGTGTGGAAATTCTTTCCATAAGGCATGTGTTGGGGTTGTCAATCTTCCAAATCAAACATATTATTGCGATTCATGTAGAAGACATACAAATGAGGACTCTTTATATTGTTTTTGTCAGCAACCCTCTGATTTCAGTGATATGCTTGCATGTGATAATTGTTGCAAATGGTTCCATTGCTCATGTATTGGAGAACACATCGAAAATTATCCTGGAGACGTCAAGTATTTATGTAAATACTGTATATCATTGATTGAATATCAATCAGGAAAGAATCTGAAAAAATTAGACACAAATTGTAAATGTGGTAAACCATGTCAGCAAAATGAAATGATTCAATGTGAACGTTGCAAGAGACATTACCACTTTGGATGCATGAATTTAACTCTCTCAATAGTGGAAACTATTCAAAGATATTATTGTGATGATTGTTGCCAAAAATATGATGACGAAATTGAATACAAGAAGAAATCAAACGTTAAGCGAAGAAGGTCAAATGTGGCAGAAAAAGTTGGCAGCTCTATTCCTATGCACAACGTTGCATCTACTACGTGGGAAAGGATTCAAAGTCGCCTCCGTACTTTGTTTATGGATCTATTTGCTTCACCTTCCTCAGTGTACAAAGTAGATTTTATTTTCAATGATAAGGATGATCACAAAAAGCCATGGGTTGAACGATTGGTTGGAAACGAACTGTTTTTCATTCAACCAGCCTTTTGTCAAACACTAGAACAATTTTTGAGACCAATGACAAGAAGAGAAACATTTGAGAATAACCTTGCGTTTTGTCAACCTGTATTGTTTCTTTCTGAAAACAAAACTGAAAAGTTTTCAGCTCCGGACATTTACTTGGCCAAACAAGCGTTGGGGCAATGCAAAATGAACGCTCGATATGAAATTGATTATGAAGAATGGTTGGATCGGTTTGCTCAAATGAAGGGCTCCAAAAAAACTAACACCAAACTCCAATCGCTTTTCAATATGCAAGTACGAGCTCTGTATTTGAGAGGTGTTATTGACTTGACGAAAAATCGTGGTGTGGTGAAAAGAATAATTTGAAACAACAACAACAACTGATTTGAAAATAAATTTGACCAAGAGATGTGGAGGTACCACATGTGTCATCTTTTCGATTGGATTCATTCACGACCCGCCAAAAACTTTTCTTGTGAACGTTAAACTCACAAAAAATAATTGAAATTACACAAAATGGCCATCACCAACGAACAACTCAAACAATACTATGGTAAGTGAAATACGAAACATTGAATCATTCTTTTTACTCATGGAACAATCATTAACGGACTGCTGTGCTTTTCCGAACTATTTTGCGAATGATTTATGATGATCGTATATCTATTGTTCAGAGAAATACTTTCCTTTCGGACTGCTTGCCCAATGGCTCCATCCAGGAGATGAGAAACAAATCATAAATCGAGAATTTTCCTATTCATTCAAAGTCGTAAATCCAAAAACACAACAATCAGAAGTTATTTTCTCTCGGTACAAGTGCGTCAAGAATGGAGATGATTTGAAAGAGCAAGTGGTCAAGTATCCCAATCCTCCAGTAAAACTTGATATTGGACCTGTCTATAATATGGCAGTCTCAAAGAAGAATCAAGTTTCAAACGCAGTGCTCATTCCTGTTGAAAAGGAATATTGTATCGATATTGATATTTCGGACTATGATGATGTGAGGTTTTGTGGCTGTAGAGGTGGCAAATATTGCGAAAAATGTTGGCGATTGATGAATTGTGCCATGGAAGTATTGGACCATTTGTTGGTTGATGTTTTTGGAACCAAACATTTGATTTGGGTTTACAGTGGTAGAAGAGGAATTCACTGTTGGGCAAGTGATGAATTGTTAAAAAAGCTCAACAATGAGGGAAGATCGGCCATTTCTAGGTTTATTCATATTTATCAAAACAACTCAGTTGTGGGTGAAAAACAATCAAAAAGAGTGAATCTTTCTGGAACAGCCCACCCTACTTTTGATATCGACTCGGAAGTTTTCACGATATGTGAAAGATACTTTATGGATGTATTTGTGAATGGAATGGGTATTTTTGATGATGAAGAAACCATGCAGACGTCAATTCCTTACATTCTTAACCTTATTTATAACAATGATGCAAAGAATATTATTCAAGAAATTCTAAAGTCAGGGAAGAATGGTGACACTGTCTACACAGAGCTGAGGGAAGCTTTTTTGAGAGATAAGAAAAACAAACACTTTTTGTGGGAAATTGTGTATTCGTTTGTATATCCTCGTCTTGATGTGAACGTCTCAAAAGGTTTTAACCATTTGCTCAAGAGTCCATATTGCGTTCACCCTGATACTGGAAATATTTGTGTACCAATTAGACGACATCATTATCAATTCTATCCTGATGTCCATGGTGTTAGTTTGCATAACTTACTATCCAACACTGATAATGGCAAGTTCAATGAAAGTCTAAAGATATTAAAGGAGCATGTGCAAGCTCTTGTAAAGGCAAAGAACAGTGCAAGTATGGACACTCTTGACTTCTAATAAATATCACAGTTATTACGACTAGGCAAGAAATCATTTGCCTTCGTAAGAAAAGTAATTATCAACACGGAAAAAATTGATTTTATTTTTCCACTCTTGACAAGAGATCATTCACTCGCAATCTGATTAACCATTGATTGAGATGGTAAACGAAATATTTCCCACTGTCAACCATTCGAATTTCATGCAAATTCAATACCTTATTCCAAGGTTTTGTTTTCTCAATACTTGAAAGCTTGTTCATAATAAATTGATGATATTCGCTTCTCTTTTCTTCTGAAGGTAAATGATTTCTTATTTCCATCAACTTTTCTCGTTCTGGAGAGTTCTTTTCAAATCGAATCAAGGGTGTTAGTCCTTGAATGAGTCGTTCCGTTTCATAACACAATCGAAGTGCATGATAATAATTCTTTTGATATGCTCTCTTGATCTTTCCTTCTCCTTGTTGAAGTTGGCGCTTTGCAAAAGCACAATGTGAGCTCACTACTTTCTTGTTCAGAAAATACTTGTTTAACAATTTTAATTCCATCCATTCCCTTGATTGATACTGATGAACAAAATAATCAGGAACAAATAAGGCTTGAAAAACGAAAGGATTTCCATGCAAACAAAGTTCTAAGAATTTTCCAATTTCTAATTATGAAAATTCATACAGCATGAATTATTAACAGGTAATAGTTAAAGAACAACATGACCATAAAGGTTTCATCATTTCAAAACATAATCCACGAAAATCATGATATTCAGTGTGTACACATACCAAAACATGAAATATCATGACCATCCTTTGTGACACTTGTCAATCCCTTTTCCGACAAGTTTAACACTCTTGTCTTTGAGCTACCAATTGCATTCACATCCACATATGTTAATTCCGGTTCATCAATTGAAAACGAAGGCATTGATAAAAATTGTTCTCCATTCAACATGTATATCATGAGTAAATCAAAATCACTTCCCGATGATGGAGATTCCTCTTTTAAATTATACAATGTAGATCCCACCACTGTAATATAAAGTAATCGAGCCGAGGATGAAATAGATTCTTTCAAAAACTCCTCTCCTAGTTGTTTTAAATGTTCATGATTTAATAGGGTCGATGAGGATGATGAAGGAATAATGTAATATTCGGAATGATCAACGAAGGATTCTTCTTGATGGTAAGACATTTTTTTATTGTAAATTTCCAATTTGCATATTCCTACAATGATGAAGATGATGGAAATTCATCTTTTCAACGACATGATCATCATTGCCATCGAAAAGATGAGCATGTATGAAGGTGTTTCTTTCGGAGACATTTCGAATTGATCCTTCTGCTGTCATCTTTCACTTTTCATCATCCTGTCAACCAACTCAAAAAAAAAATTTTCACACTTGAACCTTCGTCGCCCCACCAACATGTCTGACTTGACTGAAACCGAATTCCGTGAAGCCTTCTCTCTCCACGACAACAACTCGGGTGTCATCCCACACGACAAACTCAACACCGTGATGCGTCTCCTCGGTCTTGCTCCTTCCGACAATGAACTCCGTGAATTAATTTCCATTCTCGATCCTTCTTCCAGTGGTAATATTTCATTGAATAATTTTGTCAATGAAATGCGTAATCGTTTCTCAAAAACTACTCAAAATCAAAACATTGATGAATATATGGAAAGTTTCCGTCTCTTTGATCGAGATCAAGATGGTTTTATTTCTACTGAAGAATTGAAACATATCATGACGACATTGGGAGAAAAGTTGAGTGACCATGAAGTGGAGGATTTATTGAAGGAGGCAGATCCACAAAGAAAGGGACAAATTCACTATGAGAGTTTCATTAGGATGTGTTTACAAAATTAATCGATTGAATCACACCCAATGTGAATTTGTAAAATATTGATTTAATAAATAACGTTATTAAATATTATTAAATATTATTGAATAACATTGAATAATATTGAATAATATTAAAAATTACTGTTCGTTAACGAATAAATTGAAGAATGTGGTTAATTGTAGTTGTTGACCTTTCTGGAATGATGACATCATCATCCATTCGAAAAATAGAAAAAAATGGGAATACTCTTTGGGAAATTGTGGGAACGATTATTTGGAGATGAACAAGTGAAAATTTGTATTGTTGGATTGGATAATGCAGGAAAAACAACAACCTTGTATAAATTGTAGGTTTTTGTGTGATGATTCAAATGAAATCGGAATTGGTTGATGATATACATCGGATCGGGTCGGATCGGATGCGATTGAATTTTTATAAAAACAACACAATGAATGATCTCGATGTGGAAATGCCGATGATATTAATTATTAATATATTAATACACTGCTATTTGAATATTTAAAAACACAACATTTCAATGAAAAAGACATTTGGGAGAAGTCGTTGAAACTCAACCAACCATCGGAAGTAACGTTGAGGAAGTAAATTATAAAAACATCAAAATGCAAATGTGGGATCTCGGAGGTCAAGAATCTCTACGAGCCACGTGGCAAATCTATTTTTCAAATTCACAAGGAATCATTTTGGTGGTGGATAGTACGGATCGACAACGAATTTCCATTGTGAAAGAAGAATTATTTAGGATTTTGGAATGCATGGAATTAAAGGGAGCTTCAATTTTAGTATTTGCCAATAAGCAAGATGTGAAAGGAGCCATGTCTGCTGCAGAGGTTTCCAAAGCATTGAATTTACAAGCAATTAAGAGTCATGATTGGCATATACAGGCTTGTTCTGCTTTAACTGGAGATGGTTTGATGCCTGGCATGGATTGGCTGACAGAGAGAATTCAAAATCACAGCAAGAGCTCTGCATCGAGCAGCGGTCAATAATTATTTTACGTAACGCACGTTAATATGACTTATTATTTCATAACAGTGATGGCGGTCATATTAAAGTGTATCGATCCTTGTTTATTTTGTGATGAGGTGGGCGCTTTTGTCAATGCTATTCTCCTCTTCTTGGACAAAAAATATTCGCCGCTTCTCTGGTTGTAGGGACTCAAAAATGCTCAAAAACTTCGTGGACACGACTCAGGTTCGTTCAACCCAAACAAAAAAACTCAACACACCTTCACGACTCACTCACTTCCGTCGTCATCATGTGCTACGCTACCACTTGCTCCCAATGCGGAAAACAAACTTGGGCCGGATGCGGACTTCACAAAGAGAGCGTGATGCGCAACATCAAACCAGAAAACAGATGTACTTGTCCAAGACGCTAAGCATTGTACAACATCACTGCCACCATGAATGCACAAAACGATAGTTAGTAATGCATTTCTCAAGAGACAATACCATCACCCTCGATTAAACAACACATGACCAAATTTTGAACAACAATAAACATTCATATATTTACAAATTGTCACAGTCACTAAAAGGTTGCTGGATATTTGGATTTCAAATAAGAATCAATGAAAGAAAGATGTTTTTCCAAGAATTTGGCATTCTTATCAATTGCTTCTAAGGTATTTCTGTAGTGCATCAAACTAATACTTTGCAAACGAGGTCCAAAGAAGGTTTCAATATCTTGCTTGTAGTGTAAATTGTTGAAAAGTGATCCAACTCCGAAGACAAGTCTATTGCTTACTTGGTCTTGTCCACACTTGCTGACAATCGCATCGTAACCTGAGAGGTTTTACAAAAATACATATGTCAATCAATATATGCTCATAACATGGAATGCTACTTACGTGATCTTACGAAATTCCAAGCAACATCGGTTCCATATGGTACATTTCTAGCCACTTCTCTGATAAGGAATATGCTATCTTGAGGTTTGACGAGAGGACTCAAAGACAATTCCAAAGTGTTTTGAAGGAGTGGAATGGAAGGGCTATACGCTAAAGCGTACATGAGTTTGGTTCTTTCCACAGAGTCTTGTTCTGCTTTGAATTGTTCCAATACTTGGTAATATTCTCGTTCTCCACCCTTAGAGACCACAGTTCGATAGATCACATTACGCAACTCGGGAGGAATGGCAGTGGTATTTCTCTCATGATAACGTTTAAGAGCTTGGTCAATACAATCCACATTTCCGAAGCGACATGCCAAGTTCAAAACGAAGGGTCGAACTTCTTTCTGTTCAGCTAAATCGTCGTCGTCACTACTACGGTTTTCCCATCCAATTTTCTCATATTGCTTTTGAACTAGATCTAAAACCATTCTGCTGAAAGAGAGAGAAACACTCTCACCGGCCAATAATTGATTCAATTTGAGTACAGATTGATACATGCTCTCCCACAAAATGCTAGTTTCGTCTTCCTTCAATGCAAGTAACATATCAAACATGAGGGAGGACTCAATAGTTTCAACTGTAGAGGTTGCAATTGAGAAGAGGTCATTGAACAAGTCAAATCGATCCTGAGTGTCAAACTCCTTGATATTGGAAATTAAATCGGTCCACATGCTCTTTGGGTAATTCACTCGATAGAATCCGTTTTTGTGATGATTAAATTTCACAGCCTTATCAGTAATCTTTAAAGAGGTCTGTGACGCAGGAAATTCAATTCTTTTCACTTCAGCATCGTCATCGATCTCAGTGACATAAGTCAAAGGGATCCACCATTTGCTGTTTTTAAATTGTTCAACTTGAGAAGAGTTGGCGTAGGAAAAGAATCTTCTCTGTGTGAGAGTTAGTGAGCCATCTGCCTCTTTTATCACATTGATAATTGGCATTCCAGCTTGATAGAGCCATGTGGAGAATTTTTCGGCAGTTCCTTTGACATCTGAAACAGGTAAAAGCTCTAACAATTGAGTGGTGTTAGTATTCTGATATTGATATTTGGCAAAATACTGTCTCATCCATTTCACAAATGTTTCTTCACCTAAATAGTTAAAGAACATGTTCAAAATAGCACCGCCCTTATCATATGTAATGGAATTAAAAAGACCATCGATTTCATCTTTCGATTGAATCTTCTTGTATTCTCTTACTATAGGATCTGCACTTGCAACAGAATCAGCGTCAGCAGCATAAATCACACTATTGGTGAGCTTTTTGAGACCTCTCTTCCATGATGGATAGGTTTTGTCAAGTGCATAGGTTTCCATAAAGGTTGCAAAACCTTCATTCAAGTAGAGTTGTGTCCAATAGGCACATGTAATAATGTTGCCGTTCCATTGGTGGCTTATTTCATGAGAAACTACTTCAATACCATTCTCTTTGTCTGATTGTGATGCAGTGGCATTATCGAATAACAAGTACGTTTCTCGGTAGGTAATAAGTCCAAAGTTCTCCATAGCTCCGCTTGCGAAAGAAGGAATTGCAATTTGATCCATCTTGTTAATTGGATACTTGACTCCATAGAGATCAGTAAAGAACTTGGTAATTTTCACAGCTGCTTCAAGTGCATCTCTTCCTTGTTCTTCCTTTCCAACAGGGGTATAAATTCTGTGGCGAATGCCATCTGCTGATTTCTCAATGTAATCGTATTGTCCAATGATGAATGCGATTAAATAAGTAGACATGAGGGGAGTCTTATCAAATTTCACCTTAACTCTTCCATCTGAAAGTGTACTTCTACTAATTTCGTCTGTGTTGAATAAAATTCGAGTCTTGTCGTTTTTAACAGGAGTTGTGATGGTCATTTGGAATGTTGCCTTAAACCTTGGTTCGTCAAATAGTGGAATTGCAGCTCTTCCATCCTCAGATTCCATTTGTGTCGATAAAACAAGAGAACCATCTGCTGCTTTGCTTTGATAAAATCCTCTCATATCATTACGAATCAAGCCAATATAATCAATGGTCAAGCTGTATTGTCCATTCTTTTCTAGTGCCTGTTTGGAATAGACTTGTATTTTTCTGTATTTGACTAAATCAGCTGTGGAGAAACCGGTTAATTCCATTGCTGCATTTGTCTTTGAATTAACAAGTGATACTCCTTCAATCTTGCCATTCACAGAAGGAACAATTCCCGTTTTGTTATGCTCATTCTTTTGATCTGCATTAGCTTTAATCAAAGCCACAAACTGCAACTCTTCTGCACTCAATACAATTGTTTTAGTTGCTTCAATGACCTTCAGATAAATCGAGACTCGTCCATTGAATGTTGCACTGTTATCGGCTTGAAGCTCTAATTGAATATCATAATGAGTTGGAGAGATGTTATCAGGTAAACGATATGGAAATTCATCTTGAATAATTGGCTTTCCTTTTCCAGCAAATTGAAGTCGATAGGCACCCCATGATGCTAACAAAATGAAGATGAAACCGAATAATGCAATCGAGCAATAATAAATTAAATTGAGAGTTTTTCTCTGTAGAGCACTTGAAGCACTACTGTTTACCATCATTTTCAAAATTTATACTATATTCAAGAGATGAATAAAATTGATGATGATGGATTTGATCAAAGCTGATCAATAAATTTGAAAACCAAATATTCACCAACAGATTAGTTTGAAACAAGAAGCTGAAGAATAATAAGTATTGATCTCAATTTCTATAACTCGGACTGATGAGGAGGAAGGATAATGTGGATTGATCTTCCGAATCACACAAAACGATGATGGGCAACAAAATCGTTCAGCTTACTTGAATCAATATTTTTAAAGGGATGAGAATAGACCCCAAACAGTCAAAAAAGAAAAAAACAATTCAACAACAACGAAAAGAAAATGTTAAATCTCTTCGGTTAATGATTTCGACCAAAAATGGAAGATTAAGATTTTAGGAATTCATAACGTTGTATTGGTTGCTTTGAAATCGGAATCATACGATCGGAATCAAAATATGAATACTCCTTCGTTTCACTTCACCCAAAGAGGTTCGGAAATATTTTTGGAATAATTCTTTTTCCGACCAATCCAAAATTATCAGAATTTCAAAACCCTTTCCGATACAGACCAGTCGATTAGGGTATAAAAGCAATGCACCTAACAAGGTCTCCCTCAACAACAAAAAAAACTTTCAAATACGACTTGTACATTTACAACAACAATCCACAGCAACAACATCCCTTGCATTCCTTACTCTATTCACACAACACTCAAAATGATGCGTCCATTCAGCACATTCTTTAACGATCCCACAAGCGTTTGGTTCGATTCCTTTTTCCGTGAGGATCCATTGCTTAGTTTCATGACTGATACTTTACCATTGGAGAGAACCAGACAAAAGCAGGATACTCCTAAAGTCTATGCTCCTTCCACAGATGTAAGCGAGAATGATAAGCGTTTCAATATTCTTTGTAACGTTCCAGGATTGAAGAAGGAGGATTTGAAGATTGACTTGGATGAAGAAAAGGGAATTCTCACAATTTCTGGACATATTGACAAGGAAAAAGCTGAAGAGAACGAGACTTTCCATGCTGCTGAGAGATTCTACGGAGATATAAGTAGAAGTTTCAAGCTACCTCCAAAAACTGTGGATTTCTCTGGAATTAAGGCAAACTTGGAGAATGGTGTGTTGAGAGTCTACGTTCCAAAGAAAGAGAAGATTGAAAAAAAGAAGTCCATTCAAATTGAGTAAATCAGATCGTGATGGGACTCTCTTTGGTAATGAATGGTCAAAGAAAGTCTCTAAACATGTTAAAATACTTGTACAGCAATAAATAATAATATTCATTCCAAACATTCGTTGAACACTGTTTCCGAAATTCTCAATGACTTGACCGCTTGGTCTTTGTTTTGATCCGCTCCTTCACAAGAAACATATCTGAATTATGATCATCATACTGAGAATTCGTTGAAGATGTAGAGTTGCAGTTGTTGTTAGAATTCAAATCCTAATGAAAACCTAATGATTTGTCTTCTGAATTTTGAATGTTTAGATTTAATCATTCTCCTCTTTGTTTGCCGTTCCCTGTTGAAACTGAAGTCGCGAGTGGAGAGCAAAAAGCTGTCCAAGCATTTTGCAAATTAACACTTGTGGAACATGCATATACTTCAAACATTGAACCCACTTCTCAACATCAAGAACATCAAATGTCCATAGCTGATGGTGATATCTGTTGCCACATAATTATTTGGTTGTTTGAGATAGAATGTTTTGGAATAGTAGGAAGAAGGAGCCAATGCATCCAAAGTGTGGTGACGAATACACTTACATCTCTTTTTTCAAATGCATCATCATGTCTTCTTTCTTAAATTGGAGGTTCATTCTGATGCATTCAAGAAAAACACCAAGTTATCTTCCCTATATTCAGAAATACAAGTCTTTGTTATCAAATGCCACTAACTCTAACGACAAGAATGCAGACTGGTGACACTTTTGCACTCAACAAGAATCCTGTCTGGATTCGGTGTATAAGAATGTTCAGCAGCGGTTATATATTTTGGCTTGAACTCAAACTCTCTTTCCAAAATTCTTAATAGCTAGAACAGATGGTCTTTGTTCTGGATTCACACAAAGCATGGACAATATGAAATCGGCTATTTTTTGATCCACGCCCTTGTCTTTGAAATTATTTGAAATTTCTTCCATCATTTTAATTTCATTTAGCATCAAACTTGCAACAATCGTTGAGATTTTACCAGATCCACAAACGACTTGATATAATGTCACCCCGAGAGAAAAAACATCTGTTGCTGTTCCATACTGCAAGTAGGAGAATACTTCTGGTGCCATATAACCCATGGTTCCCTTCAATGGGCTGTTGCTACCGCATTCAAACAAATCTTTTTCCAGTAAGAATAGTTAGTAGAATAATAAAATTGTAAAACTTACATTTGCTCTCTCCATAATCCCCTAGAATAACTTCAATTTGATTTCGTTCTGGATCGAATTCCTCCACGAAATTATTCTTTGGCTTTATTATCTCTATGAGGAAGACCTTGTGTGTTGTGTAAACAATCCAATGCCTCACCAAGTTGTTGAATGAGTGATAAAAGCATGGTGTTGGTAATGACACTTTTTTTGGAGCACATTTCCAAATCACCTAATTTGTAATACTTCATCACAATTACCAAACAATTTAACTTTTTCATGAAAAAATTCATAAACCTTCACCAAGTTCTTGTGATTAATCCCAATCATTTTTGAACATTCCTTTAAAAAGTTTCCCAAATCATTCTCGTTAACAGGGATTAATTTGATGGCAACTTGCATGTTCTCTCTTTTTGTGTCTTCACACAAATAACATTTTCCAAATGATCCTTCTCCAATTTTTCTAATGCATTTGTATCGCCCATTGAACATGTTTGAATCTTGATTATGATTCTGGGAACTCTTTGAAGCTGTTGAGTTGTTGTTTGATTGAGATTTTGTGTCGACACTGTTAGGTAGGAGTGGTTGTTGTGAAGTTCGAATTCTCATCGATTCAAATGAATCAATCACTGTGTCCACCGGAAAATCTGATGCGTTTTCTTGTGAATTTTGCTTGTTTGGAGTTTGTGATTGCTCTTTTTGATTGTTCACCTTCATGAATGAGTTCCCTGTTTCCAAAGAATCAACCTTAATTGGAAGACTAGGATCTGTTTGTGACAGATCACGATGTGGACATGCCTTCTCTGCGCGCAAGTGATTCATTTCATCTTGCTCATGTTTGTCATGCTCCGAAAGTAAATGTAAACTTGTGTGAGGATAATGTTCCTGAATTCTTTGATTTCTCTTTTTGGATTCAATTTCTTTTAAAAACCTCCGATTTGGAATTACCGTACAACAACAGTAACAACAAACACAAACAATCACGACAAAGATCACAATGACAATAAAACCAACAAATAACAATGTTCCTCCAAGGATAGCTCCCAAAATAGTTTGGTTAAGCGGTGGTGCTTCATCGTATTGAATCAAGTTTACGGCCATGTGACAGACATCACCAGATGATTGAATGCAACGAATTCTTGTCACAGGTGTGATCGGATAAACAACATCTTTGCTTGGTTTGTACATAAATGAAGAGCTGTCTGAAAGTGTCTTGAGTGAAAGTTTTTGAGTCTGTTCCACTGTTTGATTTTGATTGAAACCTGCATCGAGTTGTAATGTGAACGGCACCGTGGCATCGAATATATTGGGTATGATCGTCATGTTGCAAATTCTATTGGAAGACTGCAATAGGTCTTTCACTTGAAAGAAATGATCTGCATTCAACGGAATTGTCAGTGAAAAAACATTGTCCATGAATCTTTGTTCTGAAACTCTGTTCACAAAAAGTTCCTTAATGAGAGCATTCTGTGTGGAATCTGTGTTTCTGAAAACAATGAAAAGAGGAACATTCTTTTCATTATAAAATTGTTGTCGATAGGCTTTCGAAGAAACTGAAGTCGCGAGTTGAGAGCAAGAAATTGTCCAAGCATTTGTGGAACATGCATATACTTCAAACATTGAACCCACTTCCCCAATAGCAAGAACATCAAAATGTCCATAGCTGATGGTGACGTTTGTCACTATATAACTAGGAATTAGGTAGGAAGTTTTGGAATAGTAGGGAGAAGGAGCCAACTCATCCAAAGTGTATTGATGTTCTCGATTGTGAGGTGGACGACGAGACAAAATGTCAAATGCAAGGGTGTAAGAGACAAGTGTCAGGAGAGGAAGAAACAATGTGAAGAGAGAGTTTCGTTGTGCCACTATCCACCGAGTCATTTCGAAAAGTCTATTTTTTTGTCTGATAAAGTTTAGCTCATGATTGTGCAAAAAGTTGAGACTCAAAAAAGGAGTTTGTTAGTATGTCAACAAATGATGAACTGTTTGTTCACTACTTAGAATTCCAAGTCACTTTTATTTTTACAATTTCAATAAAGCTGTTTTAAGATCTGCAATAAGATCTTTTGGAGACTCTAACCCAATGCTCAATCGTAAAAGAGTAGAGCTTGTACTTTTATCCCATTGATGTCTGTAATCAATACAGGATTCCACACCACCTGTAAATGTTGGCAATAGATTTGGTATATCAATGGTTTCAAAACACTTACCCAAAGATGTTGCATGTTCAATAATTTCCAACAAGGTCGGTAATGTTCTTGATCCTTCGACAGTTTTCAATTCAAAGCTCAAAATTCCAGGACCTTTCCCATTCATTTGTTTTTGACAAATTTCATAATTCGATAATTTCTTTTTCTCTGTTGTGTCTTGTTCACTAAAGGGCTCAAGATTTGGATAATGTACTCGAATGACTTGCATGTTTGTTTCTTCATTTCCAATTTGACTCTGTAACCATTTTGCAACCACCTCAGCGGTTTGGGATTGATGTAAAACTCGCACTTGAAGAGTTCTCAATGAACGTAACAATAAATAAGCTTCCAGATTGCCCATCACACATCCCAATATAGATCGATTTGATTTCAAACTTGAAGCATAGCCATTTGATTTGGTCGTGACACAACCTCCTAGACAGTCCGAGTGACCTCCTGATTTTAGCGAGTTTATAGATATAATAATATATGATAATATAATAATATAATAATATATATTCAATATATAAAAAACAATTACATGAATTTAAAAGTGATAACGATGCATTTCAGTTTTGCTGTGAGTTTTTTCAACTTACCCATAAACTTGGTCGTACTATGAAGAGCAAAATCAGCACCAATCATTAATGGTTGCTGCAATGCAGGTGATGCAAAGGTGGAATCCACCACCACAAGAGCACCCATTTGATGAGCAATTTTGACATAATATTCAATATCAGTCAAATCGCAGGTAGGATTAAGGGGTGTCTCCAACCAAATGACATCTCCCTTATATAATCCTTTTGAATTCGAAGATAGGTCTTGTTTTTGCATGACTTGTTCCATGTCCACCTCTTCTTCAATTTTTCTAAGGTCCACCACTTTCATGACATGATCTTCAATAATCTCATCGACCTTCTTGCCTTCCTCGTCCATGGTGATTGGAATTTTCGGAAGAAGTTCCTTCTTGACAAGTCCACAATAGAAATTTGCAAAGGCTCGCAACGTGGCCATTGAATCCTTGGTGCCTGCATAACCAGCTTCATCCTCCGATGATCCTCCTTCCGAGTTTTCAACCATTCTCTTGAAAATTCTTTTTGGCCTTAATGTAAAAAGTAACGTTGAGGTTGCAGCTTGACCACTTGAAAATGTAACACTTTTGAAATCATTAGATCCTTCGAGATTTGCAATGACAGCCTCCAAACGACTACGTGTTTTGTTATCTTGAATTATTTTGTGAAACTTTTTGTCTGTGAAATTGAAATGTGACACTTACGAACTCGAGAATAAATCATGCCATCAGAAACGTCAGAATCCATCGAATAAGTGGTGGATAAGTGAATGGGAGGTGCAATATCGCTCACCTTTTCAACCTTGCGGTCTGAACAGATTGCGAGAGTTGAGAAGCTGAAATCTGCCTCCGAAACCGAGTGAGAGGCTGTCGGAATTAGTGTAGTTTTTTGATGACCATTCTGCTGATGATGTTCATAGGAAGTGTTGTTGGAGGTGAGCGTTGATGGTTGATCATGTTCGACAGTGATGGCATCTCCACGCTTGATGAACTTTTTGAAGAAGGACATTTTTATAAGAGAAGATGGACATGCAATTTCAAGGAACAACAAGTTACCCTCATGATGAAGAAGGACGTCAGGCTTGGTCTGAACTGCGCTGAGAGACCAAGTGGATCAGAAGCTTGCTCGATCGAGTGGGTCAGCGCAAATTCCTTCTCTGTTTTCATATAACGTCTGTTTTTGATCCAATATTCCTTTTCATCCGTTAGAAAAACGCCAACACTTTGTCCGTCATCATCATCATCACACTTATCAAGATTGAATTTCTCAAAGCAATAACAACAGAAGCAGTTTGATGACTCCGAATTTGCCTGCTTCCAACCGCGATATGAATTCAACAAGGCAGCGGGGCTTTTCTGACCAACCACCTGCTTCATTGTTATCATCATCATCTGTAAGAAATAATATCAACAAGGAATGTAATAATAACAACAACAACATCATCCTCACATCACCAAATGTACAACTACTAAATAATAATAATTTAGAAATTTTTAATAACAATTCTAATAATGAATTATTATCAACTCATCAACAGAGTGGCGATCCGAGGAGGAGAAGTGTGAGTGATTCAAGCATACCAAATACTAGTTTGAATATCACCACCATGATTAATAATGATCACATCAATGCCGACATCAAGTTTTATCCTCCAACTTCTCCGTCATCATCCACAACGACTAATCATTTATTGTTCAACAACAATGTACCACCTCCACCCATTGTCATTTCTCCATCAATAACAGAACCGAAACAACAACCTCATTCTTCGGCTGATGAATGGCTTGTAATTCCAATTCTCATAGTGAGCTCGCTTCCGAAAGAGGTGGATCAATTATTGAGAAATTATACAAGTGGAAAACATTTGAAGAAACAAGCTCCTCCTTGTTGCGTGTCACACCATGCAGAAGGAAACAAGTCATTAAGTCACAAAAACAAGTTAAAATTAGCTCTAAATAATGGGTTGAATACGGCAACAAATCAAATTCCATGGGATTACAAAAGTCAATTAGCAACATCTGAATTAACACAACAGCAAACAGCAATAGCAATGGGAGACATGTCTCAACAACAACAATATATGTCACCCGAGAGCAATGAGCAAAAACAACCTAAAATACCTCTTGTGTATAATAATTACCTCTCTCCGAGATCATCACACTCAAGGACGTCTACATCTTCAAATAACTCGTCATCTCCTAACACAGAAGAAGATGGCCAGACAAAACCTCAGAGAGATGTTAGCCCTCCTGGAAGTCATCACCACAACAAACATCATTCGTCAGGCAGACCAAAACATCATCACCACAAATCGAATAGTGGAAATCTGGGAGTGTCCTTTCAAATTCCTCAACAAAACCTGGCAGTAGTTTCCCGATCGGGCTCAAGAAAGAATGTACAAGCATCTGCATCCTCAACAAACGAGGATTCTATATCTGGCATTCAAAATATTCAACATCACATTCAACAACAATTACATTTACAAGACACTGCAATTGCAGTTCCTCCTCAACAGCAAAATGGCGCAACGACAGGTAAAAAGATAATACAACCAATAGCTCAACCAAAATCTAAAATATTAGATCAAGATTCGAACAAACTAAATTATTATTTGAGAAAGAACAAACGAGTTACAGAATGGTATATTGAGGAGCAAAGCTTTGACTATTTAAGGCATTTGGACGTATTTTTTGAAAAGAATGAGGTCAGCCAACTCAGTAGTATTTCTCATGACTTGTTAAACACTGGTTTTCATTTAGAAGATTTAATTTCTATTGATGAAGAGGATTTTTTTGAGACCTATTTGGAGAAATCAATATCACAAGTTCCTGAAAAGAAAAAAATAATATTCCGAGTGTGTCACACAGGTTCTAGACATGCTTTGTCACTTCGTCAAGCTCTCTACAAACAAATGTTATTGGAGCAAAAACAAGAGCAAAACCAAACCATAGCACCAACAGTGGTTATTTTTGTATTTAGTTATACAAATTCCTCTTGCTCTCTAGAAAATACAGCAATGACATGGATGAAAGAAATCAATTCTATCTATCCCACCTTTTTTTCGCAAGGTAATTTCATGCTTGCAGGTCATATTGAATTGAACAAATCTACGAAACAACAAATAGCATTGTTGAGAAGGAATGTAGAGGATGCAACGGCCAATGTTGGTCTAGTTCAAAAACCAAAACATTATTATCACTTTCATCAAAAGGCAGTTCCACTTTTTCAAAACAAGAAAAATCAACGTCTCAATATTGTGGAATTTGATACACGATTGGGAACAAATATTTCCCAAATATTTTTCGAAGCTTACCGATTGTACTGCCTGGATTTCTTTAGGAAGAGTATTGTGAATGCACTAACAATCAAGTCACCATCTCCACAAATTCCATCTATTCCTCCTCATCATTCAGGTTCTCCAAATGAGGCTGCAAATCATCACGATTCACAAAGCCCTCCCTTACACACCTCTACTCCCCCTGCTGAAAACAAATCTTTGCCAGATGACACTAAAAAGAAGAAGGACAACTTGAATGTAGAAACAACAGAATTTCCATCTCACATATCACCACAATTTGCCTCTCCTCATACGCATCATGACGAAGATCATTCAAAGGAAGAGACCAAGACTGGTTTAATCTCCCCAACAAATCCTATTTTACCACCAAAGCAGGAATCGACTAAAACAGAAAAAACTGCCCTAAGTTTAGGATTGTTGAAAATTTTCAAAAAAAACCAAGAAAGAAGAAACCCAAGTCAAGAAACCTACAGTAGAAAAATTACTAAAAAACCAAAAGAAGAAAAAGAAAAAGGAAGAAGACATTTTCCGTTGGCAAAAAGTTGCTGACAATTTGATTATGGCCGAAAAACCAAAGAAAAAGAACAAGAAAGACACCAAACAAGGAGCTGTAGTTAAAACAGATTCCATAAGTTCTGCCGACGATCACAGAGAGGTCATGACAGATACATTTTTCCTCAACAGAAAGAACGTAATGTTATTTCCTTACAATGTGCATGCAGAACACAATGATGGGTCGCCGCAAATTGAAAAGCACAATAGCAGCGTTCTTTCAAAGCCGTTAGAAGAGAATGAGTATCTTGAAGATCCAACTGAAAACGATTTGATGGGAGAAATCTCAGAATCATCATCTATTCCTGACACCTTTGAACACCAATTCAATAATGTCGTTACCAACAACACTACGAACTCGTCTTATCAAGAATATAACTCATACTTCCCAGGAGACTCCTCTTTCTCTCATCCAGGTGAAGTGATTGCGAGTGACGAAGAAGCTGGACTCGACACGGAGAATGACATTTCTTCAGAAGTAGATGATTTTACATTCCAATCCAGTGTTGGATCAACACCACTGATGGCCAACGTTCCAACCATTTTCAACAACATTGGAGAAAATCGTCATACTGTTGGTACCTCCCAAGTATGGGAAGAATTGGATGGAGGCGAGGATTTGACTTCTGTTGGCGATATGGCTTAATGTGTTGTTGCTTGCTAAAAAGAAAATGACTTTTTGCCTTGTTTGTCCGTTCTCGAGTGTTTTAAGAAAAATGAAAAAAATAGCAAAGTTGGGCAAAGGTTTGCTCACTCCACACCAATACTACGATCATGATCAGTCATTCACAAACCAACTACTTCAAAATGGGTGGAAGAAGTGGAGCACAGTGTGTAGTGGATGTTTGGTATTGGTCTTTGAACAGAAATATCGAAAGTTTCATCAGGAATCGCATAAAAACGAAACAGTTTTCGCAAAAGAAAATGAGCACGAATACGCTTCGTTAAAACTTCTTCAAAAACTCGCTAAACAAGCTCTTGCGAGTAATGACCAAACCACTGCAATTGAACTCTATTCTCGCATCATTGATTGCTTGACCACTCGAAAGATTCGACTCGAGCAAGAAAGTCAACAGCAACAACAGGCCTTTCGTGGTGAAGTTTTCTCATTGGAAGATCGAGCCATCTTATATGACTCGTATCTTCAACGATCGTTATTGACACATTCTGTGGAAGATGCTTCTCGATTGATCGAGTTGACTCCAGATTCGTTCGCCTCTTATTATGTGAGAGGATTGTATTATAGTTCTCGAAATGAAAAGGAAAATGCATTGCAAGATTTTAACATGGTTTTAAAGTTGAATCCAGACTATTCCGATGGCTACATACAGAGAGCTAAATTATATTACACGCAATTCAAGGATAATGTAAAAGCCATTCAAGATTTTGAACGCGCTTTTCAACTCTCCCCCAACTTGGAAAACATTGAGATTTACTATCTAAGAGTGGCACATTTATGCGCGGATCCTTCTCATCCCCCAAGTTACAATCTAGAAAAAGCATACAACTATTTGGAAAAAGCTTTTCGAATCTTCACTGAACAACACAAACCCATTCCTCTGAGTTTATATAACGAATTGTGTTCTTGCTGCTACGAATTGCATCGATATGAAAAAGCCTTGTATTGGGCTCATCTTGGAATTAAGCAATTTCAACATGATTATTCCCATGAGGAACCACTCACAAATCACACCTCTCATACCATCTCCATGCTCTATTACAACAGAGGAAATTTACTTTGGCATCAACGATTCAAACGAAAGGATTTGGCATTACGAGATTTAGAAAAGGCTCTCTCCTATTCACCTCATCATATTCAAGCACTCCTTCAATTGGCGTGGTTGTACCTTCACACAGAAGAAGAAGAAAAGTCAGTAGACTCGACATCCACTCAAGGACGTGAGCAGTGTGTGTGGGATTTACTTCGTCGTGCTGAGAATGCTCTTGAACTAGATGAAAAACAACGAATGGATCAGTCGTCAATGCAAACGGATGATATGAATGCGGATCAAGAGGAACAAGATCATTATCGCTCTTGGAAGGTGCATCATGCCACTCTGTATTCCCTAAAAGCAGAATTGAACTTGACCCGCAATGAGTGGGATCAGGCTATGAAGAATGTGAATTATGCTCTGCAATTGTGTCCTCAATCGGAGTTGGCTTATTTCAATCGAGGACAGATATGGATTCATCAGAGGGATTTTGAAAAGGCAAGAATGGATTTTGAACAAGCTATTGATATCGTCAAACGAGAAGGAATGATCTTCACCGAAGATGAACTCAAAGAACTGATTCAAAAGGTATGGCCAAATTTCTTCCCTTGAATGAACGGTGCAAACCAATCATAGAGTACCACTATTGATGAGGAAGAAGGACCTTCCGAAGTGAAGAATGATGAAGCAAATTAATTACAATATCCCTCTGAGCAAAGTTTAAATAATACTCACCAATGTAACTGTTCCCTTAAAAAGAAGACTTATTAAGCTGGTTGCTACTGCATTACCATAGGTCAATTTACCACTTTCGATCCATTCCGCTTGGTGAGATCCAACCAATGCATTCACAAATTGCATCACAGTGACTTGAGAATCGAAATTGATTCATCAAAATTCAAATTTCGATATTCAACGCAGGTATTGTAAGAACGTTATTCATAAATCTTGCGAAGTTTTGACTATTGATTTGAAAAAAGGCTACAGCACTGCAGGTTCCCAAGTTGTCTCCAACCTCAGTACTGATGCAGCTCAAAGATGCTTAACTTCTCAAATCGGACGGGATGAGGTGCATTCATCGTGATATGGCCGTAGCCATTCTAAAAGTTTGTTTCATGGAATTGTGGATATTAAGGCAGAAAAATATGACGGCATTGTGCAACGATACAGCAATCAAATATTGGTTAAAGCCCAAGTATTGATGATCTTCTCAAGTTTTTGACAGAGCCATATTCTTTGACAATGCCAATTTTTTGCCACCGGAGAAAAAACCATTTTGTCCTCCTAATTTATTGTGTTCCCCATGCGCTACCCCTTGTTAGTTCCAAAACATGATCTGCCAAAATTTGGACAAAGGTGCTATAGGATTCTATTGGACCCACTCATTTCTCCTCCATACGTATGCGGGTATCTGGCTTAATTTTACTGTTGTTTACATTTGTAAAATTCGATTTCATCTTTTCTTTAAAAGTATTACTTCTCTTTAGCATTTGGCAGTTCAAGAAATTCTTGGACTGTTTTTCACTCAACTTTTCAAATTGTTGTCACCTCAAAGTTCATTGCTCAGAGAAGATTGTCATATCAATTATTGTGTTATAACTTATTTAATAATTTATTTAATAAATTTAATATAATCTTTCAACTTCAGGATTCAACAACTCGCATATGGATATGGAGGTTCTCACTTTTCTTGGCATTGAACTCGAAACCGTCGTTTCAGCCTCTGAAAAATCTCTGCATGAGGTGTTTGAAACTACTATTGGACAACCATTGGCTTTTAAAGAAGCTGGCGCTGTCATGAGGCGTTCATCATACGTTTGAGGCGATGCAATGGTTGTTGTAGTTTCGATCTGTGTGTTTCCAGTCCAACGTTGAGGCTTGCTGATTTTTGAACTCATTGACACTCCTTCTCGAAAACAAAAATCCTTTGTACGAGCATCATTACTAGGTTTTCGATATTGACGAGATCGACACAAGACGGTTTGTATTTTTCCATGGTCATTACTTTCCAACACAGGTACTGATGATGGCGATAGGATAGGTTTTGGTTCACTACGAAAAGGTTTTGAGGTCTGTTTTGGTTGAGGCGATGGAGGATGAAGAGGATTCATTGAAATGTGCACTGGTGGTGGTACATGTCGACGCGAAGAGGGTATTTCAGTTTCAACATTGAAATGAAACGACAAGTCCATGGAACCATCAAATGGATCTGATAGTGAGTTTCTTGCAGTGTCTGTAAAATAAGAGACCATGGTGAGTGGTTTAGGACGTTTTCCCTTCGATTGTTTGTTCGGCATAAAGGTCACGTAGCTGAATTTCATTTTGATGTGTTTCTTTTAATCACGTTTAATCTTGATGAAAAGAGACAGTGTTTAAAGGATCATGTTCAAGTAGGGAAGGTGATTTGGACAGAAATGGAGAAAGACAAGATATATGATACAAACAAGAATGGCCATGATGATTTGGATTAGGATCGACCATGAACAAATAATGTTTATGATCTTAAAAGAAGAAACGACATGCACGAATCAATTTTCATTGAGATTATCTCTAATCATAAAAGTAGATTCCTTTATGAATGATTCATTATCCATGGGTGGCTTGATTTTAAATGAAATTGTCTCCTTTGTGATGGAAGATTTGATTTGAATCAAGAACCTTTGAGCATGGGCCATTTCAAAGATATTGATCTCCCTCGATTGGAGATGTTAAGCATCGTCAAGCCGCACAAGTCCAGATCTCCCAAAAACTCTGGTTACGAGACACTCTGACTATGCGCGAATGACAAACCTTGTCTGACGAATAATATTTCCGTAATATTCTTTTCTTTTTTGAACAACAGCTACTCCATTAATATGACAGAAAAAACGAATCTTGTTATTTGAACTTTGAATAATTTATATTATTTATGGTGATAATAAATGTTTCTTCGATATTGATTTCTACAAGACTTACAAATTGGGCCACAAATTAAGTCTGGTTTGTTCAGGTTTTCTTTGTAACTGGCAAGCGTTTCAGACGTGACAAATAATTGAGGAATTTCATCACAATAGGCCCCACAGCTCACACACGCCTTTTTTATCTCTTGTTGTACCTTCAAATCATCTTCAACATTGATACACAAAATCTGTGTTTTTTGATATCTATGGCGTGTTTGAGTTGGAGCAATAGCTTTGAAAAACTTTTCAAATCCTTTTGATTCATCTTCCTTCTCTTGCTTGGAAAGACGATTGCTGGAGCATGGTTGAAGAACAAACTTGGTTTCATAATTTAAACCATACCAAGTTGTTTCATCTGATTCTGAATGATCCAATACACTTCGAACGACATCATTGACAGGAACGCGTTCCATTCGTCCTTCCCGTTCGATTTTTACAACCGATTTCATATATCTGGTTACAAGAGTATAAAAGAATTCCAGTGTAACATATTTCTCATCAACGTCTCCTCGGACAAGATATTTGGGATTGGTCGTAATAATGTTATTATAGTCAACATAGAGAGTAATCATTGAAAATCTTTCAAATTCGCTAATACCAAGATCGTAGTAGTTGTCTGTTGTAATGGTTTCAATTTTGGTCACATCTACTACAGGACTGAATTTGATGATAAAGGTTTCAAAATCTTGCAGGGCATAGAGAGTATTTACGTCAGTACGAATAGAAACGCAAAACCGTTCTTTCTGAGAAGTAGATAAGCCAATTAAAAAAAAAATTTGTAGTCCTAAGAACCCTACATAATATTGACTCTTATAGCGAGCTGGAATTGATACAGAAAAGTGAAATGAAATTCCACCACTATCGCTTGTCGCAAGCGATCTGTTGATTAGTTGTTCCACTCCATCCAACAAAGCACTGTTTCCGGATTTTTCAAACGTAGTTTTCACTTTCATTATTCGAATGCCCTTGTATTGATCCTTTAAATAAGGTCTAATCTTATCAATGGTAGCATTAATACCCTTCTCAGAGATCAACTTTCCCAACAACGCCTCAAAATAAGGACAGCTGGTAATAGCACCGGCAAAATGTACTCTTGTAATACCACATTGAAGAATTATTAAGCATAACGGTGTCACAATATTGTTCATGGCCTCGCTAAGCTTCTCCTCGCATGGTTTTAGTTCGTCAATGATGTTTGGTTCTGGTAGAGAAACACATGCCAGCTGAGTTTCGTTATCTGTTCCTGAAGTATCCGACTCAAACAACTTTTTCATAAGTTCAAAAGAATCTTGTCCTGTTTCTGATTTGATAATGTTGTGAATGATGGACATGCCTCCAACTTCTCCATTTCGATATAAGTAATCTTACTTTCTCCATTTTCATCATATTCTACCACTGTAATATCAAGAGTAAGATGACCAATGTCTGAATAAAGCGTTGGTTCGGGGGACATATTTGAAGCATCACTAAAGAATTTGAGAAGTGCAAACTCTTCAATAATATATATCCTCAATCGTCAGTTCAGGATTCACAAACTCGTTAATGGCTTTCAAAGCACAATTCCTATACACTTTCTTGACAATTTCAGATGTATTTGTTGGACAAGTTAAAATCAAACCAGAATAACAACCAAGATTTTGTTTTGTGTGCCCTTCCGTCGCTGTTGTTCGATATGCCAATTGAGAGAGAAGACATTTTAAAAGTTGGTACATAACATGAGCGAC